AAATGAGGAATATGAGGCTAGTTGTAGTATATTTATGTAATACAAGTAAGATAACATGTTAGAAGCCAATACATACTTAGAAAAAAAAATATTATGTGTATATTAATGTTCGCAAATTTTAAAAACATATGTGACTTTCTTAACTATGTCTTTTTACTTTAAATAAAACAAAATTAAAGTTTTATTTAATTTAAAAGTACATGTAAAAGGATTGAAGGAAATAAACATGATCTTTTTATTTTTACATTATGTATTTTTTTTATCGATTAAAGTATTCATTATTGTTTAACTTTGCAGTTTGTTTTTCTTTTTTAAATTTTGTGTTTCGTGCTTCGCTGACAAGTCTTTTGTAGACGAAACGCGCACTTGACGTACACCATTGTAATCCTGGTATCTATGATGAGTTAATTGGCGTCCCGTACTTGAACGTGACAGCTTATCCGTGTGCATCTACCTTAACCATGAACACCTTTCATTACAAATTTGGCAATCGTTTAGCGCATATACGAAGGGAAACCCCCTGATGGAAGGAAAATAAAATAAAGAAACAATTTAATAAAAACTTCGACATAAAAATCCAAAAGTAGATAAGCAGCCAAAATGTTTGACCAACAATTACCGAATGAAACATTTTTATGTCGATTATATGTTATGTAAAATAAAACGTGTATAGAGTTTAGTGTAATCTATGCATTGGTTCAATAATTTCCTAAACAGTTACATCAACAGATACTCATATGACTTTAATACTTTTTGAAAGTCATTCTTCAATTGATACTGTTCTGAACGAGCTCACAGAAAATTTAAAAGCAGTTACAGTTGACTAATGGCAAATAACAAAGTAACCCTACTTTTGTGATATAAGTTGTGCAATTATTAAACATTATGTGACAGATTCTTGTAGAATATGACAAATAACTGATCTACTTGATATAGTAAACGGGGTAGACTTTGTTTATTTTGTTAGATGTTGCCAAACTAGACGAGTGGTTTCAGATATAGAAACATTTACATGAATGATTCTAGTATAAAAAATTGTGATCTTCTTATGGTAGTACATAACAAAACAAAAAAACCATCAACTTGAACCTTATTTCTGTATCATTTTTAACACATATATTCAATTGGGTGATAACTTTGTCCAAGTAAAAACAAGATAAGTACAATTTAGACTGGAAAATGCAAACATAAAAAAATAATTAAATCTTAGGACAAGTTATTTTGAGATAATACAAATCAGCCCCAAAAATGTGACAACTTTAAACATAATTTTTATAATTTAGGGCGGGATGTCAACGGGAGAAGAGATGTGTATTTCCTATATATACTATTATCCGAGAATCAATATGTCATTCTGCCTTGCTTCACGTATGTATTATAAGATTTCTAAAGATTCAGAGAAAGCAGTTGAACAGCTGAAGGATTGGAACTGGAACGATCAAAATGTTCGGCAACAATTCCAAGAACTTGTCAATAATTCAACATATATAACATTGTCTGCAATGGACCATTCAAACTCATGGTTAGTCGATGACCTCTAAACCTATTGTTTTCAAAGAGCATGCATCGCTCAACTAGCAATCAATTAGAACTTTAAATTAAGCTCTTTAATCAAACTGTTTTAACCACATTATTCAGTAACACTAATGGAAAAGTTTAGAAGAATTATATTAGAATATTTGCAAAATCGTCAACGAATGCCCAGAAACAGAAAAGAAGAGCGCGTTTCTATACATTCCTTAGTCACATTTTCAAAATATAAACAACAGTATTGATTGTAATAATGCGAAAAACCTTTAATTTCAGAGTCACAGCTATTCGACTGTTATACCTAAACCGGAATATCCCTACCGAAAACCAACTCAGGCGTGTAAGAACTCAATTGGAGGGAATTGGTCTCGAAAAGTAGAAGACTTCAGACAATTAATAGTCTTAAAATCTGTCTTTTACGTAATATAGTTTTACTTATGAATAAGTATAATAATTTTCATTTATAATAAACATTAAATTTATTTGTGTACTAGGTTTTTCATAGAATTACTCAAATTATTCCCTCAAATAACTTATGTAGTTGCATATTAGTTTTCGTTGCCCGAAATCTAGTGAAGGTGTGGAAGGTTTTTGATCTTTACTACCATCTTGACAATTGGTATCTTTTAAAAAATTTTGATGTATAAATATTTGGCTTCTAACATTGTTAATAACGTGGGAAGCAGAGAGTAACCCATGTATTCCAGGGTCGTATGTCCAGCGCACTACACTCTGTATTATAGGTATTTTAATACAGTAGAAAAGGACGTTCAAGTTATAAAAAAGACTTGTAGCCTAGGTTGTAATTGAATACATTATTTTCCTACAAATATCAAATTCCCTCTTACACATGTGAAATAAATCCTGTATTTTCACGCCGGTGCCGACAAGATATTGCCAGCGGTTTTCAATCAAAACGATGTGGAGACAAATATATAGCTCCTTGCATTTTTCTTATTTTGAATAAAACGTTATGAAAAGAATAACTCATCCAGGAATTGAAATATTGAAAAATATTCTACGTCACGTGCATTTGTGAATTAAAATTTTGTTTGGTCTGTCGTTAAACATTTATCGACATTCAGATTATGCGATTACTTATTCTATAATTTTTATTGCTATTACACATTATGATTGAAAAATTCATCTTCATTGATTATTCTACCGTAGCAATTTAGATGGAGAAAAATTACATTTTGTAAATTGTTGCGCGGCTGATGTGCTGCTTTGGATTTACCGTCATAAAAACGCTCAAACCAAAACAATTGATAGCCAAGAATTAATACATACTTAAATACTTGATGACCTATATGACCAACAGAGATCTAAACAGATTAGTCAAATTCATCTGATGACAACTTTGCCTAAGGAGTTGGAATTTAAATTTTATTAACAGAGAATTTATGAAAAGTTTGTTATAGATCATGCCAGTGCCGAATCATTGACTACTGAGAGGATGCTATTATCTGGGAATTACAGTCCAACGGCAAAGGTATCGACTCAGTGTCAGCTAATCGAAATAACATTTGGTAATTTTGTGCTTCCAGTCCGCATTTCTGGATTGACGAGTATGTTAACCTAACATTCAATGGGGACATACTTTTTCAGGTATTAGAAAATTCATGTTGGCTGATAAAGGTATATAATCTAACTTTCGATCTTATAAGATGACCTGAACTATTGCTTCAAGTGAGTTTGACTTCCATGTACTTCGTACTTGCACGAGCAGCACGACGGGTGACACACGTGGAGCAGAATGTGCTTACGCATTTTTAAAAGGGATTCCTGTTGCTCAGTCTTTAGTTTTCTATGTTGTGTTTTGTAGACTTTCGATTGCCTTTTCGTAATGTTCCGTCTTTTTGCCATGACGTTGTTAGTTTGTCTTTGTCTTATCACTTTTGTATCTTACGCTTATCCTTTCCAGAAAAGTATCTCAGGTGTATTATGTATTCATCATTTCAGTCCTATTCTATATGGTACACATATATACATATATTGTAAAATCAGAAATTGATGCGTGCATTTACTATTGCGAATCCTTGACATCTGGCAAAAATGCCTAATCTGATTAATGCGAATGCAAATATTTTATGAAGGAAAAATCAGTAATGAAATTATAAATGCGAGTTTTTTTATTATTGCGAACCTGATAGTGTCGCATTTTTCGCATTAATAAAAACAACGCAATAAATTTATGAATTTACACGGGTGGATTGAATTACTCCGCTTCATATTTATATACCTATCACAAATAAAACATTACGCCAATTCCGGCGTTGATTTGAAAACAAGTATAACAAATATGCCGAATTCAAAAAGTGGAAGTTCATAAAACTGACAAAATTAAATGCTATCAAACAACGGAACAAGTGCAAAACAATTGCTATATTCCTGACTTAGCAAAGGCAGTCATTTTGGTAGACTCTGTTAAATGTGATCATATTGAGGTGTCTAGACTTGCGGCACTTTAGATTTTAGTGTATCATTTACGCACTTATCAATTTAAGGCGATATTATTTAACCTTAACATATGTTATGGGATGGTTTCGTATGTTGTTGGTCTACCTTTGGTTGTAGATCATTTAATTTGTCGTAAATGAATGCAAAATTGGCCTGTGTCCATCTTCCCAAATATGAAATGGGCATTACCATCGATTATATTAGATATTTTTAGTCATGTAGTATGATATTGTCTGCAAGAACGTAACACATTCCTATGATTAGATATAAGAAGATGTGGTATGAGTGCCAATGAGACAACTCTCCATCCAAGTCACAATTAAAAGTAAACCATTATAGGTCAAAGTACGGTCTTTAGCACGGAGCCTTGGCTCACACCGAACAGCAAGCTATAAAGGGCCCCAAAACTGACTAGTGTAAAACCATTCAAACGGGAAAACCAACGGTCCAATCTATATACAAAAAACGAAAAACGAGAACACTTATGAACCACATCAACAAACGACAACTACTGAACATCAGATTCCTGACTTAGGACAGGTGCAAACAAATGCAGCGGGTTTAAACGTTTTAATAGGTACCAACCTTCACCCTTATCTGGAACAATAGTGTAACATCACAACATAGAAAGACACACTATAAAATATCAATTGAAATGGCTTAACTCAATCAAAAGACATATTAACACAAGTGAACATACATAGAACGAATAAATTCGATCTATGATACATTTTACAACAATGTAAACAGATTGTGTATGACGGACATGGTTTTTATGAGATAACTTGGTAACCAGTAAAGAATAGATTTTCATTTAGTTAACTAATTTGTACAACGAATATAACGACATCAGATTGTCAAAAATTACACGCTGTCTACGATATTTGATAATGTGTCATATTTGATTTTCATTCGAAGCAATTTACCATAAAGATTATGGAATTATTCGAATCATGATTGACAGTTCTTCATGGTTTTTTTCTTATGAAAAATAACAAAATCTTTAGAAAAACTATAATAATAATAGCAATGCAGTCTTTATTGTCTAATTTTCAGTTAGGCTATTTAACAAATATATGCATTCAACCCCAAAATACACAATTCATATAAAAATCATTCATACGTCCAAATAACTACAATTAGGAAATATTTTATATTCTAACCAAAATTAATAATATAATAAGACTTTATGGGTTTCACAAAACATTATCCAAAAAAATTATTATAGAAAAGCTACAATGTTCAAATTCTTATAATTGTTATTTGGTCCCTGTTTGCCGTCAATATTCAATCGCAGTGTCTGCAAAAAATAAAGAAAATAAGTGTAATATTAAAGGTTTGTACAAAACTGATAAAAGCCAATCTTCTATTTAATTGAAACGAAGGAATTGCGTGTGTAATATCATGACTCAAAATGCATACACTGACTTGACAAAGTCCTAAGAGAAAGAAAGACATATTTCTATCTAAAAGTTACGATTAGACTTTCACCCTGAAGAAACAGGCCATATTTCACCTCAAGATAAGGACGACCCTTATTTTTTTGTACGAGATTATTTGCATGATGTTGAACATGAGATTGCATTACAAAATTCTCTATTAAGATTTAAAAGTTCATTTTTTTAGAATCGCATTGAGATAATATCAGCAAAATAACTATGACCACAATTGCTGTAGGACATTTTACGGTGTTTGCAAGATTTGAGAATTCCACGATAAAATTTTAACTATGATGTCTTTTTCAGTAAGTAATCCATAATAAATTTGATTTATGGGAAAAAACGCAAACCTGTGTACTTGTTTTAAAAATACAGTCATTTAAAGAGAACCAAATAGGCGGGAAAAAGATATCTATAGATTTTATATGAAATGATGACAAAAACAGGAAAATTATTTTACACGTTACAAAAAACTTCAAATAAACGAAAATATCATATAGTATAATGATTCAACTAATGTTAAATTACTTATCGCGGAGTTCATCACATTAAACACAAAAAAAACCATGTTAGTTTCATTGAATGAAAGTTAATGAAAATACTCAATAAAACGTTTGACTGGCTATAGATTTAATTATAGAATGGACTATAATGATTTTTGCATATGAAAAGAAAATTTCTAATTTTGATTGAAGAAAAAAGCTGGTTTTGCTTTGATTAGAATTTTCATATATTTTATAAGAATGTTTAGTTAAGGCAAGCTCAGCAGTATCACAGTTAAAGAACAATCGACGCACTTTTAATTTCTATTTCTATGTAACTGCACACAATACTTTTATCTTTCTATCAATAAGGTAAAATTATTAAATATAAGCTTTACTTGACCATTTCATACATTTTTTTTATTAGGTTTTCTTGGTATAATTATTAAAGGGGGTGATATGAATGCATTAATCATTGTCAAAGGAAGAAAGGGAAGGACTATTTCAAATTAAACAATAGTATTCTTAAAGACGAATAATACAAAATGAAAATAAATACTTTAATAGATAACTATGAAAAAGCAGAAAAACCTTAGCAATCGTGTGGGATCTGTTTAAAATAGAGGTAAGGGAGAAAACTATTGAACATTGTAAAATTAAAGTTAAACATAAAAGAGATGAAATTGAAAAATTAGAACAAGAACTAAAACTTTAGAATGAAATTCATGATAACAACCTTAATGGAAAAAAATAATTTGCCGAACATAATAGATTCAATAAAGAAAACCGAAGAAACGCTACAAACTCCATATTCTGATAAAATAAATAAGGCACACATAAGATCAAGAGTTAAATGTATAGAAGAAGGCGATAAAAATACAAAATATTTCTTAGGATTAGAGAAACTAGACAGACAAGGGAAAATATTATTGCTAATAGGGACAGTGAAGGGGAAATAACAGAAGATCAAGGTAAATATTGCTATGAGAAAAAAGAATTGACAAATTCACAGAAACTAGGATTTGTTACCATTATTTAAAAGAAAAACGACCCATTTAATTTAGATAATTATAGACCAATTACTTTATTAAATGTAGATACCAAAATTATAGCATATTCTCTTACACAAAGACTTAAACCAGTACTGCATAAAATTATTCACAGTGATCAAAACGGGTATGTAAAAAAACCCAGATATATTGGGTTTAATATTAGACAAATCCAAGATATTATAGACTATTCAGAAAAAATCAATGTGGATGGAGCAATCCTTTTTTTTTTTAGATTTTTCAAAGGCATTTGACTCTCTAGAATGGGAATTTATGTATTGTTCTTTAAAGAAATTTGGCTTTCAGAAATCTTTATTGAAGTGGATTAATACTTTATATGCAGACATAAAGGGTTGCATATTAAATAATGGCTGGAATTCAAGACCCTTCAGCATTGAGCGCGGGATCCGTCAGGTGTTTCCCGCGAGTTCTATAATTTTCGTTACTGTGTTGAAATTTTAGCATGCAGATTAAGAGAAGATAAAAAATTTAAAGGTTTTCAAATTAAACTAGATAATAAAACCCTTACTGTAAAGTTAAGCCAGCTAGCAGATGACACCACTTTATTTCTAAATTCAAAACAAGAAGTTTCATTAACTTTGAATATTGTCGAAATTTTCTGATCACTTTCAGGCCTAAAGCCTAATCGAAATACAACAGAGGGAATATGGCTCGGCAATTTAAAGTCCTGTAAAGAAAAGGTTGAAAAAATTAAGTAGACACAAGAACCGATAAAAGTATTGGGAATATACTTCGGACTTTATAAAAAAAGAGTGTAAAAAATTAAACTTGCAACGACAATACGAAAAATCTTAAAAAATAATTAAAGACTAGAATAAAAGAAAATTAACTATGATAGGTAAGATAACTCTTGTTAAATCATTAATCCTACCAAATATCACTTATGTTGCATCAGTAACAGAAATTGATAAAGAACAACTAGCAATAGTAAAACAAATAAAAATATTGTTTTATATGGAACAATAAACCAGAAAAAGTTAAAAGAGTTATAATAAGTAAAAATTATCATGCTGGTGGGCTTAAAATGGTAGACATATATAAATATATAGAATCCATAAATATTAATGTGGTAAAAAAAATACTCATTCATAATGAAAACCAATCACCCAAATAGAAAGTCTTACCAAAATTTTACCTAGATAAATTTGGACAAGAATTCCTTATATTTAAAATGAACTTTAACAATATAAATTTGGTTAATAAACTAAAAGTAATCGTTCCACCATTTTACTTAAAAATAATCATTTCATGGATAAATTCAAATCTGAAAAGTAATCAGATCAACTATCATATAAACAGCTTAGACAGCAAATTATATGGGGCAATAAATATATCAAATTAAATGGTAAATGTCTTATTTTCAAAAACTGGATAAACAGTTAATTTTTATTCGTAAATGACATAATTGATAATAAAGGAAAATTTGATCAAAATATGATTTTAGATAAACTATCTTGCCATGCTACTTGGTTTTCGGAATATTTTAAATTGACGAAAGCAATACCAAAACCGTGGTTACAAGAGCTAACTTAAGAAAAATCAATTGAAACAAAAATAACTAAAACTCCTTTATGTTATATATGCTATGTCATTGAAGATTATGAACATTATTTTTTGACATGCAAATTTCTGAAATTATTTTGGATCAAACAAAACTTATACTCGATAAACTTAAAATTGGACATCATATAATATCATTTGCATCACTTTTGTATGGATACAAGATAAACAATACAAATTATTACAGTATTAAGGATTTTCTAACAATTATACTTTTCACTGTATACAAAGCATATTATATATCCGAGCAAAAAACAAAACAAGTTAAAGTGTTTGAAATTTTTAAAAACAAATTTCTTCAACATTACAAAATATTGATAAATAAAGATAGCAAATGTGATAACTTCCAAAATTTAGTTGCAGAAAAAAAAAATTTATCTTCTTAAACTAAGGTTTTAAAAAAAAACTAAACGATGATTTTTCAGATTAAAAGAAATGAAAATAGATCTTATTTCATAATGTAGTGGGACAAACAACTGTATTAGGAAAAAGAGAAAAGGTGATGAAGTTATTTTATGTGAACTTAACTCATGACTTTTTGGGGTATTTTTTATACTGGAATATACATATATGTATACAGTCTACCTTCTATATTTGTTGGAACTGGTTGTTTTTCATGAGGCAGCTGTAATGCTATCCTGAAAAATGAGGTAAAAAGTCTATATTCCAAAACTTTCTTTCGAAAGAATATGTTTAACGTCTGATCAATATATATAAAAGATAAAAATAAGTAAATGTATTAAGGTCTTATCGAAATCCTACAAATAATATTAAGAAGAAGCAAATATAACCTGCATATCTGTTGTTGTGATATGATTATGAATATGATCCCTGCTATCAACTTGACCGACACGCTGACCCGGATCTTTCATCTGGCTAGCTCACATGGCACAGTCACCTGGAAGACATGCCACCTTACCGGGACACATCCTTCTGGCCACGAGTCGACCAGTATTAGCTATATTTCTTATATATCAGTTGTTTAGCAAAGTTAGAGCCAATACTACTTTTTTAGTTTTTGGTTTGACTCACTCGGATATTAAACACACGACTTTTTGAACTCTAGGGAAGCATGCTACCACGAGACCCCAAGTTTGTTAATAATGCAAATAAAACATTTTTTTTTTCATAACAAGTTAAAAAAAATATAAATACAAATGTTAACTTTTTGGTACATACAAAATTGATTTCTTCGGTTGACTTGGTTGTAGTTGAAGAAAACTTTTCCCTCTTTCGAAATTCCGAGTATTTCCGTTTCCATGATCTCTGAATCTGAAATATAATTTAAAGTCAAAGACACGGATAAGGATATTTCTTAAAATAGAAAGTCAGCAGCGAACCCAGTATTTTTTAAAAAGCGGCCCTCGTGGGGGCCCGCCAAAAAAAAAGGAGGCTATTGTACTGAAAATTCAAATTTATGCACTTTTAAACCTCCTTTGGAACCGCCACTAATTGTATACTGAGTGCAATTTTAGCACGTTAACTGGAGTCCAAATGTCTTTCTATTTTTTCATGAGAAAGTAGGATGGTACACTAAATGGTATGAATTATTTATTCTAAATGTTGCACTACACGTTTTCTCATCTAGTTTAGACTAATGTTATATGTTAGCAAATAGCCCTGATTATTTGGGCGATATTGCGACATTTACGTTAAGAAAATTTTGATCTAGCAACCGGACACGTAACATCCAGGATAAAATAATGTAGTGTACCATTTTAATCGAATAAACAAGATAACAAGGACTGAACATAATAAATTTCTTTTTGATCAAATTTAACTCTATTTTCATTCGACAAGTGATTTTTTTTCTTCAAAAATTTGCAATTTAACAATCCTTTTTTTAGCCGGAAACTTTGTTCTTTTTTGAAGAAAAAAAGCTTCCAAACATACTGTCGCTAAATTATTTTACGCTTGTTCTTTGATGTGTTCTAAAAATATTATTGGTACAATTATTCATATATAGATTTGATAGTTCATGTAATAAATATATATTATATCAAATGTAACTGTAGATGTAGCTAATGAACCATTTTATGGATAATTGTGACTCCAAATGGAAACATGTTTCGAAAGCATTCTTCCCTCTATTTGATTTATAGGACTTATATATGAGATGATGTGAATTTAAGTTTTTAAATTTTAAAACACCTCTTTTTTCTTATAAAGAAGTGTTATCTGCTTGGAAACGTTTCAAGGAGATTTTGAACCCGTTAGATGCATTTCATGTGAGAAAAGAATTTATTTGGTTCAACCCTTTCATCAAAGTTAAAAACATGAGTGTGTTTTACAGATCTTGGTACATGAAAGGCACAAGGTTCATCAATGATATTGTAAGTGACAATGGTGAATTTTTGTCTCATGACGATATTAATCTAAAATATAACTTAAATGTCACTTTTGTAGATATTCTATCTATCAAACTTGCTTAACCACGTGATTGGAAAGAGTTGTTAATACAGCAACTCATGCTACCTAACATCAACTCATTTGGATTTGTTTTGGACATGAGAATAAAAAAAACGCCGACCAGTAAATTGTATTCCTATTTCACAACAAAGGTAGGAAGAAATTAAAAGCTTTAATATAGAAATTGGTGATGAAAAATGGAAATATATTTATTCACGGGCTTTCAAATGAACTATAGAAAGTAAACTACAAGCTTTCCAATACAAATTCTACACAGAATAGTCTCTCATAATCATCTTCTTGAAAAATATAGATTTTCAGATACTAATGAATGTGTCGGATGTAAAGAGATAGACACTATAGAGCACATTTTTTTTGCGTGCACAGAAATTATGTTTTTGGAGTAAAAATATTTTTGAATAAAGACAGTGGTTTTTTTTTGTGTTTTGAATTCTGATAACTTAGTTTTATATTATTGTATTCTACAGGGAAAGTATTACATTAACTATGTAAAGATCACACAATTAGACAGACTGTTAATATCTGTGCAAGCTTTCCTTGAATTTTTGAAAAGACGTCTGGAAGTTTTAGAATATTAAATTATATCTATCTAAAGACAAACACGAGTCATTTGTTGACAGATTGGGGGAAATTATGGAATTTATTAAATTTATTTTGAATATGATTGTATATTCAATGAACTCAAAAGTAATCTTAATATAGTATCATATACTGTATATTCACTTCGAAGACTTAAATACTTAATATTTCTTAATCGCATTATAACAATTTCATATAATTTTTTTATCATATTCACTTATGTCTTGTTACAATGTATGAATGCACTGTAGTTTGAACACCATAAAAGATCAATAAAAAAATTTAAAAAAGGAAACCACATATGATATAGCAGTGCATGCATCTGTTTGTAGATAATGAAATCCTATGCATACTTACTTTTGGGTCTAATAATCCATGTAAAATAAATATCAGCAGTCCCTGAAATTGCATTATAATATTGCAATATTTTTTTTTAAATAACACATTGTATGAAAAGATGGGTTTCATATACATGTATCTATACGGAAATACAACAGTAACCCAATATCAATGACAACATGAATATATCTAATTTACAACAGAATTAAACATGTAATTTTTTTGTGTTTGAGCTTTTGAATTTGCCATTTGATAAGGGACTTTCCGATTTTGAATTTTCCTTGGAGTTCGGTATTTTTGTTATTTTACCTTTTGATATGTGTTAAATAACGTCTTAAGTAAATATTTCCTAGATATAACAACTTTTTCTCTCAATGTACGTATTGTCTACTATAAGAAAAATTTTCAAAAATAATTGTATTTGCCAAACATCTTATTACCGCGTGTATGGAAGAATCATCCTTTCATTAAATCATGTCTGTTTTTTGTCAAAACGCTTGCTGAGATATGATGACATTTATATATACAATTGTTTACATAATTTCCTTGAAGGGAAGAGAATCATAACAGTGTACCATTAAAAACAAAACTTTGTATCATGATTCATAAAAAGTACACTATTCAGTTACAATAGAAAGGCTTAAAGTGAAATATATTTTTACTTGTAACTTAAAATGGTTTTACAGAGTATCGTTATCTATATTATATTTTGAGTATGACGGTACGTATCACCAGTGAAAAAGGAAATGTCGACCATATCTGATTATATAAGTTCAACCCTGGTAGAATGCGGTCTTCTTGTCGATTCCTTTCAGCCACGGTGTTTTTTCGACTTATTCTTTTTATTGGGCTTTTTTTTGCATCTTCATCAAAGTGTACCTTGCGGTATTGTGATTTTGTCTAGTGTTTGAATGCATATTTTCTAATTGATGGTATTTTTCGTTTTACACATGTCATTAATTTTAAATTCAAGGTACCACAGTAGTTATCTGCACATGTATTTATTAAGACAGACGTACCTGAAATGAATTGATGATCACAAATAAATAACTCATAACAATAGTGTCTTCATTTAAAGAGAAGAATCCAAAACTCCACGACAATCCAAAAATGGGTGCCAATACTGAAAAACATCTCAATCCAGAGCTACAAAACAATTGTAGTTATATGTTCAGGTTTCCAATCTATTAAAAGTACAGATCCTGTGTGTCCAAGCTTTGCTTATAAGGATATGAAAATGCTCCGTTTTACTTTCTGTTTTAAAGACCTTTCGGGATCCTCTGGTTTTATCGGATTCATACACCTTTTCAAGAATTTAAAGGCTGACATTTCATTGGCTGATGTAATAATTACCAGAACAGAAAGTAAAACGGAGTGTTGTCAGATACTTGTAAGCAAAACTTAGACACATGATATCTATTTCAATCAGATTGACAGTTTTCTTACGCATGATAATATACAAACAGACACACGTATTTTATATTCTTATACACCAAAGCTAGATGCACCAACGTTATCCGTTATAAGAAACTGATAACAGTAAATTTCTTAAATGCTTTGAGTGGCCGCCAAATAAACACACTGATTTGCAGAAAGAAATACTGCACATTTTACTTTTTGAAAATTCCCTTTACTCGTTTAGGCATTTGTTTTTCAATGAATCCCTTTTAATCTCTTACTAGAACTGAATTTGTTAAAGCGTGCATTCCGCACCATAAACAGGCACTCATAGTTCATCCTAAATGATTATGTTAAAGAAATAAGTCAAATTGTTTAACTTACTTTCAACCGATTGTCAGTACATATTATTTCCGTATCCTAAACGCAATCAATTTCGTTGGTTTTTTATCATTCAATATACATTATAATGGTGTATGTGAAGTTGGCGGCCGGTTCGTTATTCGTTATTCGATATTCAAATTTTCTTAGTTGAAAGTAATAAAAATTTCAGTATTCGATGACATTAAAAGCATGATTGAGTAAAATGAGATTTAGGAAATGTTTTTGTGACCCTTTAAGTTATCGTAAATTCTCGTTGTCCTCAAATATAAACCCTCAAATATGAAACCCTTATGGAAATCGCATATTTCTCTTTATGAAATATAGATTTTTATCAATAAAATGCATCAAAGATTTACTTTTAAAACATGATTATTCAAGAAACAAAAACAAACGGACAATCTAGTTACATCTGAAAATATAAATAGAAACAACTATGGGACGCCGAAAAAAAGATATTTAATATTAATATTCAACATATTTTCAGGTAAAAGGCACAGGGTGTTGGCTAAACCTTCCCCATCTGTTTAATCTTCATAATATTATGCATACAAGTAGTTAATATATAGATACAGATGACATCAAAAGGAATTCAGGTACACTTTTTGTCTTCTATGTTTACGGAGGGCTCAAAGTACCAGTTTGATATTCAAAATATATATTGAAAACCTACCGAAGACTGCTGAAATAACAGTGAGACCCCGTGGTCTTTCAAAGTCCATCAAATTCAATAATCTTTAAGACTATGTATATTTCCAGATGCTATCAAAAGGATTTTACCCAAAAGATGTCGTTTTCGATATGTACGGAGGGCTTAAAGTGTCACTTTTCAATTAAAAATCGTCGAAAATTCAGGTAAAAGGGCACAGGGCGATGGCTAGACCTTCTATATCTCTTAATCTTCACAATACTATGCATATAAGTAGTTAATATATAGATTTAAATGACATCAAAAGGAATTCAGATACTCTTCTTGACTTGTATGTTTACGGAGGGCTCAAAGTGCCAGTTTGCTATTCAAAATATATATTGAAAACCTACCGGAGACCGCTGAAATGACAGTGAGACTCCGTGTCTTTCAAAGTCAATCAAATTTAATAATCTTTTAGACTATGTATATATTCAGATGCTATCAAAACCATATCTCCCAAAGATGTCGTTTTCGATATGTACTTAGGGCTTGAAGTGTCACTTTTCAATTAAAAATCATCGAAAATTCAGGGCACGGGGCGTTGGCTAGACCTTCTTGATCTTTTAATCTTCATATTATTATGCATATAAATAGTTAATATATAGATAAAAATGACATCAAAAGGAATTCAGGTACACTTCTACATTGAAAGACCAGGGAGGTCTCATCGTCATTTTAAGCGGTCTCCCGGTAGGTTTTGACTATATGTTATGAATATCAAACTGGCACTTTGAGCCCTTCGTAAACAAAAATACAAAAAGTTTACCCAAATTCCTTTTGGTGTCATTTGTATCTTTATATTAACTAACTATTCACTTAATAATATGAAGATTGAGAGACCAGGAAGGTCTAACCATCGCCCTGTGCCCTTTACCTGAATTTTCGACGATTTTTAGCTGAAAAGTGACAATATCTTTTTTTTTTTTGGTTTTCCATAATTATTTCTATTTGTATTATTAAATGTTACTAGATTGGTCGTTTTTTCTTTCTTTCTTATCATGTATACAAGTACATCTTTGATTGCATCTAACTGATAAAAATCTATATTTCATAAAAACAAATGTGCGATTTACATAAGGGTTTATATTTGAGGACAAAGATAATTTTACGACAGCTAGAAGGGGTCATAAAACGGTCATAGCAGCTGGTTGGATATTGAATATCGAATAACGAATAACGAACCGGCTGCTAACTTCATACACATGATATAATGTCATAATACAATGTTTTATGCAGGTTTTTTCTTGCTTTGTGTATTCGAAATAGATAAACAAGTACTGAACATCTTAAACTACTGTTGCCTATAATTTACAACTATTCATAGACACCAGGTGTGTTTGGACACTATCTTTGACAAACGTGAAGATTTACGTTTTCCTTTATCTTAATAACAATATGTCTCTACATATCACCTGCGTATGTTGTATGCGATATCCTTGTTGGTTTTCTTCTTTATTTCCTACGTTCTCAACTTTGACTTCCTTTGCAGTGGCAAATTAAAACAAGAGTGCACACGCTGAAATGTCTCGCCTGCTTTACTACCATTGTTGTAAAACTTTATGTTTAGGGCTATCAACATAAAATCAATCATTGATTTTATGTTGAGAGCCCTAAACATAAAGTTTTACAACAAGTATCACATTAACTTATCATGATCCAAGAAAATGAGGTGAAGGTCAGATAAATCGAGCCAGAAATACATGAACACCCTACAATCATTCCATACATTGAATATAGTTGACCTATTGCTTATAGTATACAAGAAACAGACCAAACCATGCAAAATTTATATTGACAAATGAACCATGAATATGAGATCAAGGTTCAGATGAACCCTGCCAGAATGAAATGTACACTTTACAATCATTCCATGGATCAAATATAGTTGACGTATTAAATATAGTATCGAAGAAACAAACTTAAACACGAAAACTTATCATTGACCAAGAACCATCAAAATGAGGTCAAGGTCAGATGATACTGGCCAGACAGACATATAAACATTACAATCATTCCATACACCAAACATAGTTGACCTATTGCTTATAGTTTAAGAAAAGCAGAACAAAACACAATAACATTGAGCAATGAACCGTGAAAATGAGATCAAGGTCAAATAAAACCTGCCAGACTGACATGTACATCATAAAATATTTCCATACACCAAATATAGCTGACCTATCGCATACAATATTAGAAAAATAGTTCAAAACACAAAAACATAATTTTAACCACTGAACCATGAAAATGAGGTCAAGGTCAGATGACACCTGCCAGTTAGACATGTACACCTTACAATCATTACGTACACCAAATATAGTAGACCTAATGCTTATAGTATTTGAGATATGGACTTGACCACGAAAACTTGTTCACTGATGCATGAAATGAGGTCGAGGTTAAGTGAAAACTATCCGACAGGCAGGAGGATCGTGCAAGGTATGTACATATCAAATATAGTTATCCTATTCCTCATAATACGAGAGGAATTACCATTAAAAAAAATCTTAACTTTTTTTTCAAGTAGTCACTGAACCATGAAAATGAGGCCAAGGACAAAGGACATATGATAGACGGAAACTTCATAACATAAGGCATCTATATACAAAGTATGAAGCATCCAGGTCTTCTACCTTCTGAAATATTAAGCTTTTAAGTAGTTAGTTAACGCCGCCGCCGATGCCGCCGCCGGATCACTATCCCTATGTCGAGCTTTCTGCGACAAAAGTCGCAGGCTCGACAAAAAATGTATTGCTCGATAAAGATATAATTATCAAAAATTTTATATCATCTCTGCAGCAGAATATGCTAACAGTTTATACGCATCTCACATTACTTCCGCTTTGATAGGAGTCTGAGTCTCAAAGAACTTTTATTCTAAGTTTTCATGCTTAGCAAAGACATTGAGTTGTCTCGTTTATTTCATGAATCAGTACTTGAACCTCGCTATATGTACGTGTATTGTCTTCAATATTTCGAATTTTAAATCTCCTTTAACACAGCCTTCTATTTGTTTAAAAAATCTATATTCGATCCGTTTTTGTGGTCTTCGACCAATGGAATCAACCCATTGGCCGAGGACAATTCCGATTACTGGCGAAACATACTTCTTTCTGGTTTGACGTTCATCATGTAGGATTGAGAGGGAAAATTTAGAAAGCAACAAATATTAAACTTTTGAGATAATAAAACCCTAAAGTACCGAACAAATACACAATTAACCGATGTTTTAAAACAGCGTTTTTCCTGATGTGCTAATTTTGTGCTGTTATTTACCAATCAAAACCGGAAAATATATTCATTTAGTCTCAGTAATAAACCGAACTGCCCATAACGGGTACGTTATCCTTCAGAATCAGAAGAAATCTAGAAAAAACTGGTTAAGCAGCACCAAGAGCTTGTTAGTTTTATAAATGCTTTATATATATAGTTTTCATTCAGTTGTCCGTGTTTGTCCTTCACATTTGTTACTGGATGAGTTCGATTCGCTAACGATGGCATAGTTATTTTTCCTGCACTTGCAATTGCGTTGACAACTTCTTAAACATGGTCAACACTATTTCATAACGTTGGATAGGTAATGAAATGGACTTAATGATCAATAAAGATTTCCAACAAAAACCCAACTGTACCCTATGGAACTTATTAGATAGTACTTACATTAATTGCTGCAGTTTTGTTTTCTTCTTTACAGCTTTTATAGAGAACAACTTCGTCACCACAAATACAAAGATCACAAAGTTAGTCTAGAGCAAAGAAAACAATTTGACTATTATTCATGATTATCCGAAATTTAAAATTACTAAACAGATCACAGGGCGGTAGATTTTTCAAATCAGTCGATAAAAGTTTTGTTTAGTCTACTTTTGGTTTCTATTGGGATTTCTTTAAACTTAGAATAGTTTTAATGGTAAACGGGTTTTTTTTTTTTTTTTGGTTTATAAAACCAATATTAAAGTAACGTGTTTTTTTTTAAACTGGCTTTATTGTATCTTCTTTTGAATATCTTTGGTAATTTTAGATTAAGGAAGGGTCAGAAATCAAAGTTTGATGAAACCAAGGGAACAATCAAAATCATACATCAAATAACAGATATTTGTAATAACAAAGTAATAAAAAAAAACACTAGCAAATATCGCGAAAGTAAGAACTGCCGTTTGTGATGTCACAAAAATGTAGAAATTGACATATTTGACAATAAATTGCCATATTTCGCCATATTATATATATACACCAATGCCTAACCATACACATATTAGACTAACGTCTAATGAACATTGTAAGATTTTTATTTCATAGATGTTTCAATTCAAGGAACCAAAAAAGTAGCCTTATCCTTTTCTTCTATTTTTAATTTTTGTTATGGTAGTACATATGTTTGGTAAATATTGGATTCAATTATGAAATAGTTTAATTGATGTCAATCCCATCGAGACAATGCTATATTTTATATAATGGAAAATAATATGCAAAAAGTATATATTATTTGATCTTTGATGCATAATGGCATTTTGTGGTATTTTTTCTGAAAATTGCAAAATGTGATAATAAGGCTACTTACAAGAACAACTACAGCACATGGAACAGTGAACGTACAGATTAGTCCATTACTTGTTGATAACCAACAACTAGAATAATGCTAATATCTCAAAATTGCTGTTTTCAATTTAATCATTTGTTAGTAACAGTAAAATAAAATCTAAGAATAAGCATACGGAAGTAAGTGTAAATTAATGTTATGACAGAATATATCAAAATTGGATGTATGTATGTTGATGAGCTAACTTAGTTTTCTTTCCTATAGAATGTTTTTATTAGGTGAAATGTAATGAATGGTTTGCCCTTCTTCTGTGCTTTGTGTACCATATATACTGTAATTAGAAAGAGTAACACATTGATTCATTTTGACGTTTCAGTATATTATCAAAATAAATTATGAGAGTCATAAAGGGCCTAATTTTACCCCTCAAATTGATGATAATGAACAAAGGTCTATTTGCTTTATGATAAAGATTGTGACTAGGGATTTGCAAACAGTTAAAATTAGTGCTTCTTTCTTGTGTTAAAGGTCCCGCAAAAATGGACAAATTGGGATACAAATAAAATGCTTTTGAAGTAAGGCGACAGTCGTTTAACGATGCTCAAATCCCGTTGTTCGATTGGGAAGGCACAAATCAACGGAAGAAACAAATACTGAGTGAGTTGCATTAACTCTAAAAATACATTAAACGACACAAACTCTAAGAGACAAAATATTTCTTAACAGTTTAGTTTCTACCAAAAAGCACCTTCCGTTGATATATATAGAAGTGTCTATATATTTTATAGATCACTTCACTTTCGCTGGTGAAATTGCAAAATTTTACATTTTCCTTTGATTTCCGAATTTTTTAGGTTAGAGATAGAATTGAAATTGGAAACGAGAAATGTGTCAAAGTACAGAAAATAGCACAAGGCCACCAATGGGTCTTCAACGCAGCGAGAAAATATAGTATCAAATCCGAACATTATACAGGAATACCAGCTTTTAGACTTGCTGAATTTGTCGAAATCTTATGGATATATGTACAATACTTTTTGAAAAATCATTGGTTCGATTTTTGTGCTTAATTATCCTTCTCATACGCATGGTGCGGAATAATAATATTCATGAAGACAACAAGTGTTTACTAGTATTTTTAATGCCTATTTTTTTGTTTTTGTTTTTGTTTGCTTGTTTTTTCTGCTATTTTTTATGAATATTTAGATCCCTTAATGTAATTAAAATGTTTTTATCTTGCTACATTTTATGGAAACTCAATATAAATAAAGGCAAAAGTAGTATACCGCTGTTCAATAGTCATAAATCGATTTAACTGAAACAAATCCGGGTCACAAACCAAAACTGAGGGAAACACATCAACTTTAAGAGGAAACAAAACGGAACAACAGAAACACTGAACTGCTACAAAAACAAACTCCAACATACATAGAAACGGACTATGTGATAACAACTGCCATATTCCTGACTTGGTAAAGGACATTTTAAGAAAAAAATGGTGGGTTGAACCTGGTTTTATGGCTAGCCAAACCTCCCGCTTATATGGCAATGTTTGAAAATACCGCTAAAATGACAACATTACGTGACAGGAATACAGTATAAATAAATGCAAGAACATTCAGGACAGAGAAATACATAAATAAATAATATAAAATTACATTTCAACATGTAAACCACAGATTAACAACGAACGCTTAAAATTAATTTACGAAATAACACAAATACAGCACAATAGAATAATGAACTGTGAATAAAGAGGAGTACACTAGCTAGATACAAATGTAACAAGACATGTCAATCTTTTGCCAGATTAGCCACATAAAATCAGGATGAGCATACTAGGACATGAAAAATAAATGATAGACCTCTGTATCATTATATTATTATCTTATATCAAAAAGGATATGATGTATAAATTCATGATCGACACACAATTACTTAACGCTCATGTAAAACAAGAGCAAATAAACAACGCTTTAATTGCTGTTTTTTTAATATTTTTATCGGAAATGTATACTTAAAAAATATAAATCAGATTATGTCATTCAAACATAAAACCCAATAACACAATACAACTACACATGAACATCTAGTTTTATTTATAAAATTCAATCAACTTAAATATGACAAATTGGTTCAAAATATTCGTATTAAACCAAGTACAAACCAAACTGTTAGGAGGTTATTGATATTTTAAAAAGGTACAACTTCATTAAAATATTTCCAAATCTACAACCCTAATTTAGGAAACTGTGTAGTCGATGATATTGATCTCATTTTGTTCATTGTTTATATGAACTGTAGGAAGTATTATAATGCTCTTGGTATATTTCCCATTAAGGTTGTCGCTTTTTAAAACTGAACATTAGTACTCATTTGTATCCAGCCATGTTGCGTTGTTGTAACTTTACTACATAACCTCATCTCTTTCTGAATCAAACTGGTTCCAATGCAAATAACGCGGGTTGAACCGAAACTGGTATACAAAATACAAAATCTAGTTGAATTATATTCCTTTTTCGTATCAAAACTATTGAACCTTGTACTTTGAACCTTTCGGACCATATGAAAAACGTTTATGTATGCAATTTCGTCCCCTATGGAATACTTATATGCATGCCATTTAGTACCAAAATGTTTATCTACAAAGTTGCCAATTCTAATTCACTATGTTGGTATAGTTGGTCCAGTGATGAATATGATAATCATCATGTAGACCAAATTAAGCGGTTGATTATCTTTAATTGCAGAACTCTAATTCTGTTGCTGTTAAATGTTAATGATAGATATATTGGCTTCAATATCTTACGTATTTTAATAGCAAGCAAAACATAAAACACAACTTATAAAAAATGAATGAATTTGAATGTGCATCTTCAAGATCGAGATAAAAAAAAACATCAAAAACCAAATAAGATAAGATAGGCTACATAATAGACCGAAGTATTTTTTTAATAAAATGAAATGGCTATGTATGGTACGAAAAGGTCTTTGCTCGCGGTACGAAAGGGTCTTTGTTCATGGTTCGATGGGGTCTTTGTTCACGGTACGAAAGGGTCTCTGTTCATGGTTCAAAAGGGTCTTTGTTCATGGTACGAAATGGTCTTTGTTCACGGTACGAAAGAGTATTTGTTCATTGTACTAAATTGTATTTGTTCATGGTACGAAAGGGTTGTTGTTCGTGGTACGGAAGGATATTTGTTCACAGTACGAAATGACTGGCTTCCAATTAGTTTAGGGTAAGTTTTCTAATAATTCATTTCATCAATATGTCCAATAAAACCTTGTCTTAGTTTCTATGGAGGAATGGATACCACAGAAAATGGTATTTTTGCTTACAGTTTTCATAAATATAAATTTCATGACATATATTTTATAGCTACTTACTACTTTCCATCGCCATATCCATCTAGTTTTGTAACTGCCGTGGATATCGCGACAATAAGCACAGGTATTCCTACAGGAAAATACACAACACAAACTTTCTTACAATTGTATAAAAGTACATAGACTTACAGCTTGCAATGCAAAGGCAGAAAATGAGTCAAGACTATGTTTGCCCTCCTTCCCCATGATAAGTTTAAAAATAAAATAAACATTAGTTAATAATCTGAAGATACTGTCCAATAATTAGGATTTAATTTGGAAAAAAACCAATAAGTCGAAGAAATTGACCGTGAATATCATGTTCTAAAGACAAAACGACGGAAAGACAAACAATAGCCCACAAAACGCTACATAGATATGTAAAAACTAAGGAAAACGAACACCGCCCTGGAACGGTATGCAGATCCTGGTCTACTAGTGGCACATGTTGTGTTAATCATAGTAAGTAAATATTCGATGATAAGTTGCATTCGGTGTCTTTGATGTGGGAGGGTTTGAGGCAGTTCTTGTCATAAATAGTAGGCTAACCTTTTGTCATCAAAGAAATCGGTATCACATTTTTATACCCCAAACAAATATTAGTGTTTTTTTTTAGATTTTATCTCTTTAGAACGTGTGTTCTTTTTTTGTTTTTGTTTTATTTCTTTCTAGATTTGTTTGTTTGGATTTTTTTAGGCGAGGGAGGAGGATTAAGGTTTTGTTTATCATTTATAGGGGGCTAACCATTTTCATTAACATAAAAAAGAATTATTCGCACAAAAAGCCTCATTTTGCAACTTGTTAATATTCTACCAATTGTCATTGTTTTTGTTCCCATATTCGAACTTAAAAAAGTGAAGTTTTAACCTATAACCTCTGCTTTAATCATATTGAGATCATATTAAATATATCAATATGAAAGCAGGTCATATTCGGATTCGGACTAATTTTAAACTGAATTTTACTGTGCGTATTGATGTGTGTTTGTTTAATCCACATTGGCTAGAGATATAGGGGGAGGGTTGAGATCTCACATGTTTAACACAGTCGCATTTTTGCGCCTGTCCCAAGTCAAGAACATTTGGCCTTTGTTTTTTTTAAATTTTGGTTCATTTATATGTTTCGGAATTTAGTGTGACGTCCATATTCGCTGAACTAGTATACATTATTGTTTAGGGGCCAGCTGAAGCCCGCCTCCGAGTGCGGGATTTACTCGTTGTGTTGAAGACCCATTGGTGGCCTTGGACTGTTTTCTGCTCTTTGGTCGGGTTGTTGTCTCTTTGACACATTCCTCGTTTTTATTCTCAATTATATAGGTCATACAATATTACAAAAATAAATTAACTTAAAAAAAAACCGAGTGCAATAATACTTTCGAGTGTCTGGGCATACATTCCGAGTTGAAAAAAAGCACTATTACTCACCAAATCCTATAGGAAGAAGAATCGGTGATATTGAACGTTGTTGCGTTGATGCGAGTACGGTGGCCAGCATTTTCCCGTGCACAATGCCTTCTGCAACCATCATATGTATACCCACTAGGAATAGGAAATGCAGGACAACAGCCACTACCTTGCAGGTGATCTGTCAGCATTATACAGAATGAAATATATTGTTATTATAAAATCTTCAACGAAATACAAAGTAAACATTATCTTTCGAAAAAAAAACATTTTGTTTTCTTTTTTCCTTTCGTTTTTTATCAGACGTTTCTTCAAAGAACATACAATATATAAGATGTTTATCTCTATCTGAAATAGCTATCATATTATAATCAACACAAAGATGAAGTAAATATATGTAAATTGCTAATTTCATTCCTTTTTATGCCAGTTAAAAGAACGTTAGCGAAAAAACATATATCACTAAATGAAATATATCACCTTATTCTCTGTGCCCTCTATTCCAGCTAGAAATACCACATACGCTAGGAGAAAAACTACAGCCATGGTGACGAGTATTTTCGACTTGTCAGATGGAAGAAATCTGGAAAATAACAACAGTCTTAAATAACGCGGTAATTCTTGAAGATATAGGATCTAAAGTGACTATATCGCTCTCCTAAATCTATACTTAGTGGTATGATTAAACCTATTCTGTCTTTTGAATGCTGCAACAATTTATCCCCCAAGTATTTTTCATGAAATTGTCCAGTCTGAATTAAGAATTGTTTCTAGCTGCGACAGGAATACATGCTGGTACCTTGACCAGAAATAAATAAGGAATTTCAAAGAAGGATCATACAGGCATTATCATTGACAAGTTTATTTCACGCTGCCCAGGTTTGATAAAAAAATATGAAAACTAGATCTTCCTTATGGTTCAGTGTAGAACTATCTATTACATTTCCGTTATGAATGCCACATTATCAACACCACACAATACTAAATCTTTGTAGAAGATTACAAATAACCATTCCTATAAAGCTTGTTGTTTTTATTTAATGGAAACTAGAAATTCTTAAAAAGAACATTAAATAAAATTAGTCTTGCTATGTACGATTCTGGTAAGCAATGATATAATTGGTCCGAACTGAGGAATCACCGTACCTACTTTTAAATTGTTGTTTTCTCTATGGAAAACACAGAACTAATTACAGAAAAGATAAACATTCCAAAAAATTATGACGAACAAATGGGCAAAAATAGGACAACATTTCAAATTACCATTTTGAGGAAAAAGAGAAAGTGTTTTCAAGGTTAACAAATTTTCATATGTATAGTTTTCAATAGCTATGAAAGTTTCATCATAATGTTTTACTACATATCGTAACAGTGTCTCAAGTTTCTAATCTTACTAAGTGTAATCAGTTTCGTTACGGTCGTCACTTTAAACAAATTAGGTTATATTAGAAGAAGAGTTCACGAAAGAAGTTAATAACACCTAAAATGTAACCGCCTTTTCGATAAGTGGGTGTTACATGTGCAAGTCGAGAGGAGAGACTCCCATGGGTAGATTGTAAGTCTTTTCATAAATAATCTTACGACGAGAAATCACTCGTTAGTCATGAATATTATGGTATGACATATTCTAAATTTAAATCTAAAACAGACTCGCATGCTCTAAATTACATATCCGAGTTATAATGGAAACACCCTAAGTATTATAAACCGACCGAGATATTACATAATAAACCCAGGATCTGACGCGCAGTGAAGGTTTGGCCATAATCCAGGCTTTTAAAAAACACACTTGAGGTTTTCTGATGGTTGACGTATTTCAGTCATCATCTGATCATGTGTGACGATCTATTTATAAGCAAGGCCACAGCATTGGAGTTTGAAACGTCTAAGACAAACGACTCCACTAAGCCAACCTGATTTGCTGTGTAGCTTATGATTGTGGAATTTAAAATTTGACACATAAACATTTATAAAATATTTGCAGGATAAATGCACGTAAATAATGAATGGACATGCTTTTTCCAGTAATGCTTTCTTTATTAACAAATTGACGTCTTGTCCATTTTTTAATGAATATTTCAACCGTGGGCTCAACCTGATATAGTATTTATTAAAAAGACGTCTGGTTATTTAAAAAAATAATCTACACATATCATGTGTGTTATAAAACAAAATCACATTACTGAGATACCATTCTTCGTTGTACATGTCTGGTTGTCCTAATATTAATGTACCTGTACGAATTTTCGTGTAATTTTTCGAAAATGACCGTATTATTAAGCCAATGAAGTACTCAGTCTGTCTTTTAACATAATCTTAGTAATCATACTTTAATCATAACGAGGAATTGATTTTGCGTGGCCACAGTGAGGACTAAAAAAAATTCTTTATTTTTTAAATTCTTTTTCCTTTGCATACATTGAGAATAGGTCAATGTAAAGGGAACGACAATTTTAACCATTTAAGAATAAAATGAAATAATAAAGAAATATTTTATTTTTTGCCTAAGAAGCGATAAGTTAAAAAGCGCATATGTCCTAATGTCTCCATCATTACACACTGAGAAAGACTGAAACACTTTAATGTTATCGAATAAATTCCTCTCCGTTTCAATAATACAACAACACGCTCCGGTCGCAACTGGTCTACGTAACGAAAGGCGTCTCACATATTTCTCTACTTTCGAGGATATAATGTGCAATTTCTTATTTCCATGAGCCAAAAATACGAAGAAAAAGTCTAAGCAACTATGTTCATATCTACAGACTTACGCAATAAGAAACATATTTTTCAGTGGTTCTCGATAAATTTCTCACTGTTTCGATTACAAATGTTCGCTCCTATCTAAACCGGTTACCGAAATGCAGGTAACAATGGCAGGGCCATACATGAGAAGCCAAATTTATTTTTAAAGCAAGGTGTGGTTGTATAGAAATTATATTCTTAAATTTTATTAAACCTTCAAAACCATTTCTTGAGCGTTTTCCACCGTAGTTGGACGATATACTTTAGAATTCCGCGTCAAATGTTATTACATGATATAAACACACGTTAACTGATTCTTTTCCATAACAACACCCGTATGTTAATGACCCAGTTATCGGTTACAATGACATGACATTAACGATTCTCCTAATTATCCGAACATATCGCGGTAAGAGCCTGGTACATCGAGGACCATATCAAGTGGGGGATAAACATATTGATTCCTTTATTTTTTTAACGTTTTCTTCAAATCGTATTGATATCCTGTGGATGCTTGTTTTATATCAAGCAGAGTGTACTCTCTCCTTCTAATATACAATATTAGTCTTGTACTAAATACACGTACGACTGAAAATAAATTTGGTAATGCATGCGCACCAGAAGACTTTTTTACTTTCTAAACACTAGGCCTTACATCATTTGGGGTGCATGCGGTTCCAATTGTTATTATAAAAAAAATGTCTGTTTGTATTCCTTAGGGACATGGTATGTACATGTTTTTTTTTTGTATATTAAAACAGTATTAAATCAGTTGAGAGTCATACCATTAACCTATTCGTTGAGTGAGCGAATAGGCTTAATATGTTATAGAATATCAATCGATTAATCAGATTGTGCATCTGTGTGCATTTTCGTCATCGAAACATTAGTTAGAATCGTGTACCAGCAAATCAGAAGAGGACTTGATAATTTATTGTCTAACTTTTCGATGTGGGTAATAAGTCCGGGTTAAAATTATTAACGCCGGGTACTTTATATTTGACGTCACAAAGCCGTAATGAGCCAAGAGCAGAGTAGTCTGAAACAGGCAGAAGGAAGATCATTTAAACTTACATTGGTATAATTAGTTAAAGTCATATGATATTTCGAATATAACCAAAAAGCTGATTACGTTTTTTATACCTGAATGTACATAGATTTTCTTTTAAAACTAGAAGTTTATCCAGTTCCTCAGAAATGTATTGCTATTGAACTATTGTTTTCCCGTACTATAATTCGTGACACCTTTCGCATGCAGTGACCTCATCCATGAACACCTCTTTGTAATAACAAACGTACAAGGAAGATAATTTAAATCGATTATGAAAGAAACATTTTAATACACCAAATCATTTAACAACTGTAATGACAAAGTTAAAAAGTTTGATTAACAAATAGAAACGCATTGTTAGTAAAAAAAACAAATAAACAATTCTGTACCATCTCACCTGGTCACGTACACCATGATTCTGTGATGATTGTTTATCAAATTCACGACCGGTACATTTCGACATCAACACCCAAAATGTAGTTAGCAGCAAATGTTTTCGATTAACAATCACCAAATGAAATATTTTTAGTCGATATTACTATATGAATTCGTAATAATTGTAATGATAAAACGATATAAAACAGATACTCATGTATAGCTTCAATTATTTCCTTGACATGTTAATCACCAAAAACTCATTTCATCTGACTGAAACATTTTTTATAACCTAATGAGGCATTCATTTAACTGAGTTGTGATTGATGGACGTTACGGGAGAAACACTACTGTAACAACAGCCCATGAAAAGGCCGTGAAATGTCTGTGAAATATCACAGGGCCGTGAAAACCCCGTGAAAATACCCCTTGACTTATGTAAAAAAAATATTTCTAAAGGCCGTGAAAAATATTTGATGTTAAAAAAGACCGTGAAATTTCAATATCCCGTGAAAAGGCCGTGATAATTTGTCCTTTCATGCTTAATAAAAAATATCAAGGCCTTTTCACTGGTTGTTGAAACCAGTGAAAAGGCCGTGATATTTTTTCATGTCAATTTTTTCTTATCCTAATTCAGATTTAAAACATCCCATGTGATTATTGTAATATGGTCTAATTATTTCCACTCACATTTTTCTAAATATCCTATAAACTTTTCATTATAAATATATGTCTGTTTAAATATTATAAATGCAATACTATTGTACAGGACTGACTTTTAAATGGAACCATTCATTGTTATAATTAATTAATGACTTTGTGCCAATAAATATTTTGTATTTAAAGAAAAGTATTTTGCTTCTCGTCTGTACATTATTATAAACAATGTAAAACATTAATTTTAATTGGAACCGAAACATGTAAAAACGAGAACTTCCCGGAATATCAGACCGTATCCGGATTCGTGTTTCTTTTAGAGTAATTGTATCATTTCCGCAAGGTTGAATTGGAAATTTGAAAGACGCCGAAGGTCGATTAATATTTACTTTATAGATGCAAGACGAGTGACAGCAAGTTTGAGGTAAGTTAAGTTATTAATATTTTATTCTTTTATGCATCATATCACCAAAATGTTGATGACGTTTGTGAGCATTTCCATTGAACTGATTTTCACTGAATTTGCAGAAACCGCGCAAACATGCATGTGATATATTCACTTATATTTGAGTCTGTTGCACTTGATTCCTTTAATCATTTCGGAATGTTTGCTAAGACTTACCGGATCCTTTAAATACGATTACGGTTTTGTTTTGTTTATGTATTTGGGGGGAAAAGGGGGGTCCTTTTTCCCCACACTGGCCACATAAAAAAATGACATTTATGTACAGTACACTACGTAGACATAGACATAGATAATTGGAAATGATTATAATAGCAATAAGTATCTCTGAAATGGAGTTCACTCTGATAATCAGAGGCGTAACCCCCTTTGAATGTGTCGGGAGCTATTTAAGTATTTTCTGACTTGGCCGTCGGGACACAGAGTTCAAAAGGGATTAATCAGAGGCGTAGCAAGGAAAGTATTTAATATTTGTACGGCAAAATGTCCTTTCTAGAAGGGTTTGTGCCATAACATAAGAATAATTGGTATGGCAATGAGGTGTTTAAAAATAATTGGTATGGCGAATGTGCCTGCAGTAAAAGTAGCTACGCCCCTGGCCCCCTGTAAAATAAATAGCTGTGACTCATTACGGCCACTTAGTCTAGACAAGTTTGGCTTTAGCCATACATATTATTACTTCAAAGAAACATTTAAATTTAATAGTCTGTCTTAAAAGTGTCTTTAGTCTTTAAAAAAATCTAAAAAAAATAATATAAGTTGACAATACAGAACTTCGTTAACTAATGATGCCATATTGGATAGGGGCAGATTTTCTGGAAAATGCTATGAAAATATGGGAAAACCAATGCATGTTTCCAAGTGGCTGTTCTGTTTCAATGATGTTTTTTAGTATTTTTCATACCATTTTCACCTCCAGTATGAAAATCTGCCCCCTATTCACTATGGGATCATTAACCGTGAAGTCCTGTATTGCATGGAATAATATTGTAGCTGTTTTAAGTACATGTATGTACATAAATGCCAAAAATTAATTTGAATATATAAATAGATTTTTATATACATGTATAATATATGTAATGTTTCTTTATTTATTCTAGGAATGAAGAGCAAAAGGATATAGCAGTCTTTATATAAAATAGTTCAGGAATCCAGTTGGAAAGAAGAGCTTTTCAGTTAAAAGTATTGCCTGGGAATTAACAGGAACTTCTATAAATGTTTTTCTGGAATAGTTATTCAAAAGGGCAGTGAAGTGAAGGATTACATTAGACAAATATTGCTGAAGTGGTAAAATCAGACCCAAAATTTCTACAATACATGTTACAGCTGACATTTGTGTGCTTTTATGTTTTCTTTACATAATTACTACAGTTCTATTAAAATTAATATTTTTATTCTTTGTCACAATTATTACTAAAAAAAATACAGCATTTTAATATGGTTTTTCATAGTCTCACTTGCACTGTACTTAAATAAGTTGTCTGTAGATGTTTACACTAGGTTTTCAGGCATTTCACTTCACTTGATTGAAATAGCATTTAAATTTTTTGTTAAATTATGGCCTGAAAAATACATTTAACATTTTACAGGAGTTTTCACAATTAGTGAATGGCTGTTTATCACAGTAGTAAATGTACATTTCACGGTCTTTTCACAATGGGCACATAATTTATCACGACTTTTTCACGGTGTACATTTTTGTTTTTCACAGGGTTTCTACGGTCTCTTTACCCAAGTTTTCAGTTGGCACCTTTTCACGGCCATTTCACGACAAATGAAGGCATATACTGTACTATATCTACATTTCACGGTCTTTTCACAATGGGCACATAATGCATTATCACGACTTTTTCACGGGGTTTCTACGGTCTTTTCACCCAAGTTTTCAGGTGGCACCTCTTCACGGCCTTTTCACAAACTTTTCACAGCCTTTTCATGACAGTCATTCCACAGCATTGTCACGGATAAGTTTCACGGCCCACCGTAAATAAACCGTGACAAACACTGTAAAAATCACCAGCATTTTTACGGACATTTTCACGGCCAATCTACGGGGCATTGTTCCAGTAGTGAAAGGTTTAAAAAGTTTATTGCTTTCTAAAAATCTAACAAATGTCTCATTACAAACTCTGAATGGGTATCTTATCACTAATCATGAAAATAAAATTTTACTCAGTAAAATGATCATTGGAATCTCATTTAATCAAATCAATGTAATTACATTATTAATTACATTATTAATCTAGTTAATAATAAATGATTAGTCCCATGAGTACAAGTGTGTGACACATTTTCGTCACTCAATAAATAAATATTTCAAATCCATATTATGACCTAAACGGTTAATAAAATGTATTTGATATGTTTTAAATCAGTTCGCCTGTATGGATAAGTTACAGATTGTTTAATTTAACACAAATTCCTAAATATTTCCTAAAATGTCCTGTTTTTATTTCCATGTATACCACAATTGCTTCAGAATCTGTAGATTTACAATATAAACGTTTGATACCGATTTTCCGTTCAAACAAAAAGTGTTTCTGACAACACTAAATTAATTGATACATTGTATTATATAAACCTTACCTCCATTCAATATAGTAAATTATTAACAATAGGACAAGAGCAGTAATGGATACCGAACAACCAACTTTAGAAATAACTGCAAGAACCTCATCGTGATTTTCTGGCTGCAACAAAATATATGCCATAATTAATCCTTAAAAAACTTCTTAAGTGCTTTGTTTAGATTGTTTAAATTATATATTTTATAGAAAGCCATAGTCGTACTTGTCACACTATATATTTTGCTTTCAATGTTCTTCAACTTCGCATTTGATTTGGCCTTCTACCTGTTTCAATCTGAGCACTACTGACGCTTCTTGTGTATACAAAACGCGTGTCTTGTGTACCAAATTATACATATGGTTCGAGCCTTTACGAGATTGTCCAATATTTGTGTGATTAAACAACGTCGTCAGAATCGATACTTATATCGAAACAGTTCTCAATCGTCTTAACCGGCTCTGTCGTTTGTTCTGATGTTTCGCTTTTTTAACCGTCAGGTTTACCATTGATGCGAAGTAGTTCCTGACAACCATACTGTTCTAAAGCGTCTATATACTAGTGGTGTAGTCTTTTAATCTCAATTGATTTTCATATTGCTGTATAATGGTTTTGATGGTATACTGAATCTGAATGTAGATGATGAGCTAAATGAGTTAAATTAAGTCTCAGACAGGGACCAAGAAATAGTTTTTGATTGTATCTTAGGCTTTTGCACCTATTGAATTAGTCTGTAATCTGTATGTTTGCTACATTGCTTCATTTATTATTAGAACTATCTTCGCGCCAAACAAAATGTCAATAACCGGAACAGGCATGAGCAGTTGTATCTTCAATAAAGTTGTTGCATATTAAATTTTTAGTTATATAAACGAATTAATACTTACTATTTCATATAAACTCAGTAGAACAGCAAAGTTAGTCAAATGATTACTTGTACATTCTGTGAAGGTACTATTAGTTAAAACGGTCTTTAATCCATTTGTTGACCAAAAGCCACTATTTCTTGGTAATAAAAAATAATATTACATTTTTAGTTTCCAGCTTGGTTAACACAAAAACTGTTTCGATATTTCAATAGGTTAAACAATCATTCAATCGTAATTATACGTTAATAGCAAATCAAAACTGCTTACTAATTGAAACGACATTCACCTAAGGTACAAGGACTGTTCAATTTTAAAGTAAGTTTCTAGCTTATAATGTCACCAGGCTTACTATAAAATTATTTTGTTTGTTCGCTGCATTGTTCCACTTGTTACATGACATCGATATTGAAAATAAAGACGGTTTATTCTCTTAAAATTAAGTTAGCCTTCCATATATCCAAAGACGCCTTTGTAATTCAAAATATGTGTTGCTGTTTGAAATATTAAAAAAAAAGATATTCCTTCAAACTAACTACATAACTTTCCAACCAACGCGTTCTCGTTTTACATATTCCAGTTTAATACGATGTACTGGAAACTGTCCGTATGATGATATCACTAACAGATATATTTGTAACTCAAAAACAACTCCAAAAAGATTATCAAGAAAAGTAAAACTGTGAAACCAATAACTTGTTATTTTAGACTTATTACGAATGGGTGGAGTATAACAATGACTATGCTTTTCGTTTTCATGAATACATATTTACGCGTTTCGTGTTGTTCAATCGATAGATTCCTGTTTTTTTTGTGTTGTAAAATGTTGTTTGTCGATTTTTATTTTGCAATCATGGTGTTGTCTGTTTTATTTAATCTGACGTTGATTTGTATTGCCCCCATGTCATTTTCTCCATGCGTTAACTTTGTTGTACATAGATCGTACATTTATACTTTGTCCATATGAACTTATTACCGATTTTAATGCTATTCCGTACATTAGATTTTTGACTCAGACGACGCGATTACATGGTGTTTATCCTGTTAACGCATGTAGGCACACTTCGTTCGAAGTTTATATTTCCTTAGGATAAGTTGACTTCATATATATTTGGCTATCCTTTTAGGTCTTATTTAGTCATATAGATTCTGCAAAGCGTTTATCATCCCTGGTTTTTAATTATTTTGGGGGTTTGAGCATTTCATTTCAAGGAAAATCAAGAAAAAAACTTAGAACGCACAAAATTATTCATTGTTTTTCACACTTCATACCATTGTGATTGTTTAAACGCGTGTGTTTTGAAAAGAAAATGCATGGTGTATTAACAACAGGATCTCTACACGCACTTGGTGTATAGATTACCTTAGCTGTATTTAGCAAAACCTTTTGTAATTTTGGGTCGTCAATGCTTTTCAACTTCGCTCCTTATTTGGCCTTTTTAACTTTTTTGATTCGAGCGTCACTGATGAGTCTTTTGTAGACGAAACGCGAGTATGGCGTACAAAATGTTAAGCCAGGTATCTATGAGTTTGTTGAAAAAACTAAATGCAAAGACATAGCGCTTCATTGTTGCTCTTTATATCATAAAGGTGGACTAATGGTGTTTTACAGATATCGGTATACTACCTTTATATTACTTTTGAATGCCATCAAATCTTAACACTGATATTTCGTTATGTTTGATATGATGTTTGTTATGATTTTTAATAAACATTCAAATAAATGTCTTCTTGAAATCGACTCATAACAGTGATCGAGATATCTGGGTATTTTTTTTGCTTAAACTGTCTACCTAATATATATATATATATATGAGGGAAGAACAAAAATTTGCATTCGCAAATTTGCAGATTTAACATTGTTGTGCTGATATTTAGAGTTATTATATATATATATATATATATATATATATATATATATATATATATATATATATATATTAATCGAAATGTACTTGCAAACATATATTTAAAGGACATGTACGATAAGCTGCAAAATTTCTAAACATCATCCGACTTTACCAGGATGGCTGCACGCGCTTGAAGAAGCTATTTTATTTAACGAAATATTGCGTGAATACAAAATATATAACAACTATTATTATAGCACTCATTAGCGTGTTAAAGTTACATTCTTAGGCATTTAAATAATATATAAATATATATATATATATAATTACCCTAAATATCAGCAGAAAAATGTTAAATCTGCAAATTTGCGGAAGCAAATTTTTGTTCTTTCCTCGCCCGGATTGGAACTCATGCTATTGGGATATCGTGACAACATACTTGAAAGAAGTTAAGACTTACTGTAAAGTAAAATCCCAGAACGAACATCTTAATCCTTTGACGTGTGTCTGCAAAATATAATTTTTACTTCGAAAATATGTCAAATCGATAGGCTGGTTTTTTTTATGCCAATTAAAGCATTGTAAATGAATTCGTTTTTCTTAATGTAAAAACATTTTTAAGTCAGCTCTGGTTTAAATCGTTTAATTGAATTCTAATGTTAAAATTGTATAATGAAAAAGTCAATATCTTACTTTTTAGAGACAAAGATGAGAAAACAAAGACATAAGATAGACATTCCATTAAAGGAAACTCGTAAATGCCTGTACCTAGCACTGTGGAAAAGAAAGGTGAAAGATACCAAAAGGACATTTAAACTCACAAGTCGAAATTAAAATGGCAGAAAAAGACCAAACAACAAACAACAGTATACAAAACACAGCATAGAAAACTCAAGATTGAGCAACAGGACCCCCCCCCCCCCCCAAATAAAAAATAAATAAACAAACCGGGGGTAATCTCAGGTGCTCAGGGGGAGTAAGCAGATGCTGCTCTACATGTTGCACCCGTCGTGCTGCTGTTGTTAGTACAAACCCGGTGATAAATCTAATTCGGTACGTCACATTCGGGTAAAGGATAACGGGATTTTAGTTACGACGATTGGAATTTATCCGTCCGTCGTCATCTATGAAATAGATATTCCATAACGGTCAACCACGTGCACCTCGTGATGGTGTCCGCAAAACTTTCGAAAGGATGATATCAACTTCACCACTTGGAACTCTTGGTTTAATAGCTTTTCAGTGTGCCAACACTTGATAAATTCATGTTGCTTGTCATTTCAAACATTTTTTTTATATTTTGTTTACTTGTTTTTATTTGTATAAAAAAATCTTTGCAAAGCAAATATCATCTGTCACCAGGTATCAATTGAATAAGATGTACTATATACAGTGTATTACCTGCGTATGTGTGAAGTATAAATGTAATGGTGGATTCAAAGTAGGCTGATTGATTCCTGGTATAGTCAGTGACAGAACTGACGTTACTACTGTTGTTTCCTGACTATTGACACTGTGAAAAGAATATTTCAGAATCACCATAGATCGACTTATACTTGCCCATCAATTACTTAAACTCTTTTCCAAATGAATTTATTGCATCTAAATTCTTCAGAAGTATTATTTTTAAGAAAATGACTTAAATCATGGTGAACTGGTATAAGTTGAAATTATTTATTTTAATTTGACATATATTTTTTGTGACTCATCCTGTATATGAATGTAAAGTTTGGTATTTTCATAGGTTCTACTCTGCAGGACGTCAATGCGTCTGTATTTTTCTTGGAAGGATGACAAAGGTTCAAGTATTGCCAACAACAGTTATTGATGGGCTTCACATATAGAAAGAGAAGCCAATTCTGGTACACTTAAATGAAATTTCAACAAAACGACATCAATTACCAAACGACATCTAAATGCAACATACAGTTTTCAAAAATTAACATGTGTCTATATTATAGGTCATGCTTTAAATCTTCCCGAGTCTGAAAATAGGGGAATTAATTAAAAGAATTACGAAAGGTCGGCCATTAACACGTAATATTTTGAATAAAGAAAAAGATAAAACATACAATAACTACTGATAAAATCCCCGGTTATGATAAGAATATGGTTATCTTGCGCGATAATTATCATTAATTTTTCAACTGAACCGGCGGGGCTTACCTTTTAATATGAATAAGGACAGTCTATTTGATGACGTTTGTGATAAGGTTGGTTGCCGTTATATTCATTAAAACTGATTTCTGATCACCTTTTTCAGTGTCATTAAACAGCAATACAAAAGAACTTGTGAAATGAATATTAAACGTGATTATAAAAAAAAATCACACCACCTCCTTTTAAAACAAACCATAATACAGATGATGAAGAAGAAAAACGACATTACAAGCATGGTAAATTTCGTATCTGATTTCTTTGTACATGTTATTTAAATTTTTAAATTTCCTTTTGTTATATTTTATATTGTTTTATAAAATACTGAAAGAAAATCTTTAAAGAAAATTCTTCGTGCTGTTAAAGAAAGGATATCAATAAGGTAGAAGTGTCATTTGCAAATTATGCCACGTGCACGTTTTTAAACTTTGTTATACAAGAAAATCATCGACTGTGTCATACTATTTACTTTCCGAATACACAGAAAATGTTTAAATATCTTATCCGCATCAATGACCATAACTGGACAATTCGTTGATGAGTATATCCTAAAACACCTATCTAAAGATGGACTGATCTATGATTAGAAAACCGATTAAGCCCCGCTATGCAACTTGAATTAAATCAAGATTCAGATATCTCAATTCTCCCTCGTCTTAATTTTGAATATTATAAATGTACAGTAAAGACCATACAATAAAAATCACATAAAATAGATAGAATTGATAACAAAAACACAACATAAATAACAAATCATAATAAAAATACTTAATCTTGTGATAACAATTCATTCCGTCATACCATCATTATCGATTGCTGTACTTAATAGACGTTGACATAGAACAACGTAATAAACACTACAGGAAGACATGATCACTTGTAGTGCCCACAATAAACTATACAGATGCTAAAACTTAGCGAATTGATCAATATTCTAGAACAAATAGTTCAATATTACCTTGTTTTTCTTGGTAATAAGTGTGCTATTGTATTGTAATGAATTGCTATGTATCCTGCAGTATTTGTCCTTTCTACAAATATATAGCAATCATAAAAAAACTTATATTTGTTATCAATAATTGAAATTAAAAAAAAAAAGGTATTTTCTAAGTTTACAAACGTTCAGATTCACTAATCCTATGTTCTTTTTTTATTAAAATATATATAAAGCTAATGCTTTTCCAATTATTCATACCATAGTAGTTTATTACAAATTTTAAGCATAACCTGCATATAAAGGCATCCTATTCGCATAAATGCATAGGACTAACTGTTCTGGAATTATAACAATATACATATAATTATAACGCTCAAGTAATCATTTTGATTTAACTTTAAAAAAAAAAGTACTAAAATCTGGAAAAAGTGATGAGCAAGAATCTACAAATATAAATTACTTTGGCTTAAAATTGTTTTTTTATATGTGAGTATACGTCCATATCACAGAAACCCTAGAACTAAAAACAACTAAACATGCATGACCTATTGTTGCTGAAATCCGACTAATGTGGACTATGTTGTATAGTTGGCTCATTAGCAATCATGCCACATCTTTTTTTTTTATATATTTACCTTTCAAACTCTCTTTTGCTAAGAAAAGACGGTCGTCGTTGCCAAGTGATTGATCAAACAACGCGTTGAAAGTGATGTCCCCTTCATTTTTGTTGTTTATTTCCACTTCTAAAAAAGTAAAATAAACTTTAGACATTTCAAATGACCCGTTACATATGCAATAAAAAATTACAACTACGAAAACATTGAAAGCGATTTAGATCCTCCTAAATATTTTCCAAGACAAAAAAATCAGAAGTGTTTATGATATACAAACCTTTAAAATATGTAACTTACATAAATTAGGACATACACATGCATTTATTACCAACTTTGAAAGTGTGTCTGAAAGGAAAGTTATTGTCCATTTGACACACCTTTCCCAGATTTCACCGTCTATGGTGGTTGCCGTGTGTCCTTAGATTTTGTATCAAATACGTGTATATTGCAATATGCTTTATATATCATAAGTTATTGTTTTTTACTTTCCTGGTTGTATTAAATTATAAAATTGTTCGAAAACATCAAAATTATATTTTTTGTTCAAAAATTATGATGGTTCCTTGTGTTAAGTTCATAGCATCATTTTCTTATTCTACAAGTAACGTTGTTTTCAAATTTCTTTTTACCGTAAACAGTTCTGTGTAAAAAATGAGTGGCTTTCAACTACTTCTAAATTTCAATCCTGGTATATATGATGATTTTATTTCTAATAACTGAATACCTAAATAATATATCATTAATAATTTAGTGGGTTTTTTTTAACTTTTTATCTTTCTTTTATCTTGTATCTCTCATGAAGTTCTAACTGTTTTGATTCAAGCGTCACTGATGAGTCTTATGTAGACGAAAAGCGTCTGGTGAATCAAATCATGAGCCTTGCATCTTTGATAAGTTTTTACTTTATATGAGATTTATATAAATTTAGATACTTGAATCTTTCCAATAATTTTTTCCTCTGTCAATGTTTTCATAAGGTGATACATTTGTTGGTCACAAATAAATTGTTATCTTTAAAACACTTTATATATCTCAAACAATCATGTTTTCATGCTTTTTTTTTAATATCAGATAGGTAAACAAATCAGTTCACCTATTGCTTTGGGATATACTATTATTATTCTATATTCCTCCGAATGATGATAAATAGTAGGCAAAATGTCTGCATAAATCTTAACTTTTAAATTTGAATATCTTGATCTTCTTCTATTAGAACAGCTATTAGTTGAAACCGCCCTTTTGTAACTCTTCAACTCATCAAGAATTAACTCATATTCTAATATGACGACCTATATATCGTCAACCAGTATAACCACAGTATATCTGGGAACAGATACGCAATTCATTTCAGGTAGGCGGTAAAATGGGAGCCTTTTCCTCAATTCCTCTGCTCATATCGTAAACTTGGATATGTATGATGGCTCGTTTTGAAGCTGAGACATTTTCACATATGTGGTTAAATTTTCGGAGTACGAAGTGAGATTTATTTTTCCGTAAATTAGCACACCCCGAAAATCCTTTCGTGATGCGGCTCAACGAGGCAAAAAATCCCTTTTTTCACACAATAAATTCTTTGAAAATTTAGTTCTTTGCATACATTTAATAACTCCATAGTTTTTACACATTTATTCTATGGTCCTCTACTTTCCAAATCAGCACAAATGGTTAAGCTCAGTTACTTGTTAAAAATAGAAACATATCTAATAACACTACACAGAGATTTTTTGTTTAGGTACAACTTTTGCGTTCCTTAATTTGAGGCGCATTAGGGATATTGACCCATCTACTTTTAGCACAAAAGCATTAATGTACCAAATTGACTGTTCTGCATCACGCCCAGCTTAGTTATACGACCAGGTAAATTCAATTTGCAAGAGTAAAACCCACATTTTACGTAGGCTAAACTTCAAATACAATACGGTTATCTCTATTCTAATGCAAATTAAACAAATCATACCATTTCAGTTATTTTACGGTGAAAATTTCATAAAACGATTCATTATTGAAGAATTAAAATGTCAATAAATTCTAGAATTCAAAATAGAGGACTTTTTGTCATCAAAATCAGAACTATTGATAATAAATGATTGCATTAGAATGATTGCATTCCGTCAGATATTTAACATTCCATTTAAGTTTGATGGATAATATTGTTATGAATCCAAGTTCATGTATTATAAGGTGTGACACACTACTTCAACGGAGTAAGTCGATGAAAACATTCCCACAATTTAACATTCGTGTTCGTTGCGCGCCATCTTCAAACTGAATACATATTTCTTTTGAAAGAGGTCACAAGCGCTTATTAATGATTGGTATTAAATGAGTGTTCATTCAAATATTGTTGTTTATAATTATTCGTTGTCTATTTCAGATAAATGTTTCACACTCGATATCCATATACAAAATAACGAAAATTCTGTTTATAAATATGGGGGGGGGGGGGGGGGAGTTAAACGGAACAGCCAAAACATTACCGTACTTGTAAAATGCGAATATCAATGTCCAACCCATGGTCAAATGAAAACAAATCTTTGGCTATGAATTCTTTCTTAATTCAAACATCTAATGCTCATATAAGTTTAAACAATTTGTTTCTGAATTACCTAATGATGGTTTCGAAATTTTCAATGATGAATTGTTTTGAAGCGATTTTAATACAACACTAGTAAACGTCGATGTTATGTTCAAAACCTTAGCAGCGTTATTATCTCCAACCTGTAAAAGAAGAATTCTTATTGATAACGCAGTATAATATATTTGAGTAACAAATCTGATCGAAGTAATATAAAATTCGAAAAAAAAGGTTGTTTTATTTTAACAATTTATTTAAGATATTCTCTTTCTCTTCCAATATTTTGATAAGGTGATATATATTTATTTGTTACCAATAAATTGTGTTCTTAAAACACTTGCAGTTTATAGCTTATCTGCATAAAGATCGAAAGATTCAGCACTTTTTAGACATTTTCAAAATAACTGCAGATAATTAAATAACAAGTTGACTCGTAATGATAAACAAGTATCTTAGATATACAAATTAAATTGTTCTGGGGTTCTTCACGGGAAGTAACGCCGTAATATTGAGGAGCGTTTAGTACAGTGAATTTGTCATAGTTTGGTTCAGTTGGTCGTGGTTCGGTTAGGTTATTTCCCAGAACTACTGCCTCAGTTATTTTCAAATGAGCAAATACAAAGCAAATAAGATGCTTGAATCTATATTGTAAGTCAAACAATCAACATTGAAATTGTTGTTTTGAAGAAATTAACGCAGGATAAGCAAAATATCGAAATTAATATTATTTGGTTAAGCGATTGACATGCTTCAGTTAAGTGTCTAGAAATTCGTCATGGTTTTGATCAAATTTGTCATGGTTTAGATCCAAATTAATACACATTTGTTTCACCTTAATATTGTTTGTTTGTTTAAAAGCGCTTGTAAAAAAAAAGATATACACAATTTACTTATTGACTTAAAAGAAAAGAAGCCTTTTTAACCAAATCTGGTCAGCGAAATAGGCAAACCGTACATTAGAAGTTTTTGCTTTTCGTGTGTTTCCTAAAATAGAATTTATATAACCACAACTCAACGAACTGGCATTCAGTAAAATAAATTACAAAAAAACAGAAAGCGTTGCTTCTGTTTCAGCTAGAATCTTTTCTCCGTACGTCAATGATGGACTCTATCGGGGTTTACAGATAACGTGAGCGGCATCACTAGTCAAATGGTTAAAGACGTATATTTAAAGCTGCGAAACGTAGTAGCTAGTCATTTAAAAAAATTACATTGTGTTCTAGCAACCTTCACATCTCTTGTTTTATTTTGAACCAGATTATGTCTACGAAGAATAAAAGGAGATAAGGGGGATATACACCAATGATAAAAAATAATCCAACAATGAAACGAGATATAAATCGAGAGGACACCATACAGTCTTCAACAAAAGGCAGCTGTCTATACAATATGTCAATCTCTTAATCACCCAAAGTCTATAAAGTTGTGAATAGATTAAACACAGACAATCAGAATGGTTTAGGAAAAACATATTAAGACTAAGGTTCAGAAGTCTCCCTCAAAATCATTATTTTGTAAAATATCTTTTACAAAATTGAAGTATGTTGGTGACTCGTCGGTGGTGCCCGCATCTAAACACTTGGAAGTCTAACAAACGATGATTAAGTTAAAGAGCAATGGAAACCAAATATTCCATAAAGTTGTGCATTGGAGCAGAAAAACATTTTAATAACTGTAAATGTACAGAACATGACTGCATGAATGATATTTAATGTCAGTGCAGAAGTGTTGACCACTGGGCTCGTAATATCTTGTGACGCAACGTGAACTGCAAAACCTATCAGTCAGCGGACGCCAAACCAAACTACAGTTTTGACCTGATGTGACGTTTAAAGAAAGTCTTGGCATTAAAATTATGTAGCAGTCTCTGCACGGGACAACATTTCATTATGGACAACAGTTAAAACTTTTCTTAAAAAAACTATAAATGCAAGTTAGTTGAAAGAGTACCTAAGATTTTTGATGAAGTAAGTTGTCAATTACTTACAAAGTTCCGAATTTAAATATATAAAAGATCACAATTTAGAAGTAGAACTAGTTCGATATAATGATCATGTTTATCAATTATATTTACGGATGAAAAAAAACGATAATGTTTTTGTCATATTATATAAATGTATTGTGTAGTATCATTTAATCCTTTGGACATTATTTCTTTTATGCAATAAAGTTTCATTAATGAAAAAAAAAGCTCAGTCGTTCTAGTATTAAGTATGAGAAATTGTACAAATATGATTGAAAAATAACTTAAGTTCCAAGATAGATGTTATATAAAGATAGCCTGTAATGCAGTGGTTGTCATTTGTTACTGTATATCATGTTTGTTTTTAGTTTGTTGTTTTGTACATAAATCAGGCATTTGGTTTTCTCATTTGCATTGTTTTACATTCAATCGGGGCTTTTTTATAGCTATGCGATGCGGTATGGGTTTTGCTCATTGTTGAAGGTTCAGATTTCTTTATACATATGGTTATGGTTGTTAAATGAGTAAGCAACTTTTACAATTTGACGTACGCAAGCATTATTCCGTGCCAAATTATTAACTATATGATACAAATTCGAATTCACTAACATATTAACTAAACATAAAGATAATTACCAGCTTTTTATGTAATTTATGTTCAGAAGTTCCATTGGCAAGAATTCAGAATGTTTATGTTTTGTCATTGTTTGTCATTAAAACACTGAACACAATCATGTCCAACTGAACCAAACTATGACCAAAACCCTGTTCTAAACGCCCCTCGATATGACGACGTTACTACCCGTGTTCTTGTTGTTCAGTAGTTTTCTTTGTCGCTTATCGTGTTTATATTGGGTATTTCGTTTAATGTTTAAGTATAGTATTGTCTGATGTCTGTTATATATAAGATTTCTATTAATTCTAAAAGTTTGACAAAGTACTTGATGTAGCGGACCATTGACCTATTCGATATATTCGTTAAAGATACCTCTTGCCACAAATGTGTTGCAGTTTCACTGGACAATAAGCTGTTTGTAGCTGACATGTACGCCTGAAAAAAAAAGTATACATATAAACATCTATAAGTACATTTGTATTGTTCTTATAATTTCAAATTGTGCTTTTTCACTGCTAGTCTCCGTCATCTGATTATAAAACGAGTAATAATAGCCTTACATTTTGTTGTAGAATGGTATTAGTGAAATTCAGTATGCAGTTTTGTGATATTCATTTACATGCATGTTTTGCATTATTTACTCTCAAAACTATTATTAGCTATCATACGATATATTGCATGAACGATTCCTTGAAGTCAAATTTGAGGGTATCAAATTCAAGGACAACCGAATAAGTAAAATAATTAAAGGTAATCATCTGTGTGGTAGTATTAAAATGAACAGGAACGATCATGTCAGTAAGAAACATGTAATACTGAGGTTTTTTTTATTAATATTTTTTTTATTAACAAAATGCAATTTATACTTGTATTATTATAATCCAATATGTTTACTGTTAAACAAAAGAAGCTATAGGTGTTTAGTTATCTTTTCTTAGTGGAAATTTTCAGTTTTAACTTTCCAAATATATATTTATCATTTTAACGAAAATTCCTTTTTTTTTTATATTTATTAGCCCAAATCAAGGTCATGCCTTCGAATTGCTTGCGAAGATGTACAATTCGAAATGCTTTTTTAACTATTTTCTTTTAATTGGTAGTAGATGTTTTTTCAACCCAATGCAGGCTGTCATAATTTGATTGAGTGGAACATTTTAACCAAAGCTAATCCATCAAATAAAATAAATAATCAATCCTTTTAAACTAGTCACATTTTGTTCACTAGCAAACCATACTTTTTGTTTTATTTGAAACGGTCATTTTGATCTGAACAGTTCTTAAAAGACTGAACAATAAATTAATAGGTCATTTTTAGTCTCTCCGTTAATTTTCAGACGTATCCAGTGCGCTAAATTCAGTATTGTTCAAACAATTCGCTTGCCGTAATTTAAGATGTGTTCAGTCTATATTTAGTCTGTTCAGTAATTGTAATCTACCTGTTCACATCAACACCATACTGAATTGTCTGAAAAAGCTACTGAACAGTACTGAATTGTCTGAATTGACTGAACATGACTGAATAATTCATTGTTCAGACTATTTAAATGATGTTTTTAGATGAAAATGACCGTTTAACCCTAAAATTCTTTTACAAGTGGATATCTGAAAAAAATATAACTTTTTGAAAAAGTGAAACACTGAATGATTTACGTTAAAGGCACACGACATAAAAGGTTGAAATTTAGAGCAAAAATTTGAGACCTTAAAACTTTAAACGCTAAGCTTATAACACAAAGAGCAAACATTTGATTAAATATTATTTACAAAGAAATTTACCTCTGTTTCTGCCAATGAAATGTTTCCACTTTGTGTGGAGAAAATAACAGTGGATTTCTCCAGAATGATAACTCCACTGTTGATATCTCCTGATATAAAAGAAGACTGATTGTTCAAGGAGTGTGTAAATGTTCTAAGGATCTCTTCGATTGACACGTTTTGAACACCATCGTTAATATTGTCAAGCTAAAACAATAGAATTATATTTTTGTAAACGCCAGATAAACAAACCAGACATGTTTGATTTCAAAATGAATGAGGAATTTGTTTTTTGTTCAAATTCAGCATCAAGAACCTTATCAACGGTTGTCTGCAAAATTTATCCTAAGTTTTATTTATTGAGGTGGAAGGTTGGGTGTAATCTTTTCTTTTTAAGAACTTTAGTACTGATGGCAGAGCTTGCAAAGTTGCAATTTATTATTTTCATAACTTGGTTTAACTCGCTTGATATATTGTATATCACGTGTTTACTTTTGAAGAATGAAAGTTGACCTCTAAATATGTTCTGCTTTGATTTTGCTTGCGATATTTGCTTCTTATTGGTGAAAGCTTTACATCTCCATTTTTTCATGATGATGCTTTTCAGTTATTATAATCTATTGATTTTTAATGTTGTATCATGATAATCCCTGGTTCTTGTTTGAATATATTAGTTTTTGTTATACATTAGTTTCTTCATGTTTTCGTTTTATCGATTTATGACTATTGAACAGCTTTATACTAGTGTTGCCTTTATTTAGGAAATATTATTTGAACGGAATAGTTTTACATTCACCAAACTTCACTTATCCTTAAAAGAATAAAGTGAAATGTCAGGTATTCGTCAATAAGGAAGCAGATCAACAAACAAATACACCAAGACAATAGTTAGATGACTTTTGTTTCTCGTATTTTGATTTGTTTGTAATTGATTGTGCTTTAATGTGTTCCAAACAAACTTATAATTACCTGCAGATGATTGAGGTATAGAACTATGCGTACTCGGACTTTTAACAAATGGCAGTAAGACCCATGGCAAGTGGACATTCGTTTGGCTATTGGGGAATATAAATAGACAGTCACGATCGGTTTGAATGGGGTTACCCGATGCTCCATATTGTAGGAAGCCGCGCTTTTAAAACATTGAAAACTCCTTGCCAAAACATTTCAATGGTGATAAGATGGTCTGTAGCAATGTACAAATTCTACATTTATATATATTTTTTTATATTGTAAATTGAAGTTGCATGCCAATTATTTTATTCATTGTTCTCGCTGGAAAAACATGTATTTTGCTACTGGGCAGGTTACCATTACTTAATAAATCGATCATAATTAATGCATTATTAACCTGTAAAGCTACACTGGCTTAAGATCAAAGTTCTTTACAAATCACTGTTATCCAGAAATAAAATGACAACGGAATACTGCATCAAAACATGTATAGCGTGTTAAGATGGATATAAACTTGACTACCTGGTCTATTAGGTTCTTGAAAATTTGTCTTTTACAGTCAGTTACATTTGATGTTTCCCACACTCCGGACTTATCTTCCAGTTTACATTTGCGTGAAACCAAACCTACAAAAATGCACAAATCAATAAGTTTTTACAACATCAACTCTGAACAAAAGGAGGTGCATGTTAATGCAAAGGCAATCTTAATAATTATCTAACAACGAATTACAAATTTTATCCACATTTAACTGTGTGTGTGTGTTTGTGAGTGTGTGGATTTAATACATGAAAATTAAATAACAAGAAGGAGAAAAAAGGTTCATGTTAATCAGAATAATTAAAAAAGGTAAGCTATGTGGAAGGCCATTCATGAACACAAATTTTAAAGCTAAACAGTTACAGAAGTGTTATTAACCTTACCATTAGGAAACCTTCGCTTGCCGGATTTGAAACAATGTTTTTGATTTTTGAATGATTGCAATGTGAAAATTAATTTGACCTTCCACAAATTTGGTTCTAGCGCAACTGAGAAGTTTTGTTTATGCGTAGTGTGTCTTGTGTCTTGAAATATAAGCTTGGTATCGACGTTGATGACTTTCTTCTAAGACTGTTGACACATTCATCATATATTTTTCTGTTATAAATGTTTCTCAGCAATGAAAATATGACTTTCATTGAAATCTTCCGACATCATTGCAAAAAGTATAATTAATCAATCAAATAACACCCTTCATATGTTTATAAGACATTAGTCTGACAGATATCAGTTTTGATAGTTTTGACGTTTGTCTTACATATTTGAATTAATACTTTAAATTTTTGAATTCAGTTCAAAACTGTGTAAACTGTAGCAAGTATTTTTTAAAAAAGATGTTGTGCAAAATATATTTTATGAATAAAGCATGGGCATGATGGGCTAATATATATTTTGTCTCATAAGTATGTCAAAAATGGCAATTTTTTGTCAAACATGCCAATTTCGACATGTTTATGTTGTCATTATGACATAATAAGTGACTTTTTTCACTTTACTGTCAAGATTATATTGCTTTGGTCATTGGTAAAAGAAATAACAGGATTTGGATAGTCTTGAATAATTTAACCAGTTTTGCAATATCAGTGTCCAAAAAAAAAAGCTCTGATAATACCTCCTCCATTTTGTTTTGAGATTATCATTTGAATTTCTTATCTCAATGTCTATAAAATACAATGATAATTTAAGCTATCAAGTTTATTTGTGAAGTGTTTTGTTCAAAGAAAATTATAGCTTGTTTGGGAAAAATATGTTGTCTAAATATCAACATTCAATTTTAAAATTTCGATCAAATAGTTTTTACGGTTCTCAAAGGAGTTTGTCATATTTATCAATGTAAATGAACAGTTTTGCGTAAGTAACTAATGTAGGGTAGAGATATCATGGCCGTCGTTGAAGACAAACTGACCCTCAAAGCAACTTATATGGGTTTAAGTTGATTGATTTTTAGTAACTTCACTTTGAAAAGCATATCCTTAAAAATGGTTAATACAGCTATTCAAATATCAGACTGATGCGCATACACACACAACTCCAATGCCATGCCAAAACTTTATCAAATTTGTTGCTACAACTGTGACAAATACAAACGAAATTGTATTGATTACTTGGAGCCACGCAACTGTTACATGTATATCAGTTAGTAGATGCCATGTCGATTATGCGATAGCGTTAAGTGTTAACACAAATTAGTTTAGGAATAAAACTTTTTTTATTACACTACTAGTTTAATGTTTATCCTACCATTAAATCCTTCAGGACAGGAAGAACATGCTGTAATGCCCGTGTTTGTTTCGTTCCAAGTCAAATTAAATGAACCAAAAGTGTATGTGTCTGTTTCGGCTGCACAGAATACGGAATCTGTAATAAAAATAATAATATGTTGGTATCAACAGTCCAGTTCATGATAGGCAGCAATTCTGTGCAGACGTAAAATATGTCCTATTTGGATAAAGGTTAAGCAGTTTTATTTTGCACCGTCATTATGTTGGATAACTATGAAGGTAAATTCAGAAAACCCATAGGGTAACACTAGGTCAGTAGTCATTTCTCCGTTACTGACATGATTTATAGCATTATTTTTTTTTAATTCTCCGTTGATAAATTACAAAAATTATAAAGAAACTAAGATTCCCGTTCCTTTGGGCAAAGCTTACCTTATTTTTATTTCTCTACTTTTTAAAGTCTATATTGGTCATATAGCTCATGACGTTGTCATGTATTTATACGCTTTTGACCTCTATATTTTTGGGTTTGAACGTTCCTGGTGAATGTTAACCCAAAAAGAGCGATTCGAACGCACACAATTTTTAGAGTGTTAAAACAAGCGATGAATGTCTTACAAAAGCACTAAATGCTTATTGCAAAGTATACGCAATTGGACGAAATCTCGGATTTTTATGACATTTTGCGTGCATTTATAAGTCTTTGAATTGCATTTGAGCATATAAAAAGGATAAACAATCTATTTAATGTTTTTGGAATTGATCTATGAATGTATAGAATGTATTAAGAAAGTCACGAAGAGGCAGTATTTTTGCAGTTTTTATTGCGTTTTAGCAGAAATCTGTGCCAAAAATTATTATGACAACTTAAAACAGTGTATTCCTAACGAGCAGAATGACTGCAGATGTCAATTGAAACATATGTTACAATGTATACATCTTAATAATTTATCTAAAGTTAAAAAGTAGACAGTATATACTACATTTTATTTATAACCATATTACGGTTTGAAGTATAAAACCATTCCAGGATTAGTTCATGACAGATGCATTATCTTTTTTATCATTATGTGGCAGATGAATTATCCGTTAGGTTGCCCAATCAGACATTATCATGATTTTGCCTAAACTTTTCCTAAATAATGTTTATCAAAAAATTATTTAAAAATAAAAATTATAAATATAAATATAAATAAATGTCTTAATAAACCTAAACACTAAAATTTATTAAATTGATAAATTTTGTAATGATTTAGAATGAAATCAAATAACTAAATGTAAATAGAAAATAATGAACCTGTTCAAAGGAGACAATAAACGCATTGATTCGCTAGACTTTTTGGAATTGAAACATAGTACAAAGGGATGTCAGTCTTGCATACAAATGCCACATTAAAAGAGTACATTAACACAACATACGTGTTCTAGCTTCTATGAAGATTCTAAATTATCAATATAATCAACAATTGTTAATCTATAATGTCTGCTAACGAATGGTAACCTACAGTAAAAAATATTTGTTTCAATTTTTTAAACTTACTCTGAAAAATGCTATAACTTCTTGATTGTCATAGCTCATAATTAACTACACATTACTATAATATAGTCTTTTATTTGGCTCTCACAGTATAAGAAACAAGACAGATTATATGCTTGCATCAACTTATCCAAATAAAGATTCAATTAAAGCCTGAATTTTTTGACATTTTTTTGTTTTTATCTTTGTCAGTGTTCTGATATTATCACAACTTTCTGTTAAGATTGGACTAAGAACCCTCATCCCGATATTGTCAGGTAAAATTGCTACCTAGTTAAACAGAACAATTAATGTTTATTACAACATTTCGTAGTCAATATGTCAAAACGCCGAAATCCGAGTTGTCATATTTCTTAACCGTAGTTTTCCTTTCTTCTGAACATTTTTCAAATAGTATTATCTAAACCGGAGGTATAAGAAATAGATCACTATTGAAAATACTGGTAGTCATACAGATAAAAAGTATGTTAACTGTTATGCGCCGGATTGCTGGAAATCATACAAACCAGGTGTTCCCTCGCAAATGTAGAAATATTCTAGTTCACATTTTTCGTCATTCCAGTGTCCTAGTTTGTTCTGCTCCATGAAAACGTTTCCACATTTTTCCTATTATTAAAAAAACTATACATTATATAAGATTCAAAACCTCACTGACTTGTATGCCTTAAGTTTAGAAATAAAATGAAAAGTTAATTATCTAATATCAGACCAGCCCGTTTTGATATTAAAGAAATAACTCTTTCATGCCATGCTCTGTGCTAATTTTAACATGACTAGGCATTATATTTGTTAATATTTTATACTGAGGGTTAGTGACGTAAAAAATGTTGACAAATATATGTTAAAATATGCATAGAGCATTGCATAATAGAACTCTAATAGGGAAATTTACAACTTTTGTATTTCGAACCGAACTTATGTAAGACACGTTCGAAGGCAACCATTTTGATATTTCGAAGGCAAAACGATATAAAAATCAAACTGTTTCACGATTAAAAAACCAACAGATACACTATCTGTTAGAATTATTTTTCATTACTTCATAGCAAGCAACATCAACACAAATGTCCATTTTGATCTTCGATGCTGAAGCAGCAATTTTAATTGTGCCAATTACGTAGTACCCCATGTTATATTGGAATAAGAACATGACCTTGTTTTTAAAGCGAAAGAAGACCGTCATATTAGAATTTCAAACTAATGTCAACGTTTTTACAACCTTTTAAAACTACAAAAAGTCGTATTTAATTTTCATGACTACACTTTAATTATGAAATGTGTTAAATCATATTTTTCATTTGTTTCGTTATAAAATTATTCAAATATTGTAACGTTTCATGGAAAGCACCTCCCGTCATAGATGTTTCGCTCAAAATATAGAAAATTAAACATCACTTTAAAACGCCTCTCTAATCTCAACAATAGAAAACCCTTTTCTTTCTACTAAAAAATTCTATACTTTCCTGGGGATAATTATCGAAGTAAAAATGTACATGAAAAGCATACGTTGGTATATTGGACTTGCTGAATATCATAATTAGTGACAGTAAATCAACAATTGGAAATAAAAAGTTCTCCATTTTGTTATAAATTTGGTAACACATTCTGAAGATAAAAACCAATTTGTAAATGCTTTTAGATAACAAAACAGCTAATGTTCTTCCTTTTAAGTTTTCTTTTCGATATAAGAGGAAGGTATTCAATTAAAACAGATATTAGGTCAAAAGTAATGTAAACATATTTATTGTTTTTTGGATATAAAAAGCAATTACCTTGAAAAACGGAGATGTTTAGAGAAATGAAATTAAACACCAATAAAACAACAAAAGTTCGTTTTAAAAATTACAAATACATGTACATTTTGAAATATATCATCAATAAAGGCAACAGTAGTCTACCGCTGTTCGAAATTCATAAATTTATTGAGAAAAAAACAAATCCGGGTTACAAACTAAAACTGAGGGAAACACATCAAATATAAGAGGAGAACTACGACACAACAGAAACACAACATTAAAATGTAACACACACAGAAACGAACTATAATATAACAATTGCCATTTTCCTGACTTGGTACAGGACATTTTAAGAAAAAAATGGTGGGTTGAACCTGGTTTTAAAGCTAGCTAAACCTCTCAAAATTGTTCTCAACATCAAATTGTAAAGGAGTATAACAAATTATTTAATTAATATTGTTTTTACCGCATTGCAAATATTTTACTGAGACTTGATTGTAAGTGTTTCTCTACACCTATTGCAGCTCAATAAAAATTCTGACCAAGTTACATTTTTATTCTTCAAATAAACAAATGGTCACTCATTTTCAACAACTGCTGTAGAAAATCACCATCAAGTCATCAAAATGCATAGCGATAAAGCAAAGCATACTTGCGAACCAATAATTCTGCAAAATTCCACCTCATTAATTCTATTAAAGTGCTGCTAAAAATGTCTATACATATGTTTCTTGAAATGAGTCATTTGAATCTTGAGAGCTAGTATTTTTGAATTGCTATTAAATTGTCCAAACTAAGTTTTCAAACTATTCTTTCTAAAATATCTTTTATGCTAATAAGAATCAGACATTAGTTTGAATCAAAACATATAATATGCAGTAAGATATATGTGAAGTTACGATATGTTGTCAATAAGTTTTCAAGGGGAAATAACCTTATATTATGTATCACTCTTTTTATATCAAATATCAATTTGACTGTCTTATCTCCTGTTAACACTTAATGAAAACATATTTTTATCACAGTCTAATTCACTGAGGATATAGATTGTATTGAAAGACAGATTTGTAGCACGAGTAGAAAAACGATATTTTAGAAAAGATAATTCAAAAACTTTATTTGGACATATGTTTAGCATTTCAAATTTCAAATGTCAAATTTCTAATCAGCTGGTCCGTTTGATTTCATGAAAAAACTGCAGTTTTTGTCATTTTTTAAAAATTGGAATTGCAAAGAAAGAAACATTCAGGTCCTTGTAAATAAATTTGAGTATTTCCTATACTACCTTTTACTTGCACTCACGTCTTCATTGTTTGGTTCATCTGGAAATGGGTCATCAGATTTCTTCTTTGTATACCAGTTGTCATAAGAGACATTTGTTCCATCCATCCAAAAGAAGATACTAAGATTAGACGGATGTCTTGCTAAGCCTATCCACACTCTTTCTGTATCGTTAAAACTTAAGGATGAAATGATTCCGTTCACAAAATCTTAAAATAACGGAAAACAAATTTTTTTTTAGAAAGATTTCACAAAGATAGGGGAAAGATACCAAGGGACATTCAAACTCATACGTCGAAATAAAACTGACAACACAATGGCAAAAAACCAGAAAAAGACCAAAAGACAATCAACAGTATACAAAACACAATATAGAAAACTAAAGACTAAGCAACACGAACCCCACGAAAAACCGGGGGTAATCTCAACCACACAATGGATTTTGTGCTCGGGAACTAAAAAGGTGTTGTTCAGACTTATTTACACCTTATGTACACATTGCTCCGTCAGTCCTTGATGCTACTATCGCATCTACTTTAGTAATTTAACAATTTTACAACCTCTGTCCGAACCGTTGTTTTGCTAGAAAATTGTTAAGTTTCTATTTCATTTTTATTGCTGCTTTCTTATAGTAAATACATTTTGAAATAAAATGATTGATTTTATTGCCATTTTTATTTCTTACAATTTGAAGTATTTTTAATATTTATTTGCGCAAATACTTTTTCATTGTCTAAAATCAACATCGACTTACAATTATAATTGTCCTTGATTGCTTTTGCTTAGGTAACAAATTAAAAGGATTATTAGTCGGTATCTGCTGTGTTTAGATCGAGATATTTGAGTATGACAAAAAGATGTCACTTCGCTAAATGTTATGTATGATTTTTTTCCTGACAACTAACTATCATCCAGACCCAAAAAAATGTGGGTTAAGTATCAATGAGACAACAATTTGAACGATAAAAAAAGCAAAATACAGCTTCAGGTCAACATAAAAGTATGACCGGAATCGTCTTAAGATACAACTAAGAATATATAAGATCAACACCAATTTTCCTAAATGACAACTGATTCATAAAATGTACATTGTGCAATGTCAAAAAAAGGAACAGAATGGATTACCAGTTAAAGAGACAAGATCAAATTATACCTTGGCTGATATAGTCGAGCATTTAATTTTGTCAGGTTTTATGGAATTCCCTCTTTTTGGAATTTACCTTGGTGTTTTGTATTTTTGTTAATAATTTTTTCCATTAGGCTATTATCATAGTTGCGTGAATGATTCTGCAAAGGGAATATGTTAAAAACTTGACAAATTGCCTGCAGGTGCTTTTAAGTAACTTAAATTGCGATTGTACGAAGAACTATGATGCAATGATACTTGGTCATCGATCTAATTTGTTTTGAGATAACAATTTTGATTAAACGAGCAGAAAAGCTTATTTGAGCTGAAATCTATAACAAGTTTTGTCTTGCAGTCGGATGTTTTACATTTAGCGATAAGAGTTTAACATTGATGCCCCTTGCCATGAAACATTTCGATTTACGGTGGTCGTTCTCAAACGTAAAACAATACTCATTTGAGATTAACACATACATTGTACTAAACAGAATAATAATTTTGTGGTTGCACGTATCATGAAAGTTATAGATTTTAGCGTATATAATACTGGCTCTAACCATCCCTGTTTATCTCTATTATTGAATTTGCTTTTAGGTTATATCTTTTATGCCTACCCATTCTTTCCATCCGTTAAATTTCAAGTTGTTTTAGTTTTTGCATGATTTAAATCACATATTTTGATTTTTAATGATATTTTTATTTCTTAAAGGTGTAAATGTACTTCAAAAGAGATGCAATCCCCTAAACAAACTTTACACTGGTTTAGGAATGACACTCTTTGGTTTTTTTACTTCTATGGCCCTTTTAACATCGGATGTGACCTTTAGAGGTCATACCGGTGTTATGTTGCTGCAGAAATTTCCTTGCCGTTTGACTGATAACCAAACGTATTTCGTATAATTACGCGGATATTATCGAGTGCAAAATAACAATCCTTATGATCGCTTGTTATATATTAATTTCATCAATAAATATTCTTAAAAATAATTTTTAAGAACATAGATAAATGATATGAAAATGTTTTGTCGTGAGAAATATATATATCAATAACAAATCATGAATACTGAAAACTTGTGCTAACGCATGCGGAAGTATATCTCGAGAACGTTTTGCAACAAAAGCGGGAAAATATGAATGCCTACTCAAATCCAATCTATTAAAAAAACGAATTATTACAGAAGAGTGTCCACCATGCACTTGCACTGCACTATCATTAGAATACTAGTAGCAGAAGAGAATGATATATAAATGGATGAAAATTTGCCTGTAGAGCTATTAAGATGAACTGCTATATATATAACTGGTATACAAATATTAATATAATACATAACAACAAACCAGAGTATACTGATAAACAATGATTATATCACTACAATATAATAATTATTACGGTGAGGTTGAATTCCCTGTCATTTATTCATCATCCACACAAGAAGTTGTCTCAGAAAAAATATATCTATGTACCTTAACCTAACTTTCAGGTGTAAAGATATGATTTTTTTTTCTGAGACAAGTGCTTGTGACTATCCACCAGAACTTGCGGTCATCCAATTGTCAGTACTTCAGTACTTTGATTGTATCTATTATAGTTTGTCAAGACCTTTATATTTGAATATTTATTTTTTTTGTTTTTACTTTTCGCCTCATTGTTATGAATAAAAACTTATTCCTAAAACGCAGTTGGTTCACTGACATCGGAATCATATAATTTTACACATCGAACCATATCCTAATTGGTCCCAACCGTTAAGTCTTATTAAGGGTTTAAGTTATTTTTCAGAAAATGTATTGTTGCATATTCAGTACTGTAGATTTTGGCTTGCAGTCAATCCAGTACTGTTAAGGTAGCTGGGGTGTCTTCCTCCATCTTGGATTTTGAAATAGCAGATAACAATCGGTCTATATCTTTAATGAAATGTGCAAATTTCGAGAGTAGTATGTAATTCACGTGTAAGACTTTTCGTGTAACTATAGAAAATTATGTGTTTTATCATATTCACGGCTGTATTTTACAAAAAACAGAATATTGTTGATTCATTTTTTTTCCAATTTTGTCACATCCTTATGTGACAAAATTGGAGATAACTTAGATAAAGTGACTTTTATAATAGAATGTGTTGTGAATTTACCTATTTTATTATGTAGCAAGAAAACGAGTCCGGTGACCACATTTTCTTTTTCTTATCTGACAGGATATTATTAGAGCTATCTTCTCATATTGTATCTTACAATTCTATGGTGTAGTTTTCTTTTTATCACACAAAATTGTATTTTCCATGCATAATCTATATAAAATCTGACAATTTTGCACAACCTGTAGCGTGAAAAAAAGCCCGGTGACCCATACTTTTTATTATATTTTTCAAAAAAACATGATATAAACTACATTTTGACAAATTATTAAAAAATTCTATGAATATTAATGAAGATCCCCTATCCACCTTAAGTATCTTTTCAGACAATTCCGTACAATTCTGTACAATTGTGTACAGCTATTGAAAAATGGAAACATGGACTGAATATATCTTAATCATCAAGTAAGCGAATTGTCTGAAGATTACTGAGTTTACTGCAATGAATAAGTCTAAAAGATGACTGAAACACAAAGCAGTAACTAAACAATTATTATTTGGTCTTTTAAGAACTGTTCAGATGACCATTCCAGTTCAAAATGTGTTTACTAGTGACAACACCGACTGAAAAAACTAAAACAACAAAAATACCGACCTCCAAGTAAAAATCAAAATGGAAAGTACCTTAACAAATGGCAAAATCAAAAGCTCAAACAGATCAAACGAATGTTAAACAACTGTAATATTCCTGACTTGTCAAAAATGTAGGATTAAACCTGAGACATAACAGGTAACAATGTCAAAAATTGGGGTACAGCAGTCAACATTGTGTGATTATCTTAATCACTATAAAAACAAACAACTATGTCAACAAAGAAAATCAAAATGACATGAAGACACTCTAAAGACAAAGCACATAAGCAAAAATGAAAGACAAGAATACAAAAAATTACCATAGCACAATAACACAACGGTGGGATATATAAATACCGAGCCACACCAAAAGGATATTACCAAACTTGGACTAAACAGTAAAAGTTAGAAGTATACAAAGACAAATAAATATATACTATAACACGTAATTGAGATGATAAACAATGTCAGTATGCAGAATCTATACTTCAAGACCATCATGTATTATTTGTGAAGTTGATACTGAATATTTATCAACAAGGTCTTGGTATTTTCCAATGAACTATTTAGGAAAAAGGACGAGACGTTCTTTGACATAACCCTAGTTCATCAACTTTCTGCTCAGACACTGTTTACGTTTTATAAAGTCTGAGTAGCAGCTGCGAGCTCTTGAATACTGAATGAGTTGGGAAATGGATATTCCATATGCAGGTGAAGTTGGTATATTGCTGCTAAGGTGGGTAAAATTTATAATTTCAAAATTAAAATCCGCTTATGTCAAATTCGAGGTATAAGTCTAAAACTCGTGTCTGTTATTTTCTTTAATTTCTCGCTCTGGATGATATATTAATGGAACCAAGTCAGGAAAGTTTAGATTGTTAATAGAAAGAACATCCTTTATATCGTTATTATAACAATATCTAAATAATGAATTATAGCTGTTTTCCGTTAAATACCTTAGCCATGACAACCGTAAGATTTTGGTAACACCATTCATTTCATATATGTACAGAGGGCGTTTATATTCCAATTCCTACTACATTTGAGTTTTAATACCTTATCATTTTTTGTAATAAAGATTAATGTTGTTATTGTATAAATTTCTAAACTACTTTTAACATGTTTAATTTCAACAAAAATTTGTTTTAAACATATAATCGGATGTTGTCAACACATATGCTAAAGGAAAAAGTAATTGGTCGAAGCATAAAATCGATAGGTTATTTCTTCATCTCAAATCTTATTTATTTTTCCATGAACTTAATTCAATGTTCTTAATAGTGACCATGAATCCCTATTTCTAAATGTGCAAGGTAAGCATGGTTTTTAAGCTGTATTTCGAAAATGTACAATCTTCACGGTAAGCAGGCAGTAACAGTAGGGTGAGTTTCAATGAATAATCATACAACGTGTCTGTAAAGATGAAATGTAATAATAATGGTGATAAAGAACTGTAAATGATGTCTTTAAACTAAATCCATTGGATGTTGGATGTGTACCGATTAATATTTAAGTCTTAGATGCATGATTTGTTATAAGTTCATATTGGCTTTCAACTAGCTGTCAGTAACTGTGTTGTGGAGATGTATAAATACCAAGCCTCGTCCGATATATTTTTTTTTTAATTGTTTTTTTTCTGCTTTGTATCGATCTGATGAGTTAAGTTCTTTTCAGGAGCCTGTAATTCAGTGGTTGTCGTTTGTTGCTGTATATCATATTTGTTTTTCGTTCAATTTTTTGTACATACATCTGGCTGTTAGTTTTCTCGTTTGAATTTGTTTACATATGTCATTTCGGGGCCTTTTAAACTGACTATGCGGTTTGGGTTTTGCTCATTGTTGAAAGCCGTACGGTCACCTATAGTTGTTAACTTCTATGTCATTTGGTATCTGGTGTAGAGTTGTCTCATTGGCAATCAAACCACATCTTCTTGTTCTCTAACTATATTTAATATAGCATTATTATTACTGAATTGGCACTTACTTTGTTCTGCTTGACTTTTGATAGTAACGAGGTGATATGTTATGCCGTTAACTTTGGTACATTCTTCTTTTGCTTGTGTCCAGTTCAATTTATCATGGACGAGTTTGTAACATGTATCATCTAAAAGTTAAAATAAAATATTCACTCAAAGACAATATAAGATTTTACATTATTTGTTTTGGATGTTGGTATTAGATGATGATGATGATGATGATGATGATGATGATGATGATGATGATGATGATGATGATGATGATGATGATGATGATGATGATGATGATGATCTGTTATCCGAAATATTTTAGATACATATATAATTGTTCCACCGAAAACTGAATTTTTTGTTATATATATACATAATTACTCTAAATATCAGCAAAACGTTAAATCTGCAAATTTGCGGAAGCAAATTCTTGTTTTTCCCTCGACGGGATTCAAACTTATGTATGTATTGGGATATCGATACAAAAAAAAAGTAAAATCACAAAAATACTGAACTCCGAGGAAAATTCAATCGGAAAGTCCCTAATCACATGGCTAAAATCAAATGACAAAACACATCAAACGAATGGACAACAACTGTCATATTCCTGACTTGGTACAGGCATTTTCAAATGTAGAAAATGGTGGATTGAACCTGGTTTTATAGCGCTAAACCTCTCACTTGCACGACAGTCTTATCAAATTCCGTTATATTTACAACGATGCGTGAACAAAACAGACATTATAAATAAAATAGTCAAAATATGGGGACAGCAGTCATCACTGTGTTACAATATCAAAACAAACAATTATTTACAAAAAAGCACAAAAGCATCTATCAAATTAAAAACCACATTCATTGCTTCGCGTGTCTGACGTCAGAAAATGTGAACGTCACATAAGAAAAAAGTTTGTCATTCAATGTTTATTCAAAACAATTTTATAATTTCACATGGGGAATGTTGGTATACAGAGTTAAAAAATCAAAATAATGTTAGAATTAATTTCAGAAATAGACCGAGATTTAAAATTGTCCAGAAGTACTTTAGAATTTTTAAGAATCCACATATGGTTAATACCACTACGCGAGTAAAATAAATTTGTCGTTTGTCGTTCAAAGTATTTTCAAATTTATAATAGAACAATAACATAATGACATATAATAGAACAATAACATAATGCCGGGATCTTTTAAAGTACAGAGTCACGTTATAAGAACCACAGAAACACAAAAAGTCGCATATACAAAACACACCAGCAAAAATGAAAGATAATACAAACACATTGACGGGATGTATAAGTTCCTAGCCACGTCAAATGGATATCACAGAAAACAAACCAAACAGTAAAGGTAATATTAATAATAGAACACAGACAAATGAAAGAACAATATTACACGTTGTTAAGATGATAAACAACGTAAGTATGCAGAATCTATACTTCAAGACCATCATGTATTATTTGTGAAGTTGATACGGAATATTTATCAACAAGGTCTTGGTACCTTCCGATGAACTTTTTTAGAAAAAGGACGAGACGTTCTTTGACATACCCCTGGCTCATCAACTTTCTGCTCAGACACTGGTGACGTTTTACAAAGTCTGCGTAGGAGCTGCAAGCTCTTGAATATCGAATAAGTTGGGAAATGTATATCCCGTATGCAGGTGAAGTTGGTATATTGCTACAACACTGCCTGCACTGTGTCCATCGCTCTAGACAACTCGGCCACCTAGACTGAACTAAAAATTCAGCTTTCGGTGGCCTACGTCTAAACAAGTAACAACTCTACGACAGATTCATCGATTGGATCACCAGTCAAGGTGAAACATGGCTGAAAATACATATTATATTCATAATTACTCTAAATATCATCACAAAAATGTTAAATCTGCAAATTTGCAGAAGCAAATTTTTGTTCTCCCCTCGCCAGGATTCGAACTCATGCTATTGGGATATCGAGATAACATCGACTGCACTGTGTCCATCGCTCTTGACCACTAGGCCACCTAGACTGAACTTAAAATTCAGCTTTCGACGGCCTAGTGTTACCTTTCCTCGTCAGTAGAATCTAGAGTTGTAACACAGTACATGATATATTAGGCATGAAGATGGAATATATATAAACACTCTTCGTGCTCATTTTAGAACTTTAATAAATGATATCAATAAAAAAAATTCGAAAGTGTATCCTTCGAAGGTTATTTCACTGAGTAGCCTATATCATAACTTTGAGTTATTAAAACTATTATAATCTGTTATAAAGGTGTTTAATCTATAAAGACAAAATCGTAAAAACTATGAATTATAGCATTAAAGAACAAATCTTACCGAAAGCTGTAAATCCTGGTGTACAACGCAAATCAACGAAGCCATCTTTTGTTTCTCTTCTTATTCTTCCATTTAAACCATGGACAAGGGTATGATCAGCATGGAAATTATCTGAGCGAAAACTAAGAGGATTCAGATGTTTTAAGTTAGAAACATTAGAAACAATATAAAAAAGAGATTTGGGGTAACATCAATGAGATGTCATCCCAAAAAATAATTAAAACAGACAAGACAATTGTCGCAGTCTGTTTCGAAGGATCTTATCTTTATGACAGTGATATTTTTTCACAATTGTTTAATATTTCATTCTAGAAAATGTAAGGTTAATTGCCGATGTCGGCTAAGTATCGCTAGTTCGGGTATAAACAGATCAGCACGAAATTGATATAATCAGAAATGCACGAACTTAGACTATGGTAGGCGAGAAATCCTCTTCTTCTTTAAAAGTCACATCCGATAACATACATTTCGGCCTTGACTATAGATATGAATTTGTGTTAGGGTTTGGTCTTCACTGTCATTTCTGGTTTCGATTTTGTTCTCCTTGGATGAGCATAGACGTTCAACCCAACAAAACGCTTGTTAATCACGTGTAATTTAGTGGTTGTCGTTTATTGCTGTTTCTTATATTTGTTTTTCGTTTATTGTTTTGTATAGTTTGCTCTTGTGTTGTGCCAATGCACCATTGTCCCAGGTTAGGGCAAGGTTTGGCGCCAACAAACTAATTTAACCCCGCCACATTCTGTATGTGCACGTCCAAAGTCAGGAGCCTGTAATTCAGTGGTTTTCGTTTGTTGCTGTATATCATATTTGGTTTTTTTTTCATTATTTTGTACATAAATCAGGCCGTTAGTTTTCTCGTTTTATTTGTTTGACATTTGTCATTTCGGGGCCTTTTATAGCTGATTATACGGTATGGTTTTTACTCATTGCTGAAGTCCGTACGGTGACCTATAGTTGTTAATTTCCGTGTTCATTGGTCTCTTGTGGAGAGTTGTTTCATTGGCAATCATACCACATCTTCCTATTTTATATATACATTCGATGTTAAAATATGCAAGGGAACAGAAAGTATGTAATTATACAAATTGCTTTGAGCATCAAAAGTGCAACGGAATAAAACGCTTGTCATCATGCAGCCATTCGATAATCATATTTGCAACGAAGCAGGACGCTATTCATCATACATACCTTCGAGGATTATACGTGCACATGTACAAAACGCCTGCTAAAATAAACAAACTTAGTGTTAGCAAAAATATTGTGAGCTACAAAAAAGTTCATACTGGGATATATTAATCGACTCACAAACCTAGTATTCATGTTTCTATCTAATTAATAAGAGAAAAAACAAATACTTCACCTTAACCATATAAAAATAAGAAGGTGTGGTATGATTGCAAATGAGACAACTCTCCACAAGAGACCAAATGACACAGTAATTGTATGTTTATTGCATCATTTTTTTTTAATTTTATTTTTGCATGCTTATTTTTCCGATGAGTCGATTGGGGTTGGTTAAAACGGTCTGATATACTATGTGGTATGTTTTACAGTCGTTTGGTTTTTTCTGTTTTTGCCATGGTGTTGTCAGTTTGTTTTCGATTGATGAGTTTGAATGTCCCTTTGGTATCTTTCGCCTCTCCTGTATAAAAAGTATTTGCAAACTTTCTCCAACTATAATTTTCATTTCATAGTTGAATTATAAAATAAATCAGTCATTTCTATTGTCTAGACAAATGTAATCTAAAGATGGATATTTAGTTTCTGATGTATTTCAAATTTTGCATTAGTATTCGAAAACAGATATTTTTAAGAGCACTTATTTCAATCCAATATGTGCAGATTTGTGTTTGTAAAAAAGTGTTCTTTCATGAACTGTTCTCGTGTAAAAATAAAAATTTCAGACCCAGTTCGAAAAATTTTGCTTTTGTCAACAAAATGAATCAGCAAAGATTTCTAATAATATCGCAATGACCTTGAACTTGATTTATTGCACATTTTATGTTTATAAAACAAAGAATTCAGTATCCATGGTCTTTCCTTAAATGTGAAGTATATCAGGCATTTATTTGTTATTCACAATTAATAAGAAGACGCTTAAAAGTACATTGATATTATTGATTTCGTCCGACAGACTGTCATTCATTTGTGAATTAAAATGTTTTGATAATAAAGTGAATCTACAATGTATCTTAAATTCAATATCAACAAATTATGTTGTGAATAAAAACAAGTACGTTCGTTATGATGCGCAAATCAATTCGAAATGGGTCCTTCATTTTAAACATATCTAAGCATAGATTAATAAACTCATCATAGATACCAGGATTGAAATTTTTATTTGCGCCAGACGCGCATTTCGTCTACAAAAGACTTATCAGTGACGCTCGAAAAAAAATGTTAAAAAGGCCAAATAAAGTACGAAGTTGAAGAGCATTAAGGACCAAAAATTCCTAAAAGTTTTGCCAAATACAGCTAAGGTAATCTATTCCTGAGGTAGAAAAGCCTTAGTATTTCAAAAATTAAAAGTTTTGTAAACAGTTAATTCTTAATTATGAACATATCAATGATAACTCAAGTCAACACAGAAGTGCGGACTACAGGACTGGTGAAACCTTCGGGGAATTAAAACTCCACCAGCAGTGGCATCGACCCGGTGGTTGTAAATAAACTCGTCATAGATACCAGGATTGAAATTTTATATTTGCGCCAGACGCGCGTTTCGTCTTCAAAAGACTTTTCAGTGACGCTCGAATAAAAAAATGTTAAAAAGGCCAAATAAAGTACGAAGTTGAAAAGCATTAAGGACCAAAAATTCCTAAAAGTTTTGCCAAATACAGCTAAGGTAATCTATTCCTGAGGTAATGCCTGTTTAAACATATCAAAGCATATATTAAGTGCGCATGCTTTGGTTATTGGGTTTCATGATCACAGTAATATTCACGTACTTTGTTGTCTAATGTTCATTCGAATATCGCTCGTGAGTCTTAAGTTCACGAGTCGCGCGTCTATTAAACTAAATTATCTAGTACCCATTTCTCAACAAAGAATTAATTATTGAAAAAGAGATAACAACAATGAAATAGTACAATTATACATAGAAGTCAAATATGAATTCTGAAGCAACATTTGAAAAAAATTGTTAAAAATTCGTCTTCCCAAGTATTTTATGTTTTGAGTTCAATCTTTGTATGTTAAATAATTAAGTTCCGGAGCACATGAGATCAACCCCGTTTTTTTTTGGCGGCGCTCGTGTAACTTAGTCTTTAGTTTTATATGTTATCATTTGTAGACTGCCGTTTTTAAATCGTTTTTTTATTCGTGTTTTGCAATAACGTTGTCTTTTTATTTAGCTATATGAGTTTGAATATCCCTTTAGTAAACTGCCCTGCTTTAAAATACCATTGTTAGGCTTTGTAGTCGTGTCCATGTGTTTTGAAGTATGATATTGAAAATTACTTTTGCCGTAGAAAATTCTGTAGCATAATACTAAAATCTCTTTGATATTGTTTAGATATAATCATAAAAGCAATCTGACCTGACAATGCGAAAGTAATTTATCATAATTAAAAACAAGTACCCAAAAGTAGTTTTATTTCTATTAGAAGCTTCATTGAATTTACAACTTGTTTTAAATGTTTACAATCATTCTATGGTTAAAGATGATAAAGTAAACGATACGAATTTTACTGAACAAGATGATATTGTGATTCGACTTCTTGCGTTTTAAAAACATCAACTATTGTTCAACAATGTCTTAGTAATTTTGTTTCTCTATTCGATTCCCTTATTTTTAAAATTTTAATTTGAGCATATTGTTTTTCTGTAAACTCGACTGCTGTAAAAATATTTTGAATCAGGGCTCTTCTTTTTTGTAAAGTTGCAGTTAACAAAAGAGAGGCAAGAGATACCAAAGAGTTATTCATACTCAAAGTCGAAAACAAACTGACAATATATTAGTGTCATGGCAAAAAAATAAACAACAGTACATAAAACAAAACAAAGAAAACTAACAATCAAGAATTTTCTAAATATACTGCAGAAATTTACCCAAAGGAACTTACTTCAAATAAATCAAATATAAACTGTCCTTTCCTAGATTTATATATTTCAGTTTTACACGGGAAACTCTACACTAAAATTTACGACAAAAGAGACGATTTTTCCTTTTTTTGGACGGTGATTTTCGTTTGGCACCATCTTACGGTATTTATGTATCACAACTAGTTCGCTATGCCCGTGTCTGTTGTGACATTTTGGATTTCAATGAACGTAATCTATGTATTACTGGTAAATTATTAAGTGAAGGATTTCTTTACCACAGATTACTTAAAACCTTTACCAAATTCTTCCGTAGATATAAATATTTGGTTTGGAAGTTTGATTGTACCTGTAGAAAACCTATTTCAAACGGGATAGCATATCCTAATTTTACCAAGCCCTGACTTAGTGTATTTTTGTTGTTTGGATGTATAAATAGCCTGCCTCGTCCACTCTGTGATTTTGTAAGATGTATTTCTGCTTTGTATCCATCTGATGAGTTAAGCCCTTTATATAGTTTGTTCTTATGTTGAACTGTTACACCACTGTCCCAGGTTAGGGGAGGGTTGTTGCCTTTAAACTAGTTTAGCCCCGTCGCATTCTGTATGTGCCTGTCCAAAGTCAGGAGCCTGTAATTCGGTGGTTGTCGTTTGTTGTTGTATATCATATTTGTTTTGTGTTCATTATTTTGTAAATAAATCAGGCCGTTAGTTTTCTCGTTTGAATTGTTTTACATTTGTCATTTCGGTGCATTTTATAGCTGACTATGCGGTATAAGTAAAGCTCATTGTTGAAAGCCATACGGTGACCAAAAGTTGTTAATTTCTGTGTCATTTTGGTCTTTTGTGGAGAGTTATCTCATTGGCAATCATACCACAACTTCTTATTTTTATATTATAAAAACTGAGCAACACAAACCCTAGCAAAAACCGGGGATGATTTCAGGTGTTCCGGAAGAATAAGCAGATCCTGCTCCACATGAGGCACATGTTTGAACCTTAAGTTTTCCATTAATTTATAAATTCATCAACGTAGAATGTAGGTACAGATTTCTAAGTAAGATATACATTAAGGATCTGTTATAATCTCTGTTGATTTCTGCCATGAACTGGCAGGAGAACTGTTCTTAAAAAATTCTGTAGAACAGTCATCTGATACCGTTAAAACGATCTCTGAAAGAGGCGGTTCTTTCTTAAGGAAAGATTCAGACAATTTTAAATTAGAGTAGTTTTTGATACCTCTAAAAAAAGTATAACAACAATACTGAACTCTAAGGCAACTATAAGTTATTCTAACAGTTCTACTCTACAGTTTAGTTCTAGACAGTTCTACATTTACTGGTCCTAACAGTGGTACCCTATAACTGATTCTGACAGTTCTACCCCAAAACTGATTCTGACAGTTCTTACCAAAAATAGATTCTGACATTCTTATCTCTAGAACAGTTTTGGACAGCTATAGCTATGTCACTATATAGTTATTAGTTATAGACATTTACATTAACTTTTTTCATTTAATTTATTAAATCTATTTTACTATGATTCTTTTTATTCATTATTTATCTATTGATTCATTTCATAATATTTTTAAACAAGTATAGTTGTATAGTTCTCACTTTTTACGATTAATTATTTAGTATTGTTCCTTGTTTTAAATTTTTACTGTTAACTTTTTTAAGCTTCATAAGTTGTCGTTGATATAAGAACGTGTCAAAATTTACACAATGCTAGTATCAGTGTATCATTACATAAGATTGTATAATGTCAGATAAACTTGGGTATCAAAACTATTCCCGTGAAAATGATGTGGTCATTGTGTTATCTACATGTTATTATTTTACCTCAACAAAGCAGTAGCGGATATACCGGGGGGGGGGGGGGGTTCACAGGGGGCACGTGCCCCCCCCCCCCCCCTCAGTCGGGGTCACCAAAAAAAATTTCTAACATAGATTTATTATAACTGTATCTGCTTATCTAGATATCTAGATCGAAAATCAAGGCACAGCTTGATTTGACTTCCTAAATTGGTCGTTAATTAACCCCAGCTTCAACATGCGTGATTTATGACAACTTATCAAAGGGTGTGTAAATATTGACACCTTTGTGTAATGTCTATATCCAAAAGCATTTATGTAAATTACATGTACATGTACATGCTGATTTGAATTAATATTTCTAATATTTTAATATATTAATTGGTTGTTAATACAATATTACAGGACCAAGATCGATTAACAAGTAAAATCTTCAGATCAGGAAAGAAATTACCAACTACAATCGTTTTTAAAAGAACTTGTTAAAATAGATGTTTTAAAGTGTCAAGATGGTTAGTATCAATATGAGATACGTCTTTATTACCAAGCACTCGTGGGAATGTGTCTTTCTCAGATTTCTCAGGAAAATGGCCATTGTTATATTATAGTTCGTTTCTGTGTGTGTTACATTTTAATGTTGTGTTTTTGTTGTGTCGTTGTTCTCCTCTTATATTTGATGCGTTTCTCTCAGTTTTAGTTTGTAACCCGGATTTGTTTTCATCTCTATCGATTTATGAGTTTCAAACAGCGGTATACTACTGTTGCCTTTATTCAGAACAGTTTTTTTTCGGACTTTATTAAATAACAAACGATTTTTTCAATGCATACAGCATTTTTTAAAACTGAATGTCGTGTTTCTTTTCCCCCTTTTTTTTATAGAAACCAACGATTTGTCTTTAAAAAACCTTTCCCCGCCACAAAACATGAAAGGTCTGTGCCTTATATATAATAACTAATAACATATTGTTTTTTTAGAAAACCTACTTCTAGTACAGTAATATGTGTATATTTTTTCTTGTTTCAATTACCATGTATGATGGTATGAATAGGTTACCGTGAATGAGGATATGAATGGTTTACCGTGAACGAAGGTATGAATGGGATTTACAGATTAGAGAATAATGGTCAAAAAGTAAAGACTAGAAAAAAATGGGTCCAAAAAATGTACAAAACAGATTAAAGGTGTGATGAACTATCTGATGAGTTGAGTCATTTTCAACTGATTTTTATAGTTTGTTCTTATGTTATACTGTTACACCACTGTCCCTGGTTAGGGGAAGGGTTAATGCTCACAAACCTGTTTAACGCCGCCACATTCTTTATGTGCCTGTCCTCAGTCAAGAGCCTGTAGTTCAGTGGTTGTTGTTGGTTCATGTCTGTCATATTTGTTTTTCGTAAATTGTTTTGTTATGAATAATTATAAGGCCTTTGGTTTTCTCAATTAAATTGTTTAACATTGTTGCCTATAATTGCTTAAAAATAATGAAAAGACATAGAAATGAAGACCCGACCCCCCCCCCCCCCCCCGACACACACACACGACCACCATCATCCCCAATACGTGACACCATCACCACCCACACTCGCATATATACATATCTAAACAAATCTTTAATTTTGGTTTTTTTGGTGCCCCTCCCAGACATCGAGGTTCTGGATCCGCCCCAGCAAAGAGTCCTTCGATCAACATAATTGACTTTCTTTGGGGAATATATTAATTTATATATTATAATTACGGAAAAATTAGAAATATATTTTCTTACTGGTTACGCTTTACTAAATTGTATATATAAATATTTTTCATTTAAGAATAATGATTAATATAGAGAGAGAAAAAAAACAGAACTAAAACATACATTCAAGACTGTGAATATAAAAAATATGACTTGCATATGACTACCCGGATTACTGCCCTTGTTCTTAATTACGTCATTCAAAACTGTTCTACCCTAGAACAGATCCTATCAGTTCAACCCTATAACTGATTTTGACAGTTCTACTGTAAAACTTATTCTCTGGTAGAACTGTCCTTATGTATAAATGTCCTAGAACTGTTTACGACAGTTCTATGACAGATTATTCTGTCAGTTATAGAGAGAAGTTAGATCTGATATAAACTGTATATGCTGTAACAATGCATTTTTTATTACATGTATATACATTCTGAATTATTCCTATCTCACTTTTTTTCTTTTAGATATATTATATCTTGTGTAATCCTATTTTCAGATTTATTTGATATAAATCTAAGTTTGCCATTTTGCAGACATTGTCAAGGATCACAAGATGTCTTATTATTCATTCCCAATGAATGGAATAGTGTTTACAAAAGTTTGAATAGGTTGAAAACCATACAATTAATCTCATCCGCCTTGGTGAAAGACTTATATCTAAGGTCAATACTTAATATTTATAAACACGACTCTGAATTTACAATCAAATTCATATTTTAAAGACCCTAAGACAATGACAACATGTTAGTTGAAGGACTTTAATGAAAATGGCGTTCATAATTGTTTTGTGATTTAAAAGTTTGTTGGGTCAAAGTCGATCTTCAGATGTGCATGTTTCAAACAAGTAAAGGGTATTTAAATCGAATGATATGTATTAAAAATTTTGATCAACCTAAAACAGCAATTTAAAAAATAACTTAATGTACTAAAAGTTTACTGTGAATCACGATCAAAACTTAGTAGTGTAAAAACAATTGACTTATGTCTAATAAATATGTAATAACCAAGTACAATTGACCTTAAAGGTTTTATTTAAGTATATAATTATATGGCCAATTACGAAATGTTAACGCCAATCACTGGATCTTAACACAATAACATGTGTTTTAGCACGTTAACAATTCAGCTAAGCGTGTCTGTCTTATACAAAGTAGGTTTTATATTCATAACGCATTACCATGTTCTCGCCCTGAATATGCATTTAAACGCAACTGGACGTTAAACAAGGATACATCATTCTCATTATCATCTGTAATTTAAAAGTTGATATTCTTCTGAAATATCCGTAAAAAGATTTGACCATATGATTTCTGTGTTTTATTCCTTCCGCCAATTTATCGTATCAATGATATTTGCTATGGTTGAATTGTCTCTCTATCTCTTTTTCTCTTTGTCTCTCTCTCGATAGATTTATATAACACAAGTACAATAATAACAGTCTTATTTCTACACCAAGTAAAACGTTTCCCGCCTATGTTCAGCTTCTTAACCAAAATACTTTACAATATTGCATAGTATTCAACTAACGTGAAATGAAAGTTCATACTTTATTCTGCATGGAGTGCCACGTAATTATTATAAATTGTAAAACTGCTGGTCTCTTAGGCAGGTGAAAATATACTGGACACTTACAAATACAGATGGGCGTATTGTCTAACAGAAAAATATCATCATAGATACCGATTTAAAACGCGACCAAATTCTGTTTAAATATATATATATATATATACGTTTGTGATGATTTCATATTACAAGGTACATGTATCCCAAATCCTAGTTTTATGTTTAAAATAATACAACATGTAGTAATATAATAGTACTTACAATAAACAGTAATAGAAAAACAAGAAATAGATGACCCTTCATCATTACATATCACTTTAAACTGAACAAAACTCAATGAATAAAAGTAAATGCAGTGTTGTATGACTTTTAAGTACGTAATGCAATATTCTATTTATAAAATATAGTTGTTGTGGTTGTATACGGTAGTATTTTATCATATCAACTATCCTCGTTTAGAATATAGCAAAGTGCTCTCGACTAATGAAAGTGTAGAATTTGGAATTTCTTAATTGTAAAAAAATAATGTAAATCATGTTCTTAGTGAGGGATTATCCTATTGTTTTGTCCTATTTACAGTTGAAAACAAAGAATTTCTATAGATGAGTTACAACTGCCGAAGCACATTTATCAGATTGATAGGATTATTGAGTGAAAATTGAATTTTGAAACAAACAGAAAAATCAAAATAATTTTGAAGTTAACTCATGTTACTTGTGCAGTACAATTGGAACTGTTTATGTTATTATTTGAATATTTAGAACTTCAAAATTACAAACGAATAAGCAATATCAAAGCAATGCAAATTAAAAGAAAAAGAAAAAAAATACTTTCAAAAATAAATTTAGCCTAAATCTTTAGCTAATACACTTATCAAAACTCAGATAACTGTATCTGCAGTTAGTTAAAATAGTCATTTCCAATATACTGGTACATACAGGAAATTGAATTAACTTTTGAATTTCCTATAAAAAGCATTTTCTTTGAACATTTAAATTTTAGTAAATTAAGTAGTATTTGATGTAAAGAGCCTGAATAAAATTAGCTGTGGAATACAATTTAGTTGTAACTTAATTTTAAATTTATTAAATTGAACAGTATATAAAAAAAAAGATAATTCCTCACTAAAACGTGACTTAATTAACACTTATACTCACAATTAGGGAACTTATACAGTTATTACCATTTCATTGTACCGTTGTGTCATCTAATGTTTAAAACACAATTAAAGTTTCCAAAATTAATATAAAGTCCTTACATCACTAAGACTAATACATAAATGAAATACATAAAAAGGAAGTTAATTATAAACATTGAACTGACAATGTAAATAAAAAATCTTAAATAAAACCAATCAAGAGATCATTTGAGCCTTGAGCACTTTACAATATTCCTAGATTGTAAGAGAATGATAATCCCTTTCTTACATACACTAAATAAACAAAGTCAATCTCTTGTTCTATCATAACCATGCTAGCTTTATAAAGATAGAGAACATATGCTCAATCTAACCTCATATCATTTGGAAAGATTTTTTTAAATATTAAGTTATAATCTGATAGCGTTGACATCACTTCAATGTTTTATTTTTTAAACACGCGTATCGATAAAATCAATGAACTAATTATAAAAGTAGGGGATAATTCAAAAGGGCATATTTTAAAGATTAATTTTTAGAAATAATGTTCACGATTTATGGAAGTGTACAAAAATTAAGGGTGCAATTCTCTTTGGCAAATCCGATCGAAAGTAATATATATTGGCTGTTTATGTCATTCTTTGCTTAGTTTTTCTATTTTTTTCAACTTAGCCATTGTCATGGGGGTGTATAAGACAGTTATCTACATTTCAGCAGAATACACTTTTAGTTCCACATATCACTGGACATCTCCTTGTAGTTCTATACAAGTTTTTGCTGTATATTTGAATTTTTGCGACATATGTAGTTTGCCTCATAAAAATGATGAGGATATATTGCAGGCGTCTTCAATCAGTTAGAAATACATTATTACACACTATTAACTGAAATATATGTCATGGGAACAGGACATGCACAATATATGTAAAACAAAATATTGTCAAATACTTTATCTTTATTTGATCACTTCTGGCAAGTATTCTTATTTAAGTGGATATTTCATTTTTAAATAAACGGAGGTGACAAATCTCATAATAATGCGTCAATAGACCATTTTCATATTACCAGCTCTTGATTCCGGATTATACAATTTATCGACAGGTTACCTACTCTATGGTTTGACATCCTGGTACTCGGTCAAGGAAGAGCAACCAAAAGAAATAAAATCAAACACATAATCGGTGCAGTTTGGTAGGAAATTTAACTGTTTTCCGATGATTTTGTCGTGTATAGAAAACATAAAACAATTAAGTTTCCCACGAATTGTACCGATTGTAAGCTTGATTTTATTTCTTTCAGTTGCTCTTACATGATTGAGTACCAGGATGTCCTACTACATTAAAGGTAACCTGTCGAAAAAATAAAAATTCCGGAGTCAAAAGTCGGTAATATGAAAATGGTCTACTTCCGTTGGTTTCTTAACGGAAAAATTATTTTGTTACAGGAATTTATGTGACGTCATTTACCAGTCAGTGCGGTTATTCGGAATTCCTTAATCAGTTATTTTGAATATAAGAATAAAATATTTCGATTGTTTTGATTATTTTCCAAATTCAATTTCTTCCTACAATAGAAAATATATTTCAACATAAAACGGCTATTTTAACTAAAGTGGTCTGAAGATCAATAAATCAGAAAGTCATATTTAGTCTTTCAGTCGATTTCAGACATATTCAATGCGGCTAGTTCTGTATTATTCAGTATCTTTGCTAACTGTCAATTATAATGTGTTTCTAATTTGTACAATATGTAGATATTATGTACTTCCGCAATAAAAAAAAAATTAGGCAGTACATGAAAACTAATTAAACAGACTTGAAATAACCGGTAACGGACTAAAAATAACTTGATTTGTCAGTAGAAAATATATGAAAATTAACTGAAACAAGTACAAAGACACAGCATTGTTCTCTTTGGACATTTAAGAAGATGTTACTATCATAATAGCCGTTTCAGACAAAATTCAGTTATTAAACAGAATTGAGATGTCTAAAAACTTTTTTTTTTCAGATGATAGCTGTCAAAGTCATTAATGAAAATAAGATTGCCATTGAGACAACTATCTACCAGAGGTCAAAGGATGATTATGTAAACAAATTTAGGCCGCCTTACTCCTTTCAATAATGAGCAAAACCCATACCGTGCAGTAAGCTATAAAAGGCACCGGCATTACAAAATGTGAAACGATGTAAAAGAGAAAACAAGCAGACTGATTTACATCAAAAATAATTATGGCAGTCAGCAACCAACGACAACTCCTGAATTAAATGCATCTGACTTGTGGTGCCACATGTGTAGTAGGATCTGCTTACCCTGCTGGACCATTATGTTTTTCTATATCACCCCACTTTTTTTTTTTTTTTTGGTGGGGTCTGTGTTGCTTAGTCTTTAGTTGTCGATGTTAATTTTGCAGACTGTTGTTTGTCGTTTCGTTTTTATCCAAGGCGCTCTCAGTTTATCTTCTACTTATAGGTTTGAATTTCCCTTTCGTATCTTCTGCTTATCGTTAATGATAGAAAAAAAAATAATTTGACGGGGTGGAACATGAATGTGAGCGCTCAACCTTCCCTTAATTTCGGACATTGGTGAAACAGGATTACATAAGAACAAAAGAAACAAGAATGTGTCCATTGTACACGGATGCCCCATTCTATGTTCAGTGGACCGTGAAATTGGGGTCAAAACTCTAATTTAGCATTAAAATTAAAAAGATGATATCATAGGAAACATGTGTACTAAGTTTCAAGTTGATTGGATTTCAATTTCATCAAAATCTACCTTGACCAAAAACTTTAACCTGAAGCTGGACAGACTGACGGACGGACGGATGGACGGACGAACGAACGAACGAAAGGACGCACAGACCGAAAAACATAATGCCTCTCTACTATCGGTAGGTGGGGCATAAAAATTATTGGAAAGGGCTTTACTCAACAGATCGACACGAAGAACGAAAGCAAATGATAAAGACACAAATGAGAGGCGATTGATATCAAAGGGACATTCATACTCACATGTCTAAAATAAACTGACAACGCCACGGCTAACAAAAAAAAGACCCTCAGACAAATAACAGTACTCAAAACACAACAAAGAAAGATAAAGACTGACAAACTTACCAATCTAAGAGTACTAGCAGTTACTCAACGATAAATCAAAACCAATATCAACTTATAGATCAAGATATCCGGCAGACTTAACTGCATCTGTTAAATCCTTTCAAGTTTAATGGAATAGATACGTTCAGCATAGTTAGAAAACTGTGAATTATTTAATGCGAAAATACATAGCATAGCTATACAAAAGCGGAAGAAGTAATGTACAGTTTGTACTTTTTATGCCCCCACCGTAGCGGAGGGGGCATAAAGGTTTACTCTTGTCCGTCCGTACGTCGACCCGAAATTGATTTCCGTTTTCTAATTTTAGTTTGCCTCAATGCTATGAAACTTATACACACTGCTTATTACCACAAAACTCAGATCAAGTTCGAATTTGGGTGGCGTCGCTTTTATTGTTCTAGAGTTATGCCCTTTTATAACGTTATATGCAAGCGGGGGCATCATCTGTGTCTCATGGACACCTTCTCCATTTATTGGTAAATAAATGCATCAATCAAATGAAACTTTGAATTTTATTTTGTAAGTCGCTATCTATATAAAACTCTTCTGAACTAGCTCACAGAAGATTCAAACTAAAGTTGATTGACAGCGGATGAATATTTTCATGTTATTTATGCTCAATAAACATGTATGTGACCGATATCTGATGGACTATTTAAATAGTGTAAAAGGTGCATTTTTTTAATCTATCATTACTTTTATCAGGCTCTATTCACCTACGAATCAGTTCAGACCTTTGTTTGGGTGAGTATTTATTCATATCAATTGGGTTGTAATTTCTTTAAATGTAAACATTTTAACACGAGTTTTTAAAATCATATGTTATTTGTAAGACAAAACAAATCAGCAAAAAATGTAAATACTCTATCTATAAATAAACTTACAATTAAGGGTGTGCCTTCAACGGGAGAAGAGATTTGTAGTTTCTAAGTATGTATGCATCACCAATGTAACTAAAGATTCAGAGAAATATGTTAAACAGTTGAAATATTGGAACTGGAACGATCAAAATCTCCGGCTAAGATTTCAAAAACTTATCACATTATTATTATTGTTATCTACATCCCTGACTTAATATCACAATGGTTTTTGGTGGAGTTCTTGTTGCTCAGTCTTTAGTTTTCTATGTTGTTTTTGTATACTGTTGTAAGTCTTCGTCGTTTTTTTTGTTATTTTGTTTTTTGCCATGGAATTATCAGTTTGTTTTCGGCTTATGAGTTTGAATATACTTGTTCTTTCTATCGCTTCTCTTCCACATGATTTATTTCTTATGAATAATAACACTTTAGCTGAAACTTTTAGGACATCAATAATAATTAAAATAAAGAGAAAATAATAGGAAATCCTTATTTTAAATAAGCACTTGTTTTTTCCTGTTTTTATTGCGGCTATCAAACAAATATATATATTCAGTACACATTCAGCGGCAAAATACTACACATATATATATGCAAACATTCTTACATTTGTACATAGTTTTTTTTTAAAGCAAATGATTATGAAATAAAGCAATATCGGTCGAGTTCTTATTGTAGGAATTAAGTCTGTGTTTTGCCGTCATGATTCAGTCTCAGTGTCTGCAAAAAAGACGAAGAAAAATTCATATAACATAAGACTTTATTGGAAGATTTATCGCATTGTTCTACAGCACTGATGACAGCCAATCTTCATTTTAAAGAAAAAACAATATATCGGGTATTTTTCTATAACAGACGCAGACTCAGCAAAGTCCTTATCAAAAATACAACACTTTTATAGTTGTTCTCTATCTCACTATAAGTTATGGTGAGAATTTCACAACGAATCAAAAGTCACACTTCATTGCAGATTCAAGACGACCTTTAGTTTCGTTATTACAGAATTATTTGTCAAATGTTGACAACATAACATCTGTTTATTAATGAACAATGAGTAGTAAACTGTTTACAACTAATAAATCATTACCTCAGTAATTTCTTTCCATCAATTACTGATAACATTCACTACATGTACCTGTAGGATTATCATTAAAAACGGGAAATGCCACCCTAAATTTTACGGTAATGTTGTTTATGAAACACGTAAAATCAAATACGATCCATGCAAACTTATTAATCCTTTGAATAAACACCGTAGTAAAATCTGGTATATGTTTTTTTTATCGTTACTAACATTGATTTTCTTTTTGCTGATTTAAGAATAACTTAATATGTCTTGCTTTCCATTTATAATTACCTATGGTAATACATCCTGTCGATATTTTGTACTTCCACTTTGACATTGCACAAGGTCATTCTTTTTTGAGACTGTGTATGACATCTTTACACCAAATCTGATGGATGTGTTTAGGTTGATACTTAGTCTGAGAGAACATGATGTTTTTATTAGTTGTTATTGGTTTTGAACTAGCTTTTAGTTACTGCCAGTACTCTTTGATCGGTACTTAGTTTTTTTGTCTGAATATTAGTTGTTGTTTTGATGTTCGTGCCGATCTGATGAGACAAACCATTCCCAACTAGTTTTTTCACAATTTGTTTTATGTTGTACTGTTACACCATTGTCTAAGCTGGTTTGGGGCGGGTTGAGCACTCAACACATGTCTACTTTCAATGTCATTTTGTCTCAGGTATAGAGTTGTCTCACTGGGAATCATACTACATCTCTTTTTTATATACAAACCCCGCCAAATTCTATATGTGCTTGTCCCTAGTCAATGGTTGTCGTTGGTTGCTGTCTCTCATATGAGTTTTTCGCTAATTGTTTTATTAATTAGATCTTTTTTGTTTTAAATATTTCACATTTCGTCATGTGGGAGCCTTTTAACAGAAGATTATACGGTGTGATAATTGCTCATTGTTGAAGGCCTTACGGGGAGCTATTATTGCTTAAAGTATTCTTTTTCTATGCTGATATATGGTTAAACAAATTAAAGAATTGGCGGATAGGTGAATCTGTCATTTGCCTAATTTTCTAGGGGTTCAATTATAAATGTGGTGTTCTGATTCATATGCATATCTGATGAACAGCTCTATCTTTGATTGCATGAAAGAAAACTGATTTGCTTTTAGTAGAATGTTCATACATCCTATGTGAATGTGCAGTTAAGGCAATTTCAGCAGCATCACAGTATATGGACAATCGACGCCAATTTCTATTTTTTAAATAATTGCATAAAATCACTTTATCGTCCGTACGCTTTGATCTCTTTATAAAATATTACTCTTTTATTTGCCATTACAAACATTTTTATTGTGAGGTCTTCAGGGACCGACTTCTTGTGGAGATTAAAAGAAAAAGAGTGAAAATGAGACATAATTGCATTTTGCAGTGGGTCAAACACAAGATTGAAAAAAAAACGGAAAAAGGTGATAAAGTGATTTCATGTAGACTTAACTCATCACCTTTTTTGTATTTAATAATGTTCCATAAATATATATATCAAATAATCTACCTTCTACATTTGAATGAACTCTTTTCCATGCGACAGCTGTAATGTTGTCCTGTAAGATGAAATACAAAAATCAACATTTAAAAACTTGGCAACACGCATATTTATTGATGTGATATGAATATGAACCGTGCAATGTCATGAATTTGCTACACCGACACGTTCAGCCGGAATTTAAACATACAAATTCACAGGAAAACAGTCAAAAAGCAGACATGTCACCATTCCCGGACTTATTATTCTGACTCCGAGCCAATCAGTCTTCGCCTTTACTTCTACATGCCACGTCCTCAGAAAATAAAGGAGCAACAACCAAATTGTAAGTCTTTGGTTTGATCATATTGGGTATTAAACACTCGACCTTCTGCACTCGGGGCGACAATAAGACCATAGATGCCGCTAGAAGTATTATGAGGAGTACAATACTTTCGTATAGCAGATTAAGAACAATAGGTGTCAATACAAATAGTAAATTTACATACAAAAGTAATTTCTTCGTTTGTCTTGGTTGTAGTTGAAAACGTTTCCATCTTTCGAAATACTGATAATTTCCGTTTCCATGAACTATGGATCTGAAACATACAATTCATATGATTTCAAGTCATCTGCACATTAGGATATTTCTAGTAATTGTAAATCAGTGTGGCATCCAAAACTCTGGCCATGAGGTGACCGGCGAAAATAAGGCAAAATTGAAACTTATGAAGTGTACTATTTTGAATGAATAATTTAGATTAATAACGAACAGACAGTATTATTTGTTTTGTTTTTTTTATTATTAAATACAGCTCTATTTTAACTGCACACGTAATTTTGTTGTCAGAAAGGTATGTCGCAAAAAGAATAAAGTAACAATTGAAAATCATTTTTTAGGCCGAAAACTTGATTCGTTTTTGAAACAAAACATCCGAACAGTATGTCTTTATAATAGTTTATGCTTGTTCTTGTATGTGTTTTAAATTATATTGGATAAGTACAGTTATTCATATATTCATTTGAAAATTTTTGTAATAAATATTCCATGTGTATAACATAACTTTACAAGTAGCTGATGATCCTATTTATGGGTGATTGTGAATATGTAAAGGTAATTGATACAGGATGGGTGCAGTTCTAACCTGAACAAGACTTAACTTGGAGCAGACTTCTTGACTGCTTTCCAAGTTAACCTAAATAATTAAACGCAGACAAGCAAGTTAAAGTCATCGGTGGTAGATCAGACCAATGTCTGTTTTTTAGGACGGCTGCAGATCTATTGACAAGTCTGATCCAGCCCAGACCTAAGTCTACTATTGACCAGTCCTGAGGACAGGATTGTTCCAGACCAGACCTGTGGACAGGTCTGCTACTGACCAGACTTTAGGACAGGTCTGATAATGACAGATTGCCGTGTTTCAGACATTTCATATCAGACCTTATCTATTATTATGTGAACAATAATCAAATCGTTCTTTTTCCAAGTACAGCAAATAACCATACTCGTAAGGGACTATATATACATATTCAATACACATCAAAAATTTCGTTTTTCATTTTATATTCTTATATGTATAAATAAATGGCTATAAAATTTCACACTTGTTGATCGACATATATACATGCAGCTATCATAAAAGAAAGAAAGGTTACTTTTTAATTGAAAGGCAGATAAAAAGGTTATTCAACGCTTTGGAAAAATATTTTTAAATGATGGGATATAAACAACATTGTTTACGTGCTTCGTTCCCCATTTTTGACGGTCTCTTCCTAAATATAATTCTATACATTACATGGATTTTTCACTGTAATTCACATTGTTTGCCTTGAATTTACGATTTTATTTTTGACGAAATTTAAACAAAAATTATAAAGTGTCCAGATATTTAAGGTTTGTATAGTTTTGAACCATCTCGTCAATTTCGGTAGATTCATCTTTTCCGATTATAAATGATATCTGGGACGTCCAACATTATAAACTCGTCCTGAACATGAATGAAATGTTTGCCACTGGACGTTAAGCAACCAATAACCAATCAATCAACCGACATAATATACTAACAGTTAGTCAGTAGACTATTCCCAGATGATACCTTCTCATACTTTTTATTATAAAGTACAAATAATACTTTCAATATTTTGAATACTAAGAGGAAATACTGGCACTCTAAATTGATGCGGACAAAATTTTGTAGTCATTGTGTTTCAATATTGCTGTCATTTGTATTATACAATCCTTCCTGAGTTAACAAATTTACTGATTTACGATATTGCTATTTATTTTTCATAATAAAGTGCAAATGTGGTCAGTTTTGGTTGATGCGTCAGATATTTTTTACTATAGAAGCCAGCCTGAGATATCAAAACTACTGAATTTTGGGAATGATTCAATATTTTGAATAAAAAGATGACGTGCTGGCGCTTTGAATGGATGCAGAAAAAGAAACAGTAAAAATGTTGGCTCTCTAAATTAAAGCCGACCATAAATATTATTACAGTACACCAATATTGCTTTCATTTATGATGATTATTTTTTATACAATCTATGTACCCGGCGTTATTTGCATTGTTAATCGATTCTATCTGATAACTAAGTTTTAAAGCTTACTGTACATTTTAAAACAGATTAGAACATAAACATTTTATTTAAGATATAAACGACTTGAAGAATTTGATATTTATTAAAATATATATTCAATGCACGTTAGCGGTGAAACCAGTATCGATTTAATGAAAAGCAGATCGCAGAGCAATTTGTACAACACACAAAGTTTTATGCGTACTTTATTTACAAATGTATCTAATCTGTAGTGTTTATATCAAGAAACAAAGACATTTAAACATGTTTTATAAATCGATGTAATGCGGTCCTCGTCACAAGTTAACTTAGTGTTGAGCAGACGAGCCAAAAGTTAGCTTTAGATTAGGTCTGGTTCAATCGGAGTTGTCAAAATCGTAGTTAACTTATTGCAGGACTGGTTTCGAAGTTAGTTTTAGTAGCGGACCTGTTTAAAGTTACTAATAACTTTTCCGGTATTCATAAAAACAATCGAAGGGCCAAGACAGCTTTTCAAGTTAACTTGCTCTTGGTTCTCGGATCGGTCGAAGCAGTCCTTAATCCTGGCGCAGTTTAACTTTGACCATTCAAAATGACTGTTTAGGAAGTTAACTTCTTGTACAGATAAGGACTACACACATCTGTATGTACAATGTAAACTTAATATAACCATATAAGCTACTTTTGTCATTGTATTGAGCAAAACTGTTATTCTATGATGTACGCGTTTACGAAGATTATCTTAATGAAAACTCTTACATATGTTTTACTAAATCTTTATTTCTAAACAAAGTAAAGTTTTCATTGGAGAAACTTAGCTGTCTTTTCAATTAAAACAAATTTCATGAAGAGTTTACAAACTTTGGCGGTATTTCGGATCTTTAGGGAATTTTAAATGTATTTATAATTTAGGTAACTGCATGAGAATATTGAAAAAATATATAAATGTTAGATCTATACTTCCAGAGAAATAATCAATTAAAAGAAGTATATCATATCTTCAAAATGCAATTTAAAGAAAATAAGCGAAAAATAATCCATCAACTACTTCTCTATCATTGCACATATTTGGCTGCTATAGTAAATGTATATCATGAAAGGAATAAAGATTAAGAATATGAAAATTAAGAGCTGTGGTATGATTGCCAATGAGACAGCTATCCAATAAAGAACATGACTTGGATGCAAGCAACTATCGGTCACCATAAGGTCTTCAACAACAACCAAGGCCGATGACGTATAACGAGCTATATAAGAACATTATTTTTATTTACACTTCAATTAAAACAATGCCGCGTAATTTTATAAACGTCTTAATATATTAAGAGTCTGAAAAACATTCAATATATCTAGGTATTGTTTAGCTTTAAGAAAGACAGATGTTGTTACAAAGTAAGTTTAAATTAATGTCTAATTGAATTATGTTACTTATTGATAAATGCTACAATATATATTTTAAACCTTTAGATTTTATAATTCATAAAAAAATAAACTTTGCTAGACATCATCAGGCGCACAGTTCTCTAATTAATTACATGACAACTGTCTTAAATTTATGAACATCGACTTTATCTTCTCGTTTCAGGGTGTGTGTATATTACATGTACATTGTTGTGTGTACTCATAGATTTGTGCTTATGTGTATAGCAATGCATTCATAATGTGTACAAAATGAAATCATCTGCAGACTTACTTTTGGGTTTAATAATCCGTGTACAATAAATATCAGCAATCCCTGAAATCATATGATGATATTGCAATAACATAAAAATTTTAAATATACTTTAATGAACACAAACAAGGGTATCCATATCCATATCAATACGAGGACACCCAAGTTACCGAAGATAGATGAGACATAGCTAATGTATATCTAATTAAACAAAAAATATTAAGTTATAATCATATTATTGTTTCCCATGATATAACCTAAATAGATACTTACTAGAAATACTTTCTCTCAATGCCTTTTCTACCATTTAGAAAAGAAATCTAAATGTTATCAATATGCCTCGAGCATCACAGAGGATACATTAATTGTCGAAATGCGTATCCGTTGCAGTAAAATTTATTCTTATAACTACTTCTCGGACGAAACATCTGCTGGTGGAATGTTAGTACCCAGGGGTATCACTATCACAGTAGCCAGTGCTTTGATGCTGGCAGGAAAATACTAATATTGTTTTATTGAAATTTGTAGAATTTTCTAAATTAAGAAATGTATATCCGTCTTGCACAGCTCCTATTCCTTATCCGAGTTTGGCTTTAATTCTGATCTCTTGTTTAATTAGATATAAGAAGAGGTGGTATAAATGCCAATGAGACAACTCTCCATCCAAGTCAAAATTTATAAAAGTAAACCATTATAGGTCAAAGTACGGTCTTCAACACGGAGCCTTGGCTTACACCAAACAGCAAGCTATAAAGGGCCCCAAAAATTACTAGTGTAAAACCATTCAAACGGGAAAACCAACGGTCTAATCTATATAAAAAAAACGATTGTTTATATAATTACACCACTGGTAAATATTCATAGCTTAGAACCAAGCTGAACCTTTGCATTGTAATTCATACATCTATTTGAATTATTTAGTTAAAATAGTTTTTGCAAACAGCTACAAACAGATAGGTTTTAAATGAAACATGTTTAAACTAGTCACTTAGAATAATTAAACAGAGTAAGGTTGTCAATATTATCTTTACTTTTCTTAATGTAACATGAGTATGACAGCGGGTATCATCAGTGGAGAACGAACTACCGATATTGGTTTTCGGTTAATAGTTTTTTCCGACTTGTTGTTTCGATTGCCATAAATGAATCCTCCCCTATTTTACACTTAGACATTGTTATATCGTCTAATGTTTGATATGTACATTTTGTCATTGCTTGTATATTTTGTTTTTGTTTTTTAACATATTTTTCAGGTACCACAGTAAATATTTATACATGTACATGATGTACTACTTACCTGAAGTGAATTGATGATAACAAATAAATAACTCATAAATATAGTATCTTCGTTTATAGAGAAGAATCCTAAAGTCCATGTTATTCCAAAAAGGGGTGCCAAAACTGAAAAACATCTCAATCCGGTTCTACAAAATAATTATAGATATTTCTCTTGTTTTGCATCTGCAGATTTCTGAGTAATGATAAGTAACAAAAAACATGCTTATATTTCAAGAAAAACTATTACTAATTTAAAAGGGTAAAACAAACATCTCTCCAAGGTAAAATAATGTCAGAAGGCAATTTATTTAGTAAATTTGAGGATTTCTCCAAAAAATGAAAACAACACGTTATAAATTTGACGCGTCCGAAGCGCTTTTTCAGATTAAACTTCATTAGGAACGCTCAAAGCCGAATATTTGAAAGCCAAGGAAGTATAAAAACAGTACAGTTGAAGAGCTATATTAACAAACAGAACTTAAAAAAAATAGCCAAATCAGTCTATGCTCAACTTTGCCTGAGGGAGTTGAAACCTTAGTTTCTTAATAATTTAAAAATTTAAAAACGGACAATATTGGAAATGTTTGTAATAAATCACGTCAGTACCAAAGTACTGACTACAGAGCTGATAATACCCTTAGGGACCTATAGTCCACCAGCAAAGGTATCGACCTAGTGCTGTAAAAATTACAGCAACACGTCATAACGTTCATGCGTCCTATGCGCTTTTCTTGATTAACTATCATCAGGAACGCTCAAAGCCGAATATTTGAAAGCCAAGGATGTATAAGAACTGAAACAGTAAAAGAGCTATATGACCAAAGAGGACGTAAAACATGCATAAACGGACAATTTTAGAAAGGTAGGGAAATAATCTATTCCTTTAAAAATCATGTTACTTTCATTGATGAATGAATAGGATCTTATAATTTGGATACTTCATTTCAGACGTTTCAGTTAAGAAGTCAATAGGACTTCATAAACATATTTAAACTGACATTATTGTCTTTACTTGGACATTTTGCACACTTTTTTACTAAATTCAATATGCGAAACTGCTTTTTCCAAAAAGATACCCGCGTCAACATATTTGAATAAGACATCTTGCAGCAAAATATTGGGTAAGGGTTAGCTAATATCTCAATATTGATGATAAGCTCTCCAAATGAAGCTAATTGTGGCAGTTTTGCAGTTTTGATTAAATGCAAGACGTTTGAAACCCTAAACCAAATATGTAAACAAATATTCAAAAATATAAATACTAATATGATAGATGATATTTGATAAGTATATTATATCTTTTGATTCTCGAATTCAAATGGCCAAAGAAATGGCTTTATCTTATTTTTTTCCTTTAGAAAGCCAGAATTGTTAAACTTTTGAAATGAAACCCTAAAGGGCCGAACCAAATAAATAACAGTTTTGTTAAAAATAGGTATTGTCTTGATTTGATTTATTTTGGCTGTTATTAACGATAAAAAAACGCGAAATAATATCCTTTTTTGAACTTCGTTCATATAATATTTAAAACCACACATCAGATTATCCGCAAACAATTCTGTAACAGAACGAACTACGAAAATGATATATTCTGAGTTTTTTTTTACTAGTATATATCTTGACGCGAGAAGAAATTAAGAAATACAAACGGTACAACAGCGCCTCATGATATTTTTAGTTTTATAAGCCTTTTTTGGAAAGCTTTCAATCATTTTGTCAGGTTTTTCTGTCAAAAATTTGGCTGAATGAGCTATATGAGTTCACTATGTCTCTGGTATCTTTTGCTGCATTCTCAATCTGTCGTAACTGTTGCCAATACTTATGACAATAATAATTTCTGGATATTGAATCCTTATTTTCCGTTGTGCAAAATGCCTTTGCAGAAGTTTATCTCTCAATATATAACAAAGTAAATAGCTTAAATAATTATAATTATATTATTCAGAAAGCAATACCATGAATACAGGCACAAATAAATATGAAAATAGATTTTTTCATTTTTTTTTTTGTATAGGTGTTAGTACGTCAAACGTTTTTACCTATAATCTCCGATGATCAGTTCAAAATCGTTTTGACAGTAAAAAATCTCCTTTTACGGGCTAAGACGCCTTAGCACCCCTAAGATTGCGTGTAAGAAACAGGTCGCTAACATGCAAGGTTAGTCATGTGCATTACTGTCAATACGTACATAAATATTGCATATTGCATATTTTGGAAGTAAGCACGCTTTCATCCTTCTTGACACCGATTTAGCAATATAAAAAAGGTAAATAGCAGTTACTAAAAACATGGAAAAACAACATGTGTGATAACAAAAGATGTTATTCGTTTGCCACAAGATGGCGGAAATTCGTAACGCTAAATCGTCAACTGTCAAATTTGCCGGGTATGCCGTAACATTCACACAAATATATTAACTGATAATTTAACGTTCACAATAATATTTAAACGCAAAGATCACTTGGGGTAGGTCATGAATATATTGAATTGATTTTAAAACAAAAGATAATATGTAAACAAGAGGCTGTTAAAATGAAAAAAATCTAACTCAAGTTTGTCATCACTAATAACATATTTAAATTTGAAAAAGCCTTGATTGATATGTCCTCACCTTATTGCACGGAAACGGTTTAAATGACTCTTTGCATTCAATTATGAACCATTCCTACTAAACGACAAAAGTGAAAAATCGTTAATATCGAAACTTACCTCAATTTATATTTCAAAAGGATGGGTTGAACAATTTTTAAGTTATATATGAAAACGATATAAAGGGGTTTTTGGCTTGATCAGTCCTTCAACTTTTGTATGAGGTTTTAGATTTTCAAATGTATTGACCCCGATCATCACTAAAGAGCCATTAATTGTCGAAATGCGCATCTGGTGCATTAAACTTGGTAGCGTATTCCAATAGTAATGAACCATAACCCCTGAGCAAAAATAAATATCGTGATTATCGAAATTCACATCCATTTTGTCACCGAATAACCAGTAACACTAAACCAACACTCGAAAAGGATAAGTTCAAATGGTTTAAACGTTATAACAGGTAAACAGCATCTATCCAATCCCCCTAACCCCCCAACCCGCAGTACAACCCAAAATCGATAACAAGAAAACTGTTTAAAACTTTATATAATATGAACGTATTAGATAATACTTACATTAATTGCTGTAGTTTTGTTTTCTGTTTTACCACTTGTATAGAAAACAGCTTCCTCACAACAAATATAAAGATCACAAAGTTGGTCTGGAGGAAAGAACATAATTTGATTATTTTTCAACAAGATCCAAAGTTTAAAATTGCTAAACAGATTGCAATGCGGAAGAAAATTCATGTGCAGTCAGTATTTTCTTTATACTTAGAATGGTTTGCTTGTAACTGTTTTATTGTTGTTCATCATAACAGTATTATAGTCAAGTGCCTTTTCTATTAAAGTTGATTTTAAATGTATATCCTTTCAATTATTTTAGTTAGAAAAAAGAGTTTGGTGGTATCAACAGGGCAATCAAAATCATTTGTTGAATGATAGGTAAACTAATAATAAAAGCTCAAAGTACATGGCACAAATGTAGCACTGAAAGGGAGAACTGCTGATTTCAAACAGAATATACAATGTCAACTGTACATTACGTATGGTTTAATACGTTCAAAAAAGATAAGAATAAATACCTATATTACAAGTTTTTTTTATGAACGAAATAGTGCAGAAATGTCACTTACGATGTAACTATGATGTAATGAAATGTAGAAATTGACATATTTGACTACAACTTTTAACATATTTTACTTGAAGTTGATATTTTCGTTTTTTTTTCTCAATCTATACCTGATGCAATATCTTACAGGAAAAGATATTTTCCCTATATTAAAATCTTTCTATGAGAAATGGTACAGAATTTGTATGTCTGGGTAAAGCTTTGCTTTATACATTAATATTGATAACAAGATCTCTCAAACGTAAGGTTATTATTTGCAGTTTATGACTTCTTGTGGGAGTTTCTTGTGAAGAATGAAAAGACGCTAACATTACTTCACGTTCAGCCATTTAGATGATTTCCTCTCACTAAAGTTTGCTGACTATGTTGAATAATAAAGGCAACAGTAGTATACCGCTGTTCAATAGTCATAAATCAGTTAAGCGAAAACAAATCCGAGTCACAAACCAAAAACCGAGGGAAACACATCAACAATAAGAGGAAAACAACGGAACAACAAAAACACTGAACTGCAACAAAAACAAACGCCAACATACATAGAAACGGACTATTTGATAACAACTGCCATATTCCTGACTTGGTACAGGACATTTAAAGAAAAAATGGTGGGTGGAACCTGGTTTTATGGCTAGCCAAACCTCCCGCGTATATGACAATGTTAAAAATACTGCTAAAAATACAACATTACGTGACAGGAATAAAATACAAATTAACGCAAGAACACTCAGGACGGAAAAATACATAGATAAATAATATAATAGTACATCACAACATGTAAACCACAGAATCTCCGATAGTACACCAGGACACCACAATAGAATTATAAACTGTGCGTTACACGAATGTATCAACGCCACAAAAAGTGATGTTTTTTTTGTGACGTTTATTTGATCACAGGTAAATTTCTAAAAATAGAATATAAAATTGGGATTGAGTTTGTTATGGTGTTATTTTATGTATTTTCTAACCATGTTGGTTTTTCTTCTAAGTCAAAACTGTGTATAAAAAAAACCATCCTGTGCAGATAGTTGCTTTAAACTAAAAATCATATAAATGAAATAGCTGATTGATTATCTCAACGTTACATACATATAGAAAAAATAAAAATGGAATTCAAACCACAAACAATAAAACATAACACAATATCAACCAGACTTACAAAAGAAACTTCGAAATACATGAATGTTGGATGAATGAGTATATACCGAGACACATCGTATAGCAATGCGATTTCACACTCGGCAAAACAGTCATATTCGGGATTAGGTCACGTTCGGTACTTAGCAGACCAGACGACGTAGACGATAAACCACAATCTAAGACGTGGTAAAAGTGTCGTTAATTAGTTTAGACACAGACACATCGTATAGATCAACCAATTCATGATGGTGACCTTAAAATTTACGGAGTGTCATTTTTAATCTTTCCTCCTCATAACTCTGTTGGAGCAGTTTCTGCGTAAGGAGCACACTCCTGTATATGAAGTATGTACAGTGTGAACATGCACGAGCATAACGTATCAACTGAGATATGTAAACACCATACGATGGGGCAGAGGGTATGTTACTGCTGAGAAATAGGAAATTGATAATTGGGAAGTTGAAATCGTCCCTTTTGTCATAGATTTTAGTGTGAAGTCGTCCATCTTTGTCAATATTGAGGAAAAGATCAAGGTATGAAGCAGTCCTTCTAGTATCAGTAGTATCCTTAATTTCAAGTTCACTGGGATATATGAGATGTAAGTACTGACTGAAATATGGGTTATTCAGTGATAGGATATCATCAATATATCTGAAAGTAAAATTAAAGAATTTCGCAAGGTGCTTTTTTTTTTTGTCTTTTAGAAGGTTCTGAATGAATTCTGCTTCAAACGAGTACAAAAACAAATCGGCCAGTAGGGGTGCACAATTAGTACCCATTGGAATACTGACTGTCTGTTGAAATATCAATCCTCCAAACTAAGCAAATATAGTGTCGATCTAAAAGTCCAGCATTTTGATAATATCATCTTCAGTGTATTTTCTGAAAGAATCAGTGTGGTTCTTCACAAAATAAGAATTATTATAACCCAAAACGAGAAATTTATATCTACGATTCCCATTTTTTTTTAGAAAAAGCTATGTTTAATGAGATGGTGAAGTCGATCTTTCAATTGAGCATGGGGAATAGTAGTGTAAAGCGTAGAAAAATCAAAAGTCTTAATGTTGCTGCAAAATTGCAGAGATTGTGATCTATGATTTAGCAGTAGATCTTTAGAATTTTAAGAATCCACATTGATTGACACCACTGGTTGAATATATCTCATCACAATATTTTTGAAGGCCATCTTCTACTGTAGAAAGAATAGAAGTCAGCACTTTAGAAAGATGTTTAGTCGAACATCTTGATGATCCAGCTACGTATTGTTCTTTATAAGGAGTTTTGTGAAGTTTTGGTATCCAGTATAATGACGGTAGATTTTCTTCGTTTTATTTGATGTTAATACCAAAAGAAAGAATGACAGATTTGTGATTTTGTAAACTTTCCTCCTTTGTAAATGATGTAAAAGAATATGTAGGATTACCAGTTTTGCTGTTTATTCCAAGCTCTTTTGTGAGACATTCCAAGCAATGGTTTTTACATATGAATAGATATAAGAAGATGTGGTATGAGTGCCAATGAGACAACTCTCCATCCAAGTCTCAATTTGTAAAAGTAAACCATTATAGGTCAAAGTACTGCCTTCAACACGGAGCCTTGGCTCACACCGATTAGCAAGCTATAAAGGTTCCCAAAAATGACTAGTATAAAACCATTCAAACAGGAAAACCAACTAATCTATATAAAAAACGAGAAACGAGAAACATTTATGAACCACATCAACAAACGACAACCACTGAACATCATGTTTCTGACTTAGGACAGGTGCAAACTTATAAAGACAATATTATTGAAGGCTTTATCTGCTGGAACAACGACATATTTGTCATGCAAAGAGGATAAAGCATCCACAACCTCCAGGTTCTTGAATGGGTTAGAAACCCTTGTGCTCATAGTACATCGTAGTTTCTGGATGCGTTTCTGAATGCATGATCGAATAGCTTTGACCCATTCAGACAAAGTGTCCAGTTCTGGTTCATCTGGCTCACGCTTTACCCATTTTCTGGCATAGTCTTCAACGGCATCCATCAGTAACCTGAAGTTCTTTTTCCAGTTGATGGGCTGGGAAATTCAATATTTTGGTCCCTTGGCCATCAACTCCCTTAGTTGTCATCATTGGTTACGATGCCAAGGTCGCCCGTAATAACAAGACCAGTTGGACTATATTGCATAGTTGCATATGAGCAATCCGGAGGTTTGGATTTCACATCTTTCAGGTTAAAGGCCTCTAAAAACCTAGTGTGGTTGAAAATCTTGGATGCAATAGGCTTGGTGTAAGTATATGAAATTACAAGTGTAGCTTTATTTTTGAAGTAATCAGGTATAGTTTTTTGCATAAATTTCTGGTGGAAAATATTGCTAATATTGATAGCATCTAAACCTTGGCGAATTCTACTTTAAAAAAAATACGTTTTTCCTCATCTTTGGAAGTAGTAGATACGGGTTTAAATAGTCTATGGTTCGCAATGTCCATGATTATTGCAACTAATCTATACAAAACAGAATTAGAAACAATAACGGAAATATTTTGGGCCACTTGAAATAGTAAATAAAGTTTAGATAATGGAATGGAGTATAATTTAGTTCTGATATGATGAATTCCTAAAGGTTTTTGAAAAGACGATAACAGACTATCAATTGTCACGGTGTGAACAGCAGGTGGTGTATAATTTCTGAGACCGTGACTTCTATGTCGTCGAGCAGAAGCGTTAAATAATTGTAATTTATTGACAGTACTACACCTGGGACTAGACAAAATACCTATACCCTCAATTTTGTCATTGCATCCATAGGGAATGGCTATTTCCAACTCTCTTATCCAAAAGTCTTCTCTTAGTAAGGCCAAAATAAATTAATAGTATGTTTCCTATTTCCCCTCCCAAAAAATTAGGTAGGGTAGGTAGGTAAAACATTTTATTTTATGAAAACATTTTATTTTTTTTTATTGATTGGTCGACAGCCGAAAAAAAGTTCCAAATCAAATAGTTTGATGTGCGGGCTTCTCTGATATTTATAATAGTAATTAAATCTACAGCTTTTTTAATTTTCTGTTTTATATATATAGTTCTGCATCAGAAATATGAAAATAAACCTTAATGAAAATTTTATGCATTTCATTGGTCGTAAAAAGAAAAAGTGTATGTTCTTCATGATTAATTATCTTAAACCAAAAATGGCAGTGAAAAATCTGGCATGGTATGTTATTATGTTGGGCCTCGTTGAACCTAAAAATGTAAATGTCACACAGGGTATACATGTGGAAGCAGATTAGTACCCCTTGAAAACACTGTGAACCGATGCTAAGCAGCAGATAATTATGATTTTTTGAGGGTTAATACTCTGCCCTTGCACCCTCTTTATTTAATATACAGATGTGTTTTGATGTTTGACAGAATATGATGTTGATTGAAGATTGGGTGGTTCTGACAATATTAAAATTCCAGGTTCTGAGAAGAGTGAGAATGTGAAATCTTTGTCTTATTAATGAGGGTAGTAATGCCATTTACCGTCAGGCGTCAAACGGTCATTCTCGGCTACCGTTAGCATCAAATTGGTTAAAATTTTACCTTAATTCATCAAAATATCCATATCGTGATTCTTCAGAGCAAGGATTTGTATATTATACAAATCCTTGGTCAGAGGTCTCAAATAATTATCGTTACCGTTATTTTTGGAAAAATTTTTACGTGATTCGTCAAAATCAGTCGATTTTTTGTATCGTCTAAAACAAGGTGTACATTTTATGTCATGCACCAAAAATTACCGTTAACGTCGTTTGGCAAGATTTTTTAGCGTTATTCTGTCTACATATAATTGTTCTGCCTAACAGAAGTTCCACTGGAAACTTTGTTATAACCAATGTCATAATATCTGTTCCTGTTGGAACAAATATTCTATACCATTCATTCCGTTAGGAACATATACTGTAATATTTATTCCAGAACACTTTTTCCATTTGGAACTTTTATTATGAAGGAACTTCTATTTCGTGACAATTCGTCATGAAGGTACCTCATTCATCTACTGGTCAAATAAATTGCAGATGTAAATATGACAGGATTTTTTCCCTTTTCTTGTATAAATTGTTATGGGACCAGCCAGAGAAATAAAAAAGAATAAAAGTAGACATGGTGCTGGGGCAGATTCATTTATAAATGAATATGAATCATACACCATGTCTGCCTAAAAAAAAAAGCTTTCATCTTTCTCGTTCCACATTGTCTGTCCCCTTGCCATCATAAACTAAAAAGCATAAACAGCCGTTTATGTTGCGTCCTGGGCACAATTCTGTACAACATTCGTAAGAGCATGTTTTTACAACAATAGCTGTATTGATTTTAGCAGTAAATTTGAACTCATTTTACTATAAAATTGTTAGTCAATTTACCGACAGATACAGTCTGTCCAACCTGGAACGATTCTGACTTTTGGTCCAAAGAAGCACAGGTACAAGACGAGATTTAGTTAATATATGTATATATACTGAATACACTTCATTATATATATACAAATATTTAAAAAATTCTCGCTTGTACCTGTTCAAAGAAGTTGAGCAAAATGCGTCAACTTCGTATTTTTTTCGTCTATAGGTCCGCTTGATGTTCTTCAAAAAGATTCATCATATCGTAATAATCCGGAATCGATGTCATTATATTTTGCGTCCATGTGATCACATTTCGCATATTTGACAGCTAATACGGATCAATACGCTACACGGTTGCCGAAAAGCCATGCTTGTTTACATAAAATCTTGGTCCTTGAAACGCTTTACTTATCAATAATAGGTCGTTTTTATCAAACGCTTTGAAGATCTATACTATTCTAAACGAATAATCGGAACCGGACAGACTGAAAAATCCGGATTTTGAATTTTTGTTTTCATTTTTGTCAATAAAATGTTTAGGGTCGGCGTCGGAAACGGAGGTAGGGTCGGGAAACCGGAAACACACCATTTATTTATTTTGGCCTAACCGATTAATGTTGAGTACATATATCCCATTGAACTTGAAATACAAAATACAACAGATACCGTTCTGTTTGCCTCATTTCTTGACTTACATCTAGAAATTGACAATGAAGGTCGGGTGAGAACAAAACTTTATAACATTAGAGATGGTTTCAGCTGCCTAATTTGAAACTTTCTTTTCTGTGTAGCAACATTCCAACAGCGCTTGCAAATGGAGTATATATCTCCCGATTGAGAGGATATTCCTGAGCTTACACTTTTTATCATGATATCCTTGTTAAAGGATGGCTGCTTATGAAAAAGCAATTACACCAAGAGATACAATGGTGAAGTCGAAGTCATCCCTTCGAAAATTTTACGGGCGACCTTGGCATCGTAACCAATGATGACAACTAAGGGAGTTGATGGCCAAGGGACCAAAATATTGAATTTCCCAGCCCATCAACTGGAAAAAGAACTTTAGGTTACAATTTTTGAAGGGATGACTTCGACTTCACCATTGTATCTCTTGGTGTAATTGCTTTTTCATAAGCAGCCATCACAATTTAACCGTTTTAGAATATCTGTTTCACAGATAATGATGAATATATTTCAGTTGTCGTTGTCACAATCCGTTCCACTTTTCCTCGAATGTGACCTACCAAATTAGACTTATCATCGGGGTTTTAATTACATGAGCATTAGGACGGGGGCAACATGTGGAGCAGGATTGGCTAACCCTTTCAGAGCACCGGGGATCAACAACGGTATTTTGTGAGCTCGTGTTGCACAGTCTTCTTTTTTGCTTTTTTTGCCATGGCAATGTCAATGGGAAATTTGAGAAAACTATAGAATACCAAGTAAAATAGTGCAACTTCTTATGTACCATCAACTCTGAAGCTGACACTAGTTTCCTTCTAAATCAGAAGTAAGACAAGGCTGTGTTAAGTCATCTATGAGTTTTGTAGTTGCCATTGATTGGGTTATGAGAACGACCCTAGAAGAAAGTAACACCGGACTGAAATGGGCCCTATGAAACTATACTGATGATTTAACACTTGTATCGCATACTGAAGACCAGAAGCTAGAAGGAAATGCCAGAAGGATTGGACTTAAGATCAATGCTAAGAAGACAAAGTCAATTTACCTCAACACAGAGAGTACCTGTCAGAGTTAAAGAAGGGGAACAACTGGATTCATTAGACTCATTTAATTACCTGGAAAGTTATATAACAACAGAAGGTGGTGCTGAAAGAGATATATAGGTCAGAATAGGAGAAGCTAGATCAGAATTTATAACAATAGGCAACATCTGAAAAACGACAGCCTTTTCAAAGAAGACAAAGCTTAGACTTTATAAAAGCTGTGTACGATCTGTGCTTCTATATGGCTCAGAGTGCTTGAGAATGATTGAGAAAGACACTCCAGCTTCAATGACACATGTCTTAGGAAGATAATGAAAGTATTTTGGACCACCAAATCTCCAACAAAGACCTACACAATGCTACATGAGATCATGAACACAGAAGACATGGAGACTTAGTTAATACAACAGAGATGGAGGTGGCTAAGTCATGTTCTATTTTTAAAAATAACAAAAACATGGCCTTTAACTACCTTTTACTTTCCTAATCTCTTTCGTTTTCATGATGTGAAGTATTTAGATTATAAAATTATCCAAATAAAGTATTTCATTTTTATAATGTAAAATAATATTCAACACAAGTATTTATAATTTGGTCATTTATATTTTATATAATTGTTTGGTATTATATTGCACAATAGAATAATAAGGCTACTTACAGCAACTGCTACAGCACAAGGAACAAAAAACGCCCAAATTAGTCCATTGCTTGTTGATAACCAACAACTGAAAGAATGCCAAAAATTTAATACTTTTCTAAATTTCATCGTTTGTTCGTTCGAAATAAAAACAACAAATTCAGAAACTACTAATACAACACTCATGGTATTCTAGTGCTTTGACAGAAACTCTAGATCTGAACATAAGATTTATGTTTGTTTTGTATAGCTAAATTGTATAAGAGAATATGTTTGATTAGTTTAAATGTATTGAAATCCCCCGTTTCTGTAATTTGTACACCCAATATACTGTAAAACGGAAGGGAACACACATTTATTCATTTGAACTTTCAAGTATATGATTAAAATTAAGGAGAGTGATATTGACCAAATTGTGCTCCACAATTTTTATGAAAATGAACAAGAGATATCTATACTATATGATAAAGTTAGTGACTAGAAATTCTGCTAATAGTCAAGGTTAGTGCTCCTTTCTAGTAATTATGATTAAGCAAAATTGACAAATTGAGGCAAAACTGCTGGGCTTTTAACAGTCAACGCCACAATCACAGCTTATATATCTCTACATTTTACCAAAACGCGCCTTCCATTAAAATATCTACACTTTCGGAAATCTTTATATATATTTTAAATCTTGTAAATATTGGTGGTGAAATTGCTAAATGTGAACATTTTCTGTCGTTTTTTAAAGATTTTTAAGGTCAGAGATAAGTTTTGTTAAGTTTAGAATGTTCATCAATCATATCATCAATCGGTTTTAAGGAAAGAATTTATATAAAGTATTGAACACTAGCTAGATTACAAGACATTATGAAGATATTCCACTACACGCACACGAAAAAATCAATCAAGATGACAACGCCGTATTTGTTCGTAATATCTAATATGTACTTTAAAACTCTTGTCAGACGAACGTCAATCAAACAGCAAACCCAATTACATTAAACAACTACAAATTAACATCCAAAGGTTTCAAAATTATTTTTCAATCAATCTAAGTAGGACAAATTGGTTCAAAACTAAAGAGAGCAAAACAGATATTCTTATAAAATTCTGACATTAACCACATATCAAACCGTAAGAAGATTATACATATATTCGTCGTATACCAACTTTCCTAAAAATCCTCTAATTGGGAAAACTGGGGCAAAACATAAACTTGACCTCCTTGTATTCATGTTTTGGTTGTATTGTCAAATGCATAAACATGCTCTTGATACATTTCCTACTAATCGTCTTTTTTAAGCTGAACACCAGTGCTCATTTGTATCTAGTCATGTTATATTGTTGCAACTGTCATTTAGTTTCTCGCCTGTTTCTAAATCAAACTAGTTGTGATGGGAATATACAATATACTGAAATAAGACTTATAACATTTTTTAATGATTCATAAATATGTCAAATATAACATTATGTTTGTCACCATGAAAGAATGCTAACGGCAGAAGATAATTCTTTTACAAACAAATACAATTCCATTCAGTTTTTAATTAATATAAATTCGATGACTTATATTTTATAGGTACTTACTACTTTCCATCGCCGTATCCTTCTAGTTTTGTAACTGCCATCGATATTGCAACAATAAGCACAGGTATTCCTTTAGGAAAAGATACTACATTAGATTTCTTATCATAATACATGTGCATAGACTAACAACTTCTAATACAAACGCAGAAAATTGGCCAAGTTTCACTTCTTTACCCATGACACTTTTTAAAAAAAAAGTTAGTTATCAAGCTGATGATACTGTGTATTAGACTTTCAAATTGTTCGATATTCAGGATTTCATTTCACAAATGTTTCGATCGTGCTTGGAAATATAACATTAAAATTTTAAAATAAAAGATAACTTCAGAGATGTTAGAAGTTAAAACAAAAAAAGTCAGAAAACACCAAGGGGACAATCAAAAGCCATAAGTCGGAGAAAAAGAAAATATAATTTTTTCAAAAAGATTAATTTTTGGCAATGGCAATTTCAGTTTGTTTTCAACTTATGCTTATGAGTTTGAATATACCTTTGGTATCTGTCGCCTTTCTTGTAAATTATACAAATATATAAATACAACAGCTATAATGGTACGCTATGACAACGATACTATATTTATATAATATCTTGAAGGGACACAGCTGCTGGTGGATTATCGGTCCCAAATTTTAAGCGTACCACAATGTTTTAGGGGGATGTCTGGGACGGGGTCTTTTTCATCATCATAAACTGATTGTTTTCAATACAAATGGGCCATCATCTTGCAAGCTGTTTTTTCACTGTTTGCATTTTAATTTGTAATGTATCAACTGACCTCTTAATGCTTTTTTCACATTAAATTCTTCTTAAATATATAAATTTGAAGTCAGGCAATGAAATATTACAATCATCGATTTACTAAAAGCATGATAGAGTGCAACAACAGTTTCCAGTGTTAGGACATACATGCATCTATACTACTAAAATAACGAGGTCCAAGTTGTTAGCCGGCCGGATGACGTTAAAACGACGAATCAAAGAATTCCCCATTTCCATTCTCAATTTTAACTATATATATAACTCATATAGGACAATGGTGTTGATTAAAAATTACACCATTCCAGGCCCTTTTGTTTTCCACATAATTATAATAACCAAAAATTAACAAGTTCCTGGTCGAATCAGATACCGATACCAATGGTACCTGTAACCTGTTATCTGTTACCTAATCTGTACTTTCCGCCTCTGTCAGGCGCACCACCAAACGGTGTATTTAAGATTTGCTATATACACGGGTCATAATCACACCTGAACTTCGTCATTATAAAGGGATTGGTACTACTAAATGCAATCATTGACAATAAAAAAGATTTCCGGTTGTAGTAAGAAAACCAGGACGGTTTCAAACAGATAGGTTTTGAAAGCAGAGAAAGCTGTGCACCTTATATTCAGCATGACTTTATCAAATGACAATACGAATACTAAAAATCCAGTCGAAAAATAAGGCGTAGGTTCTTTAATTTAGTAAAGGAAACGCGATTTTGTGGGTGTGTTTTAGTATCATATAATATAACATAATATAATATAATATAATATTAAATAAGAACAATTACTCACCCCATCCAATTGGAAGTAGAATAGGTGATATTGAACGTTGTTCGGTTGATACGGTAGCCAACATTTTTCCGTGCACAATGCCTTCTGCAACCATCATATGTATACCCACTAAGAATAGGAAATGAAGGACAATGGCCACTATTTTGCAGACGATCTGTTAACATTATACAAGAGTATATATAATTTTTATAAAACAATGATTTTAACGACATAAAACGACAACATTGTCTTATAAAATGAGAATTTTCTAGACTATTCTCTCTTTTTTATTTGTTTTGTGTATCTTTTTTTTCAAAGCATATACAATTTTATAAAAATTTATCTTTATCAAATTGACGGCATTCCTATGGGAACGAACTGTGCGCTTCTTCTTGCCGCTCTCTTCTTATTTTTATATGAGTCGGAGTTCCTTCAGACACTTGTCAAAAACAAAATCAAAGAAGCCAGATCATTTAATTTCACATTCAGATATAATGATGATGTTCTTTCCAAACTTTGCTGATTGTGTTCCATTAGTATATCCTCCAGAACTAGAAATTAAAGAAACAACTGACACGGCTTATGGGTCATCTCAGTACCAGAATCTATGACCAACGAGACGATTTTAATTTTGAAAGTATCAATTTCCGCCACCTTAGTAACAAAGTATACCAACTTCACCTGCATATGGGATATACATTTCCCAACTCAATCGGTATTTAAAAGCTTACAGCTGCAACTCAGACTTTATAAAATGTCGCCAATTCCTGAGCAGAAAATTGATGAACCAGGGTTATGTCAAAGAACGTCTCGTCCTTTTTCTAAGAAAGTTCATCGGAAGATACCAAGACCTGGTTGATAAATATATCAACTTAACAAATAATACATGATGGTCTTGAAGTATAGATTCTGGGTATTGACGTTGTTTATCATCTTAATTACGTGCTATAGTGTTCTCTCATTTGTCTTTGTAAATTATAACTTTTACTGTTTAGTCAAGTTTTGGTAATATCCCTTTGGCGTGGCTTGGTATTTATACACCCTGTCATTGTGTTATTGTGCTATGGTCGTTCTTTGTATTCTTGTCTTTAAGTTTTGCTTATGTGCTTTGTCTATGTGCCATTTTCTTTTTCTTTGTTGACATATTTGTTTGTTTTATAGTGATTAAGATTAGAACACAATGTTGACTGCTGTACCCCTATCTTTGACATTTTCACCTATTATGTCTGTTTGTTTTGTTCACAAATTGTTGTCAATATAATGGAATCGTATGCGATTGTCAAACAAGTGAGAGGTTTAGTTAGCTATAAAACCAGGTTTAATCCACCATTTTCTACACAAGGAAATGCCTGTCCCAAGTCAGGAATATGACAGTAGTTTTCCATTCGTTTGATGTGTTTGAGCTTTTGATTTTGCCATTTGATAAGGTACTTTTAATTTTGAATTTTCCTTGGAGTTGGGTATTTTTGTTATTTTACTTTGTATGTAGAATATCAACCATATTGTTATAAACACAAAAATGAAGTAAACACGCCATTTGCATATTTCATATTTTTTTCTGGCAGTTGCAAGAAAGTAAGCGATAATCATTGACAATCACCTTATTCTCTGTTCCCTCTATTCCAGCTAAAAATACGACATACGCTAGGAGGAAAACAGCAGCCATTGTGACCAGAATTTTGGACTTGTCAGATGGAAGATGTCTGCAAAATAATAACAACAACAGTTATATAAAACTAGATAAGTCATTTAAACTAGAAGAAATAAAGTGTCTAGGTTGCTTTGATGGATCTAAACAATCGGTCTCTCTCCGTTTGGAGAACATGCGTTTTCAATTGATTTTATAAAAAAAACAAATGTAAAGTGAAACTATAAAATACAAGCGTCGAGTTTCAATATGACGCTTTTGGGTCGAAAGGGCACATTCAACGAATTCATAAAGGCTTCACCATTTTAGGATATCAATATGTTTCAAAAGGGATAATCGATTGATCGGATCATACATTTGTGTTTTATTCTTGATATAAACATCAGTTTTCATTGTTTTACCAGCACACTGGGAGAGGACTTGATAAGTTGGGGTTCAAATTATCAATGTATGTAATAAGTTCGATTCAAGACAGAGTCATGCAGGTTAAAATGTTTATTGTTAAGTAGTCAATATTTAAATATAAACACATTTAAAAAAACTCTTTATGATTATCTCATGATAACAAAAATACTTAATTTCATGATTATTTGAATCTCAACCAATACAATCAATGAAATGAGTGAATTAAATCATTTCGATGGATAATACTTGCTCTCATTGGCGTTTTTAAATTTAAAATTATACAAAATGTATATGATCACCAAAACAGTTAATAACATTTATGTCAAATGACCTTTAAATTGTATTACTTGGATAGTTTGGGGACAATTGTCGCATGAATGTAACAAAATGCTCTAAATATTCCCTATACTATCAGAATTTTCTTTACATGTATTGCTTCTGTAGAGTGGGAATATCTACGTTTGATATAGATTTTCAGAGCGCAATATAAGTGTTCATGAAAACAGGAAATTTATTGATAAATTTTATTGTAAAAAACATTACCTCCACTCAATAAAATATATTATTAACAATAAGACAAGAGCAGCAATGGATATCGAACAACCAACTTGGGTAATAACGGCAAGAACCTCATCATGATTTTCTGGCTGCAACAAAAACATATGTGATAATTAACCCTCACAAAAAATGGTTTAGAGCCAGCTTCATGTTGTTTCAACTAAATATTTCGTAGATATCTCTGATAAGAGACAAGAATAGTTTACCTATGTTCGAAGATAATAGATGTTCTTGTACACACTATGATTGTTGTTATCCAATGATACGGTCTTCCAGTTGAGTTTCCTTTGGTTTGAAGGTACAGATATAATAAATAATAAATGACAAGATGAAATTTTTTCAGTGTTGACATTAATTTCATTGATATGTTAATTTTCTGTAACTCTACAAATTGCAAGTATCAAATCAAAACGTCAATGAGCTTATCTTAATATAATGGAAACAAAATTAGTCCAAAAGCGACGTTTTTCTGTGATTCTATAACAATATATAACATAACGCAGTGCAGGTGTACTTGAAAAAAAATGTTGTAATTGATTTGTGTCGCAATGTGCTAGCGCTGCTTATAGTATTTCAGCATATTTGGTTTAAGCTTGATTGGTATCTCGACTCTTGTAAAAGCTGTCAATGTAGCCACTAAATTAACCTAGTTCAGATTGTCGTTCACAAGATTTTGTATTTCACAGCCTGAGTATCTCAAATATGATGCTCAACGCAGAGTATTCGAACTTAGAATCATATATTTTCCAAATTTTCATGAGGTTTTCATTTATCCTAATACGCTTCGGGTTATTTTTCATCACCTTTTGAAATGTTATTTATCCTTTTACAGAAAAGTAGTCCATCAGCTTAACAATCACCTGTCTGATAGGTAGAACAATCTTTTGTGTATCGCTAGCATTATTGAAGTATGACCGAATAATGTCGTCTGTACCGATACTCTTATCAAAAGACATTCAAACCTTCTTTTGTTCTGATTTTTCACTTCCCAATCCGTCCTGTTTACCAATATTACGATTTGACTACCAACGACGAAACTGTTGTAAACATCACATATCTTTTATTAAGGTGTTGTATATTCAATATTGTTAGTTTTTATCAATATAAGAATTAATACATACTATTTCATATAAACTCAACAGAACAGCAAAGTTGGTCAAATGAGTACTTGTACATTCTGTAAAGGTTGTATTCTTAAGAACAGTCTTTATTCCGTTTGTAGACCAAAAACCATTATTCCTTTGAAATTAACAATTATATATCACTTTTAATATTATCGATTAAAGTTAAGACATAATGTAATTTGAAGTAAATGTAAAAACAGTACTTTATTGTAAGTCTTTTGTGACACCGTGTTTGATATTGAATTAGTTTTTTTCGCTACATTATTCAACTTGTAAGCTTAAACCGATCTTAAAAATGCTGCTGTCAGTATAACAATGCCAATTTTCCTTGGAGTTGGGTATTTCTGTTATTTTACTTTTTACAAATGTATTTATTACTCAAAAGCTACTACACAAATGTTATAAACAACAACTTGGAAAGCCATCACTGAACACATTCTATTGCTGTCATCACAAATTTGTTTATTACAGTATCTGATCTTTTAATTTTGTTTAATGCATTTTTTGGTAGTTTCGTGTTGAACAATACTATTAAATCACGGTTTCTGATTGCAGCCTTTGTAATTACCTCTTCCGTTTTACTATGTCATACATATGTCGTTCACTCTAACATTGCTTGTACGACCTTATAACAGATTTTGTCATTTTCTTATGTTGATGCTTTCCAATTCCTAAGATGTTTGGCTCATACGACGAATGAATACAGTGATGAATAACCATGGGAAGTAATCAAACTTCATTTAAAGTTTTGGAAAGTTGACACATGGTATATTCAACACAAGATCTGTACCACCATTTTAAGGCGACCTTAAGCAAGGGAACAACACAATGGTTGATATTCTTCATCATTGACAAATAATACAATACTTCAATGTATCTGTATGTATCCGTTAAATCTTATTCCTATTGAATTACACTGAATACTGTCGGATTCGTGCTAAGCTCTGATTCTTTATCAAGAGTAAGCTTTAACGTATGTCCCTTTTAGCTATATCATAACTTCAACAGTTATTTTTTTTTTTATTTCAAATATTTTTGTCTCGAGCATCACCGAAAAGAAATTAAGTGTCGAAATGCGCATCTTGTGCAGAAAAGTTTGTACTGTAAATGTGATTTGTTATGATTTATATTATTTTCTTTTATTAGAAAAATGTTTTTTAGAATTGACTCATAACAGTGATCGAAATATCTGAGTGTTTTTTGTTGTTGTTTTTTTTTTCTTAAACATCTACCTAATATAAAATGCACTATTGGCAAGCTAAGACTAACTCTAAAGTGAAATCCCAGAACGAACATCTTACTCCTTTGTCACGAATCTACAAAAACAAGTTTTATGCGGTCATTAAAGTTTATAAATAATGAACTAGTCAATTATCAAACGCGAAATCTTTAAAACTATAAATGATAGGTTAAGCATAGTAAAAGAGTTTCTTTTTATCTAAATAAAAATAACTTTTTTTTTATTTGATTTAAAACATACTTTAAACATTTAATGAAAAAGTACGTTATTATACTTTACTTGGGAGAAAGATGATGTAGTCAATATGTAAGATTAAAATTTTATTCAGGAAATTCGTAAGTTACTATACCTAGCACTGTGTCAACTCTTAGTACATTCGTGCTGCATATAATTTTCAATATTAAAAAAAGATATATTTTAACACTTATATTAAAAACTTTTATAGAACATCTATAATCTGATATGAGGTATATGATAGATATGACAGTCTATATATTACCTGATCATTTTTGAAGTATAAATATAATGGTGGATTCAAACTAAGCTGGTTGATTCCTGGTACAGTAAGTGACAGAACTGAAGTCATAACAGTAATTTCCTGATTATCGACACTGTATAATTAAAAATTTGCAAAATATCTATAAATTTATTGAAACTCACAGACCTATTACTTTAACATTTTACTGATTGAATTTAGTAATTTTTCTTTTTAAATGGATGCATATTCTCAATTGAACACCTTTGATATCATTCATGTTAGACTCCTAAAGATTAAAATGATTAATTTATATAGTAATTATATCAAATATTCATATATGTTCACCTCAAACTCAGCGAGTGTATGCATGTAAAGTCTTGTATATGAACGCAAGCACTAATATGTAATATATAGTAATGCTGATAAAGAATCTGTCAATAAAATATAGATTACAAAGCCACCTTCACATAAGATGGTGACTTCAATTTAAAGAATATAATTCCGTTTGTTTTATCTCAACCCTACATTACATAACATACAGTACAAATCTGCGTAGGAAAACCACTAAACAAAAATATATCGGTATAACAGATACACACATTAAATATTAAATTGTTATCAGTAACATACTAATGAGATATCAAGCCGTTGTACACTTAACATTGATAGCTGTACTTCGTAGAATATTTCATACAGAAACGTTGAAAAACGTACAGTAAAACATGGTCTTTTGCAAAGTTCAAAACAACTTATACAGAAAAATTAACATTAACGTTTTAGTATTTTTTAACATAAAGATAAGGTACTATAATATCTTTAAATACAAATACATTAATATTACCTTGTTGTTCTTGGTAATAATTGTGCTATTGTACTATAATGAATTGCAATGTATCCTGTGATATTTGCTCTTTCTACAAATATATAGCAACGTTATGTATTTGTTTAGATAACAAATGATCATGTGCTTTTCTAAGTCAGTTGGCATTAATTTTGATATCAAGTAAATGATTCTCCAATGGTTAATACTGATCGGTATACATATAAACGATACTTTTTTCGGAAATACTACAATATATTATATTAAAGCTCAAATATTTATTATAGAAATAAATTTGCAATAAACAGTTAATACATTTCAAAAATGTATAAAAGCTGATGTTTATAGGTTGCACTTTGTAAATACAGCTGTTTCACAAGCCACGCCTCTTTTGGGGAGATATATAATATTCATAGATATGTTAATTTGTTAACGTACTGGTTCCCAGATATGATCTCTGTGTTTCATCTCATAGAGACATAACTTGGAATGTTACTAGTATAGAAAAACATAGTAGCGCCGAAAATTTAATTCTTAGGAGGTCCAAAAGTGGAGGTAGGAGTAGTACAGAATTTTAGTATAAGTTTAAACTCTTAGAAGTTCAGGGCATATAAATGTTGAAAATATACCGCACAGCCCTATATTTTGACCTTTTAATAAAATAGAAGTGCAAATCAACTTTCCGTTCTCCGATATAATTTTTCACGAAACTTCTTAGTAAAAGTGGCACAGTTTTAGCCGCAAAGGGAGTTCCTGTGGGAAATTGCATTGTCTATATTTACAGAATTGCAACCTATATAGGGTGAAAAAAGAGAACATATTGAATTTCACCAAATCTGATTTATTTCAGAGATTTAAATGAAATTAACTCAAACATAAAGTTTTATAAATATTTCATGAAGATTGAGAAAATCCTGGGCCTTAACTATGAAGACTCAGCGTAAATTCACAGTTTACAGTATGCATAGTTTACTTAAAGCCCTGAATTCAAAATAGATTTATAATGTATGCATATTTGTAATTTGAATTGTTAAGAAGTGCTTATATTTACTCTTCGCAGTCATTGAAACTCATAGAATCTTCCTGAATATTGTTTTTGGGGTGTTTTTGTTCTGTCGATAACCAAAATTAAGCCGTAACAACTGATGAGCTTTTTTGTGACCGCGGCATAAGAAAATACAAGCTACAAATACAAAAATACCTCAATAAAACTAACAATAGTGTGTTATATACTTAATATGTGCTGAATATTCCATATTCATAGAAAGAGCAGAATAATTTAGCAAATGTGAGGCCCCAGGGGCAAAAAAGAAAGAAAAATGCCTACTCCCTGGGTCACAAAAAAGATAATATAACCTATAAATGCTATGATTTTATTATTTTAAAGGTCTTTTGTATAGAAAACAATAACTATGCTTTGAAATTATGCAAAACACAAATGTTAGCAGTCAGTTCTATAAAACTATAAGTGAAGTCATATATCAGACTGGTAACTTCATACATACAACTTTTGAAAATATGGCTTTGTTTAAATACTTCTAGTTCATATATTAGCTAAATTATGTTAGATATAAGGTTAAAGATGATATTGTTGTGACAACATTTCTACACTGACCATTTGAAGTAGAAATTGTTAACTTTAATTGACAAATAGGCATACAGTAAGATGTGGACTGGAGACAAAAGCAGGATTTGATACTTTTTATAATCTTGAATGTTGGAATGAATAACTACTAAACTTTACATTTTTAGTATTCTGAAATGCTTTTAATTTATTATCAGAATAGTTTCAAACAGGTTCTAGACATTTCATGACAGAAAACATGCACATAGGGTTAGCTGACAATAATCAATGTCTAGTTTTCAAATTCTTTAAAAATTGAAACAGGGGTGGGGGTATAAAATGTACTGTAAAAGAAAAGTTAGAGTATATGCAGTGATTTTTTGAAGGCTATAATTCTGATAAATACGTTTTGTTTTGAAAAAAAGTGTTTTTCAAGAGTTTTCTATTTGAATAAATGTTAGTATAGGTTGCAATTTGTAAATACAGCTGTTTCACAAGCCACGCCTCTTTTGGGGAGATATATAATATTCATAGATATGTTAATTTGTTAACGTACTGGTTTCCAGATATGATCTCTGTGTTTCATCTCATAGAGACATAACTTGGGAATGTGACCAGTATAGAAAAACATAGTAGCGCCAAAAATTTAATTCTTAGGAGGTCCAAAAGTGGAGGTAGGGGTAGTATAGAATTTTAGTATAAGTTTAAACTCTTAGAAGTTCAGGGCATATAAATGTTGAAAATATGCCGCACGGCCCTATATTTTGACCTTTGAATAAAATAGTAGTGCATATCAACTTTCCGTTCTGGGATATAATTTTTCACGAAACTTCATAGTAAAAGTGGTACAGTTTTAGCCGCAAAGGGAATTTCTGTGGGAAATTGCATTGTCTATATTTACAGAATTGCAACCTATGAGATTGGACAGATAGGTATAGATTATCTTGATTTGAAAACAAATATTTTTATTGAAATAAAAGATGGAGGTATTTGTTAATGAGACATTACCCTACGACACAAAACAATCAAAAATACTTACCGCTCAAACTCTCCTTTGGTAAGAAAAGACGATCGCCCTTGCCAAGTGGTTGATCAAAAGCGTTGAAAGTGATGTTTCCTTCGTTGTTTTTGTTTATTTCTACATCTATAAAGTACATGTGACTTACAAAATTCCAAATCATTAATGTTTAAAGAAACTAATAATAATGAACGATCATAGTTAAATTATGTTTAAAATTATGTAGTTTAAAATAGGTTACGACATAAACATGGATTAACTGCAACCTTTCAGAACGTGTCAGAAGGAAGGGCAAGTGATCTCAGTTCGACTTTCTTGATGGTTGTCTTGTTTACTTTGAATCTTTTCCAAAAACATTTACATTTTAATTCGCTTAATTCTTTTAAATCTTTCATTTTTTAATTCACTAAACAAGGTAGATTTGCCAACTATATACAATAAATTTGAAAAATGATAGAAAATAGCAAAATTTTAAGATTGAAAGAAAAAATGAAAGTTTCTTGTATTTATCGCTGTTTGTTATTCCTCTGAACATTTATATATATCTCTCTGAATTCGATTAAGTACATGTAGTATGATCCTCTTTCTAAATGTGTTTGTATCAGGCTACAGGTAACGTTTTCCAAATTTAGTTTTCAATTACCTGGTGTGTGCTCTTTTTTAATATAATTTGTATCGATTTCGAATATTTATTTTACTGTTACTCCACAATTTCATGATAAGTCAATACCGAAGTAATGTTCCATGTGTAAATTGTTTTTAGTTTATAGTATGCTAGTCTTTAATCCAAGGCAAGACTATTTTAGTTATATTCAAACACATAAAGTTCATACATCTATGTACGTATATCTTACAATGTAATTACCCAAAGATGATTTTGAAATTCTTAATGCTGTATTGTTTTGATGTGATTCAAATACAACACTAGCAAATGTTGAAGTTATCTTCAAAATTTTAGCAGCATTATTATCTCCAACCTGTAAAAGCAGGAATTATTGTTAACGAAGAACAAAGTACGATATGTTCTAGAATTTAAAACAAGTGGAATAAGAAACACAAATAACGATTAGTAAAACAAATCTAAAATAATATTGTTAGTTTGTTTTAACCGTGAAAAACTTGTTGAGTAAATTTTTATTATGTAGATAATTGTAAATTGATTCTTTATTAGCCTTAATACAATATAATAATG